GATCCGGCTCTTGGGCTGAGGGTTCACTAAGACAGAGGAAACCCGGAAACCCTGTACAGTCAGTCCCTACCCCTCCCTACCCCGGCAAGAGGTCCTATTAAAGAGGCCCTAATGAAAAGGCCCTATTTAAGAAATCGTGTGTGTTGGGGCGTCCTCACACACCCCTCATGCCCCCACACGCGCCACACCCGCCCCATTCCGGCTCACCCCTCCCATCACCACCCCTCCCCCATCACCACCCCTCCCCGCCCGAATGGTTCCCTGGACGTGTCCCGTGGTGTCTCTCGCAGGTGGCCAACCCCTCCACAACCATAGTCCTCGCCCGCGCCCCCTCCGTCTTTGACTCGGCGCTGGGGGGCAGCCTCGCCAGCAGCCTCGCCAGCAGCCTCAGGGGCGACCTGGCCGGGACGAGCACAACGGCGGCGGACCTCCAAGCCCAGGCATGTATGTGTGTCTGTGGCTACATAGCTGTTATAGCTGTGTATTAGGTGCCGTACCTTACGCACTAGCTCAAACGTTTTCGCTTGTGCAATTTTGGCTTCCGTTTAGCCAACTGCGGTTGAGTGTTTGGTTAGGCCAAGGGCCACGGAGATTGGGTTTTGGTTGGTGTACCAGCTGACTGGCCGGCTGGCTGACTGACCTGCTGCTGCTGCTCACCACCTAGTTCCGCTGCTTCCTGACTGTTTGGGTTCGCCTCCTCCTCCTCGTCCTCCTCCTTGGCGTTCTGGCCTCGATGATGGCCCCTGCTTATGATATACGATGTGTCCCAACCTCGCCCCCGACCTCCGCTGCAATAATGGCGGCCCAACCTGCGCCACCTCCAAACCTGCCGATGATGGCCCCTGATGGATGGATGGGCGGACGGACCTAATGGACGCACACTGCCCACAGGACCAGAACCAGCAAATCGACATTGCCAAGCTGGACCGCGCATACAACATCGCCGTGGCGGCGCTGGTGCTAGGCCTCGTTTTGTCGGTGCTGGCGCTGGCTCTAGTGCTGTACGTTGTTTCCTTGGTGCGCGGCGGCCGTGGTGGCGGCGGCGGCGGCGGTTGTCTCAGCCCAGGTGCTGCTGGTGCCAAGTACGAGTTGCAGCAGCTCGATGTGCCCATCAGTCACGTAGAGATGCGTGTACAGCCTTAAGAGTGCACGATTGGTGGGATGTGGCCTCAGCTGAGTGGGTGGACGGCTGCGTGAGGGGGCTTAGAGAGCTTAGTGAGAGAAACACGTAAGGGAGGGGGGAGGAAAGTCACGGGGCATACCGTGGTTGATGGCTGAACATGGCTGGGAGGGGGATGGTGGGATGGCTCTGGAAGGAATGAAGCATGGTGGGCATGGTGGGGTGGATGGAAGGGAAGGGGGGAAGAGGGGGGTTGCGCACTGTGTAGCCGAGATTTATTTTGTAGTGTGGTGGACAACGGTCAATGGTCATGTGCATACCCGGGTATTCCCTACTATTTCTGTTAATGCTAACTGTTAATGCTACTGCTTCTACTACTACAGCTGCTGCTGCTGCTGCTGCTAGTGCCAGCGCTTGCATGAGGGCGCCCGGGCGTATGGACAACTTTGGCTGGACTGCGGACATGATGCCATTTGGAGTGCAGCGCGTTTTTCCCTGTGTGACGGTGTGTTCATCGAGGCGTGGTTGTTTCATCGGCAGTGCACCTGCGCGGACTGTGCTATAGTTGACTGGCTGCAGCACACACCAGCCCTCCTGCGAAGCAAGGCTGTTTCGCTCGCTTCTTTTATCTAAGTTAAACCATGCTTTTGCAGGGCAGGTTGATGCGAAGGCAGGCGGGAGAGAGAGAGAGTCTACTTGCGCAGGCGTTTGTGTGTACACGCGTGTGTGTGTGCTTGAGTCATTGAGCATCCAGGAGCAACCAGGTTCACGAGGGTCAGTTAGAAGTTTCGCTCGCTTCTTTTATCTAAGTTAAACCATGCTTTTGCAGGGCAGGTTGATGCGAAGGCAGGCGGGAGAGAGAGAGAGTCTACTTGCGCAGGCGTTTGTGTGTACACGCGTGTGTGTGTGTGCTTGAGTCATTGAGCATCCAGGAGCAACCAGGTTCACGAGGGTCAGTTAGAAGTTTCGCTCGCTTCTTTTATCTAAGTTAAACCATGCTTTTGCAGGGCAGGTTGATGCGAAGGCAGGCGGGAGAGAGAGAGAGTCTACTTGCGCAGGCGTTTGTGTGTACACGCGTGTGTGTGTGTGCTTGAGTCATTGAGCATCCAGGAGCAACCAGGTTCACGAGGGTCAGTTAGAAGAAAGAATTCCAGAGTGACGAGGGGCACCAACAGCCTATCCAAGAGTCTGTAGTACGTCATGATTTATTAACCCAAGGTCATTCCTACTACAAGTAGGTCGGTGTTTCTCCTCCTGCCTGCTCACCAGCTTCCCTACCGTGATTCCGATTGACACAGCATGTCCTTGCTTTGCCACTGGGCGCATCCATGTTAAATCTCACTGTCCCAAAAAGCAACACCCCCACCGATCATGCGGGCTGCCCTACAGTGAGCAGAGCGCCTATACCTTTGGGACCGCATCCCCAAGGGCTCCTTCTCGTTTGTCAACCGTAGCAAGTTTCTGGTGTAAGAGATATAACGGCTGTTCTGTTGGAATTACGAGATACGCGCTGGGGAAAAAGGTGGTTGGTCCGCTCCAGGGAGGCTTCATGTCTCAGCGGGATGGCCCGGCAGGTTTGCTTTACAATAACTTAATTCATCTATGCGTAAAGAACTGTCATCACCTATCGTGGGAACTGTCCAGATTTGATAAGGTTCTTCTGTGAAATGATTCCTCGTCCGGTGTGGTTCACTATATCACGAGGAGCGAGCTGTATTGGCGCAGCATATGGCTCACAAGCCCGCTGCACTTCCCGGTTTCCTCTTCGATGCCGGAGATTAAGCCGAGCTCATGACGTTAATTTTTGCGCATCATCTCGATCGTCTGAGTCATCTGAGTCCGCTGGAGGGAAACAGATCCGACGTGTTGGATTCTCAAGCTTGACAACTTGGAAGGACTTCTGTGAGAAGATGGGCGTTTCCGAAGATTTCCCCATTGGTTTAAAAGGAATGACCAGCAGATTTCCTCCCCCGACTTCACAAAAGCTCGATGTCGCTTTTTTAACGTTCCTTATAAAGTTCCTCAGCAAGCCAATTGTTTTGTTTGATAATCTCGTTCTGCATCCAGCCGGTAGGGAGAGGCCCCTTTACCTCCTCATCTATTCTGTCCTGTCCCGACTGGCACTTCTAAATTTTGGCCAACGATCTCTGGTTATCTCCGAAGGTGTGGACCTGTTGATCGTCGCCTTGGATGCGCACTCCTGTGCTTTCAACATAGCTCAACCCATCCTCAGGTCCTGATGATCCATGGGTCCACCTAAACCAGGAAGCCCCAGAAGATGAGCAGCAGCAAGAGTCCAGAAATGTGGAGCATGGTGAGTGGCGCCTGCATACATGATGTGCACTGGCTAGGGTGTGTGTTGGAAACCAGTGCACAAGCATCGCAGCCCGATTAGGCAGAAGCTGCAGCAAATCCTGTCAGTTCTGACGGTATGCACTCCTGCAACTTACTCCAGCCTTGTACAGTCCAGTCATGGTAAGCTCTCGGCAAAACGGAAAACCTTGTTTTTTTTCATTTCATTCAAAAAACCTTCAGTTTATTTAAATATTTTGATTGGTCATTGTTATTCGTCTTGTAATTTCGTCTTGCATGCCTCTAGCTATCCTGACCCGGATTGTGCAGACCATATGTACCCAAGTAAAGTGAGCTCTCAGTTTTCTTGAATCTTTGTTATAATGGCAAATGGGTGCTATGAAGTTCTTGTCAGAGCTTGCAGAAGGAAGCAGCAGCTCAGAACCTGCAGCAGCTTTAATGTTAGGAACCCAAATCCTAGCACAGAATAGCAACTGATATTCCTGAAAAATTAGACCTGTTTGAGACCAGTTTTAACAAACAGTATATATGTTTGTTCACGTGACGAGAGCGCACGATTAGGCTGGCCAGGCGGCGTGGGGGCAGTTAGCCTGTTTAGGTTTCCCAGAGGCGGTGTGGCGCCTCCCGTGCGGCTCTTGCTTAGTTCGGTTCGCAGCCTTCTGCGCCGCTGTGTTGCCTAGCCAGGGGCTGGGGGAGCGTCCCGGTTGGTGTGAGGATGTAGAGCTGCGCACCCCCCCCCTTGCGCTGTGTTTCGGCCGGTCAGGGCCCCCGGTGCTCGTCCTTTCTCGGGGTGAGCCGCCCAAAGTGTAACACCCCATCAACAAAAGCTGCAACTGTTCTATTACTCATGGTTAATGGAATGCGGGCCCTCCACATCACCAGGCACAAGCCAAGAGCATGCTAAACCCTAAGCAGGAGGTGAACCTTTCGTGCTCATGCTCTAATCACAGGGTGTCCTGTTGTCAATCCTACACATAATCTCGGTGATAAAAGCTTTACAGGGAGTCTCCACGTGGAAGTCTGTTAACTATCTCCGCTAAAGTTGCCTAACAAAGTACTGTCTCCACTAGCAGCCCTGAAACCATATTTTTACCGTCATTTAGCGCCATTTCGCTCCTGCTTGAGCAAAATTTTTTTGAACATTAAAGAGAAATGAGGACGGCAGTTGTCCTGCAAATTGCCGCTGGGCTGTTGAATGCTTGCCATTAAGCATGGACGTCCGCAAGGCTAAACAGTCTGGGCAGCGGACTCAGCATTGGCTGCTGAATGGTTGCCATTAAGGCATTGTGTAATGAAGTAGGATAGTTCTGAGACGGTACAGGCGAGGGCGACTGGTTCTGTGACATTCTTGGTCAACGGCAACAGGGAACGAGCCGAAACTTGACCAGGTCTGCGGAAACTTTTCGTAATCGGGAGGCCCTTTGCGGAAAGGCTGCGGAAACTGCGGAAAGCTGCGAAAACTATAAAATGAATATGTAACGATGTTTTTTACCTCTTCTCAGTGTGGCGATAACATGGACAGTCTGAAACCAGCTTGTGGCAGTGCGGTTCTGTCCGGTGGGATCTAGAATCTGGTGGATTCCAATCGTGCTCGAAGGTAGAGCCATCTAAACGTATTACTGGGGGTGGCGGGGGCCAAGCGATCAACTATTGTGTGCCCACACCCTTGACGGTGTTCACCCTGCCCCCTTCAAGCAGCCCGCCTCTCTTTGAACCCTGAGACCCCAGGCCTGAGCAGCCCTATCGTATACCACCCCCATAGTGTTGTTGGCTGACGGATTGCTCTGGGATGCTCAGAAATTGCCACTCGTATGTTACATGGGTCTCTCTGTCCGTTGCGGAGCAGTGACATGTCTGCATGCCTCCTCCACATACCCGTCCGGCATGTCTGCACGCCTCACGGACAAGTCTATGCTGACTGTGCATTAATCCAGTAATCGTCCAAACAATATGAATTCAAAATAAAAAAATCAAAAGGAATAAAAAAGGCGAGAGGGCTAAAGTATCTAAAAATGGCACCGCACAACGATAACTGCAACGACGTGGCTCTGTTCAACTTCAACCACGTTTACGGACATTGTGGAATCAATTATCAAAAACCCTTCTTCTGAGCAGAAACACAGTCAATCTCTATGACTTCGGCAGCCCCCAGGTCGGGGCCAGTGGTTGTTGACATTTGACTTAATCTAATAACTCCATAGAGTAAAACGCAGTCTTTAAATGGCGAACGCATGCCTGGAATCTGTTTTTCAATTTCCGCCGTACAGCAAACGCGGAAATGCGGATTCTCTTTCCGCATTTGCGCCAATCTGGGCTTCGCTGCGGAAAGCGTGACGAAACCTATTTCCGCAGGTTTCCGTTTCCGCAGGTTTCCGTTTCGGCTCGTTCCCTGAACGGCAACGGCGAAAGTCGGCGAGCAGTCAAGGTAGTAGACGGAAAGCAAAGGAAAGACCGGGTGATATTATAATTTAAAAAGAAGTCACGAGATTTTCCGCGCTCAAAGTTAACAAATTTAACAATGCTTAAAGCTGGTCCGGGGCAGCCTATAAATTTTGCGGACTTATTGGACGTTTAATTAACAAGGACCTTGTCTCCACGTGGGCCCCCCGTTCTTCGCCATCCCTCCGCCTTCCGTCAAACCTTTTGCATTTCTATCATTTATTTATACAGAATATGTCATATTGCGAAACAGAACGTGCAAACCTGACGTCCAGGGTGAGAATTTTTAAAAGGGTCGCTAACAAACGTCCACGTGGAGACTCCCTGTTATTGTTGTTAACTGAATAACATGTTTTGATTCCTTCCTTTGTATGCACCCTATTACCCCTAGGGGCTAGGAAACCCTCTGGTTATTGGCATGTTTTATCTTGGAGTCCATAGTATGCTGCTAACAAGCGTATCATACATCATTTTAACCCTGGGATGTAATGCTGCAGGTCGTTCTGAGTTTGTTGTCCTCCGTGTACCCCCTCAAGTGAGGTTACCAGAGGGTTACAACCTGGTGGAAGCTCTTCAGAGAGGTGGCAAGGCAGTGATGTTGGTGAAAGTGAAGAGTGAGGTGACTTTCAAAAATGACATATGGCAGCCCCTTGCAACAGCTCTTGAGCTGGCAATCCAGAATGAGACAGATCCAGTGACGCTGCTGCTTACAGACGCTTCATCCTGGTATTTTGCTACTGTGCAGCTTGTCCAAAAGATTGATAATAAACGACCTCCCCTGCCCAAGGGCAACTCCCAGGCACATGGTTACCATTTCCAGGCATGTGGTCATGAGTTCTGCCTCTTCGATTGGGTGGAGTTCAAATGTAAACTCCTGTATATACCCTGGAGATCTACTTCATCAGATGTGCCTGAGGTAAGGCCTAACTTTGGAGGGTGGTTCTCTTGCAGATATGGGCCTTGGTGCATAGTGTGAGTGGCTAGATGTTGTGTCATCAGGACGTCTTCCCGTGGGCTTTTAGGAGGCACATTTTGTGAAGGCAGAAGCTGCATTTCATGGATGTGTCCTGACAAGTTTGGTACTAATTTGGTTGCATAGACATAAGAAGTACTTTGAAGTTTTACGGAGTTGGCTAGTCTATTAGTCGTACGTTACTGTGTACACTTGATGAATTCATGAAATGTTCACTGGAGTATACATCCAGCATCTTAGGAGGCCTTTTTAGCAGTCAGCTATTACACTTTTGCAGGTAGATAATGCTCCCTGTGAATCCCTTTGTCTTGCAGATGTTCGCTCACATGTACAATGTGCTTTACCCTGGCGAAGACATCACCCAGGTTGCAGATCGGGCAAAGCTAGGCAGAGAGACACTTCGAGCTCTTGCAGTCAAGTGGGCGAAGCCTGTAATCACAGACATGGTTACGAGTCAAAATGTGAAGGACCTGGTGCAGGAGCTGGAGGAAAGTATGCAGAGGGAGAAGGGAGGCGGATTAGGAGATTGAGGCCCTCAAAAGGCAGCTGTGAAGGCAGCAGCAGCAAGGCCTGTAATGGAGATGTGGTGTATGAAAGTCACCTTCTCACAAATACTCAGCTGCTGGACAAGGCACTGTTGCGCTTCCCCAATCTATGTGCATTTTCTTGTAGTTGGTGGGGCAACCCCATGCCAAGTTGAACATCTGGCTTGTTGCTCCGATCCCATTCAAATGGCCAAACTTGCAGACCTAGTCACTATAGATATATGTGTGTTTATGCATCTGTCTGGGTGATGAACAAGTGGCTGTTGTTGCTGTCATAAGATGTTATCAGCTGCTGTCTAGCCCTAAGGCAGTCCGGAGACATGTCGATACAAGCTTGATACATGTGCAGCCCCGAAAATGTGATAATTAGGCACGAGTATGTCCGCTTAGTGTGTCATGTGTTATGATTAGGTTAGTTAAAATGATTTCCAGGCTATATGAGCGTGGGGATGTGGTGTGTGTCCTGATGACCTACTCTCTAGCTATTGCCATTTGGCAATCCAGGTATTTGTACCACCCAAGGCTCAACAGCTACGGGACAGTTGTTGCTGTAGATGTGCAGCCCCGAAAGCACAATGGAAAGCATGGTTACAACTGGTGTATGCATATTAACTGTATTGGTGCTCCGATGTAAGGATGAAAACCCTAAAACCCTAAGGATGCTTGAATGTCATGCTCGTGGCCCAAAGGAAGGCCTATTGTTCCAGCACAAAGACGCATATGGTTTATAAACAAAAAAGAACGTAGGCAAGGTTACCAGAGGCAGGCACCGATCGACCAGGTCCGCCAATGCTGTGTGTCCATGCCACACTCTCCAAGGATCAGCTGAACTCATTTTAATCTTGTAACGTTTCCTGACCAAAATTACGACCGTCGAGGTTTCCATGCTATTGGCTAACATAACCGTTCATGTACGGACTTGGATATTATGGCTTCAACGACCTCTGCATCATACACATATCTAGATTACGAAAGAACAGGTGCAGCAGGCCTCGGAAGATGGGGCCGATGTCCAGCCGGGAATGGAAGCGGGTGGCCACCGTGAGGAGGATTTGGCGTCCATCAGGGAGGTGAGATGGAAGGGAGGGTCGGGGCGCCATGTATTTATGTGGGCCGTCAAAAAGCTGTCGTACTTCGGCCCTTCTTCCCACTGGCAGGTTTGGCTGATGATCGTGGCGGGTTTCATCTTTACGTACAGAAACAGCTGGCGTATGATGTGGGCCGTGTCCTTTTGTGTTGTCATCACCGTCGTGATACTGCCGGGTGTGATAGCGCTACTGCCAACCCGCAGGGCAGCATACCTAGATGGCGCTTTGGACCGGGTCGCAGATTACGTGAGCCACCGCAGCCGTAGCCGCCGTCGGTTGGCAGTAGCAGCGCTAGCAGCAGTGTGAGCAGTAGCAGGGCTAAGATGTATATGCATAACGACAGTGATAGCGGCAGCGGAGCCGAGGACTCTCCCGTGCCTAAAAAGGCACAGGAAATGGTGGGCGTGCAAATGGATAAATAGAGAGATAAATACAATGTATATGAAGGGCGGATATGTGGATGGGTTGGCGAATATAATAGATAAACGGGCGGTTGGATATGCCGGTTTAGTGAGGAGTAATCCGAAAAGACAGATGGTGGGCGGCATGTTATGGGAGACATGACGTCATCATGCATCTGACGAGGGAGTAGAAAGTAGTAGCAACGGTTACGGCAGCGGTTGTAGCAACGGCAGTAGCAGTAGAGTATGGAAGTTCCTTGACGGACCGCACTTGGTTTGAATTTTGTGGTACATTCGTGCCTGGGTTTAAATCCGCCTGCCGACTCCGCGGGTGTTTGAGGGGTGATGAAATGGGAGGTGGCCCCCCATCTTGCGGACAGTGTAGGACGTGATAATAAATAATAACTTGCGAGCTGACCAGGAACTAAGTTGAGGCGCCTTTGATCCGCTAGATTTGGTTGGATGCTGGTGGTGAGTTGCTGAACCCAACGAATACATTCTGAAGTCGGATGGGGTGAACGGATTAGGGTGCCCCTCTCGCAGGGGAGACCGGGGAACTGCCTCGCGAAAGGGGGCCGCTGGTGAAGTTTAACCACCCTGTAACAACATACGTGCATACAACTGCAGTTCTGGGACTACAGTTAGGGAAATATGTTTTGAACTGTTTGACGCGTTACGTCAGCATTATCGGATTGCTCGTACCAAAGCATATCATGAGAGAAGCAAGCTATCCAACGTCGCATCAGGTTTTTGTGGGAAGGGGGGAATTTACATGGGGGCCTCAAGGGGTATGTGCGTGTGTGTTTCATGTACGACAGTACGTGCGCGACTTTTGTATTATGTAAAAGCGCGCAAGGCATTGATTACGCATGAGATATTTATATATACTCAATTCTTTTGTACGGGTAAAGGATGAACACGTCATCGGTTTAGGGTTTGGGGGATGTGTGATAACCCCGGGAAAGTGGCCTTTCCGTACAGCGCGTGATAAGAAGTACGGAGGGTAAGTACGTACATACGTGGAGACGAGGGTCGTACGGTATTCAGACTCTTGTGCAGTGACCATGAAAGCTGCGGCCTGGGACGGTCGCAGCACGATGCCTTGGAGTCAGGCGTGGTTGTTTCATCGGCAGTGCACCTGCGCAGACTGTGCTACAGTTGACTGGCCGCAGGGTGCACCAGCCCTCCTGCGAAGCAAGGCTGTTTCGCTCGCTTCTTTTATCTAAGTTAAACTATGCTTTTGCGGGGCAGGTTGATGCGAAGGCAGGCGGGAGAGATAAGAGAGTCTACTTGTGCAGGCGTTTGTGTGTACACGCGTGTGTGTGTGTGTGTGTGTGCTCGAGTCATTGAGCATCCAGGAGCAACCAGGTTCACGAGGGTCAGTTGATGCTGCTGTACATCATGACGGCTGCCGTCCGGGTACGGCAAAACGAAGGGTGGAAAACGAGGCAGGGCGGGTCAGTTAGGAGCAAGAATTCCAGGGTGACGAGGGGCCTGGTGCATTAAAACCCTCGTCGAGCATCCAGGAGCAACCAGGTTCACGTGTTGCCGGATCCACCGCAAGGGGATATCTTCTGGTAGCGCCGCTGCAGTCCCCTTCTATTTGCACGCTCATGCATGCTCGTCCCCAGGAGGGAGTGCTGCTAGGTGGTGCTCAATAGCACGATGAACGCAGAGCCCGCCGAAGTGCCTCTCCATTGCTTTCTTCATGTTTTTGTCCACACATGCACGTGCACAGCTTTTGCGCACTTGGGAGTTGGGAGTGCACCAATCGTAATGCACCAAGAAGGCCGGATTGGTACTGCACGGTTGCTTCATATTCGACTTCAAGGTGGATCGTGCTCGTGGTCCTTTTTTCATTGTGCTTGATTGCGTTTGAGCCTGGAATGGAAACGCGTATCCATGACGAGGACGATCTTCCGTTCTCTGTGGACGACCTGTTATCAGGGTGGAAAGGTTTGGAGGCTATATATGGTACTATGGTAGTTGTGACATGGATGCCTGCCTTACGCACGTGTCCATAGCCTATGCATGTACATTGTAAGAGGGATCAGCTCCCCTGGCATCTCCCAACTGAGTACTCTTTGCCTGGTGTTACATACATCATGTGCTTGCAGTGTTTCATATACAGAATTGAGATGCCACAACGTACCTACCTACCTAGGTGGTTATGCGGCTTGTGAATCTTGGATGGCAACTAGTGGACAATTGCAGGCGTGGGTAGAACAAACGTCGCTAGCACAGTAGACCATTTGTAAGCACACTCGCCCCCATGGGGCAGCCCTCTCAGCCGCTATCCACTATAGCAGCATCGCAGCATTGCCTCCAATCATAGTGGGCATCCCTGTAAGCTTTCTCGTCCCAGGGAGAGCTCCCGCTCTCCATTGCAACCAAACCACAAATCCCGATTCACTCATCTCCTGTGTACAAACGCTCTGTGAAAAAATCAACAGCGCAGCCCAGTTTGTCCAGCCACTCCACCTTGGCCTGCCAATCAAGGATGGGTCTGACGAGGGTCCCGAATGTAACATCGCCGCGATTGAACTCTTTCACTGCTGTCAGACTGCCAGCCAACAGAGAGTAAGTTATACAGCCGCTGTTGTAGGGAGCGCAGGTTGAACCCGTAGGCTGTGGAAACGGGGGTGGCCAACTTAATGAGGTCGTTCACGTCCTCCCTAGGCGGCACGACACAGGCTCCAGCCGTCGCATCAGCTTTCAGGATAATACCCTTTACGGTGTCTTGGAAGCTTGACGGTGCTGTCGCAGCACTGCCGGGTCCGACCCCCTGGCGCGTGGGTCACATGCCATCCATGGGCGGTCCAGCACGCTCACACAACCACGGCACTTCGGAGCCCATTACTTTGTTAAGACCCCAGATACCTAGATAGATACTAGATTTCTGCCTGATGCGTGTACCAGAACCAACCACAGCGGGGGCTCCAGTGTCCTGACAACTCTTTCTCCGGGCAGCACCAGGACCTGACCTAACCTAGAGCTGCTACGAGCATCACGGCACACTGTCTTCCGATGCACTGCTTTACGGTGCATTATCGTGGTTGAGTCAATGAAAAGAGTCAACTAGTAACTGAAAGTTGCCTAGAATGGGAGATAACTTTCCAATGGATGCAGTCCACAACCCATCTTTGCCACACCACGACAAGTGACATACGTCGATCTTTGTGGGGATCGAACCCACATCAGCCCCCAGGGGCTGGATCAATTGTTTTCTATTATACAGTTTCATCTATTTTCCAAAAGGGTTCGCCGCCCGACACGTCGTCCGCCGCCATCAGTTCCGTCGTGGATCCACCTCCGCCGCATCCGCACCCGGGGGGCCCGCATGCGCTTTTGGCAACTGCCAAGACCCACAATAAAATTACCGTACACACATACCCAACTACATGCACACACAGGTATAATACAAAACAGATGCAAGCGCAAAGTTGCCCTCGTGCGCCATCCTCCGCACCTTCCTTCACGTTTTGCTCAGTCCAGCACACGCCGACAACACATCCCCGCAAAACATATGTACATATGATCCTCCGTGACATAATCTCCACACGTGATGTATAACAAATCCCACATGCATACCAAACGCTTTACCACATGCATACGAAAACTTGGTGTACACCCATTAACCACCACCGCGGGGGCGCCAGCGGGCAGCACCGTGACTGTGCCGTCGCAGCACTGCCGGCCGGTGGCTAGGAAGGCGCAGCGGCGTGACGGTGCATTCCCTCTACTAATGCGGTCATAACCAATATTGATCCTGAACATATGGACTTTTGGTGTCGTCGTAGCACTGCTGGCTGGCGGGTAGGACACGGCAGCGCCGTGACGCGAGCGCTAGACCACAAGTGAATGCCGATTCACAAGAAGCTTCTTGTTGCCGGCCAGCCATCAAGCCACAAACCTTGCAGCCGTACAAGTCACTTGATACGTTAGCCGAATGTCCCTTTATGCAGAACGGTGACGTTGGCCACAGCCCATATTGTTATAATCCTAAAGGTGGCCTCATGGGCTTCCCCTCAAAGTAAAATCGGATTTCTAGGGTTGAACCACTGAACTCAATTCAGGGAGTGAACAGCTAAGCAAGGATGCGAGGGCTGCTGTTCCTATTGCACTCGGATTAAAAGATTGCAACTGTTATGCATGCCCTTCTTGGGCATGTTCTTCACGAGTGTCATGCTCAACTCTTGATGACAGCTCCGATCTGTAAGGTGGTCCTTGCTAAACATGCAGACGAACATATCTTGCACGTATGTTATGTGAACGTATGTTATATGAAAGGAACTTAATAGAAAGATATCAACTTGGCGTGCAAGCGCGCTTGCCATGATAAGGCCCATGCTGCCATCTCAGCTATTACACACAAAAACTTCATAGCATTTTGCCCTGGTTTGTATGCTGGTGGTTCATTATATCACAGTTGGCTCTGAGGTTGACCTTCTGTTTAAGCAGCAGGTACAATATTTCATCCGTGAAATTTTTGCTATCCTTGTGTAGATCCGTCCCCATAATCATATTCAAAACGTATCCTTTGTTTTAACCGATACATTTCTGGACCGCTCCTTGGCAGCATGAAGCTTTGCACGGACGTCATAGGGCCGAATGCCCTGCCAGCCACCAGGAGGCAGAGTGCGAGGAAGCCATTTAGTGGAGCAAAGGTTGCTCTGCCCTGCTGCCACGCTAAATCCGCAAACCTGCAACGCCAGCAGCGACTAGTCTGCAATGCCGTCGCTGAGCTAACTGCAGCGGAGCTGCGCGGTAGGACGTGTAATTGCACATAAGTGCAACCGCATATGGGTATTGATCTGGCTTCTTGGATCTGTCAGCGCTGTTGGATCCCCGTATTTTGTTGGTCGCGATATCATGCCGAATGGTTCCTTTCCGACTTATCGCTCTGGTGACTACGGGCCTTGAGTCAGCTTGTTGATTCGTTCCCGATGTTTTTAAAATAAGATCAACTTCGTCTCGAACACTTGCTTAAGCCCCGCGAAGGCGTGTTTATGCAAGTTCTCCACAAATCCTTTTACACCTTTTCCCTGTGGAACCCTATCGCTCATACCTGCAGCGATGAAGGTGTCAGAATCAGACTCGGTCGGCTTCGACGCGGAGGTTTCGACACGGTTGTCTCGCTCGTACCCCCTGGCGGCCGTGGTGGGCCAGGACAATATCAAGCAGGCGCTGCTACTGGGTGCCGTGGACACTGGGCTGGGAGGTATTGCTATAGCAGGCCGCCGCGGTACGGCCAAGTCCATCATGGCTCGCGGCCTGCACGCGCTGCTGCCTCCCATTGAGGTGGTGGAAGGCAGCTTCTGCAACGCGGATCCGGAGGATCCCCGCTCATGGGAGGTGCGTCGGTGGTGGTGTTCCTTCGCAGTATATATTGCAGGGGGAGCGGATAGAGGGAGGGAAAGGGCCTTACATCCCAGTTGGCGTGATTGGGGCGGTTCCTGCCGGTTGGCGGGGAATGGCGCAGGTAGAAAGTCGCGGCGGGAGGCTGTTAGAAGGATGTTTTAACAGGGACGCAGATGCGATGGGGGATGCGTCCATGAAAAATGGATATGGAATTCGCGTTTATGGATACGTCCGGAGGGAGGCTTGGTGGAGGGACAGGAGCAGCAGGATGAAGGGTTTAATTATCAAGGCGACCACGATTGGGCTTAAACGATGCTAGTTTATAATCTGTGACGAGGGCTCGCCTCGGGAAAGGCACGCGACGGCTACAGTCATCAATATGCGCGTGTCGTGGGGTGCGTAACCCGCATTTGCAAACCGCCCAGTGCGAGCCGAGGGCTCAATGGCTGCCAGATCGCCTATATGCACCATCCTACCTCGCACTTCAGGCAAAGCACGGGCGTCGATTTCCGATGGATCAGTCCAGGATACACAGGGGCCCGGTGTGTGTGTGTGTCTTTGCGTGTGTGTGTGTGTTTGTGTGTGTGTGTGTATGTGAGAGAGACATCTATGCGTCCAGGGCCCTTGCTGCAACCCCGTGGCCCCCATTCCCACGATGTCCTCTTGACCTCTCAACCCATTCCTCTTGTTGGCCCCCTTCCCTGCTACCCTCCCATGACGCGTGTATCCTCCGCGTGCTGTGCCCCCTACAGGCCGGCCTGGCTGGAAAGATCGGCGCGGGGCCCGTCAAGGCCAAGCTGCGATCCGCTCCGTTCGTACAGATCCCCCTGGGTGTCACGGAGGACCGCCTGGTGGGCACCGTGGATATCGAGGCGTCCATGAAGGTACGACATAGCACGACAACCAGTACGGCGCCCTGGAGAAAGACGAGTCAAGTCAAGTTACGATAGGAGATTTGCCAGTTCCAAAATCAGAGCCGTTGCCTGTCTGCCGTAATGCCACTAGGGCGAGGGTGATGTACTCTTTTTATGGGAGCCCTAGTTCCAGTATTAATTGTCTTTTCATTCGTCTCAACTGGACCAAGGTGTGGTGCTATACACCTCTTCTGCAGGCCGTATCATCAGGGCTAGGCTAAGACGTCAAGGCTCCAAAACCAGTGCTCTGTAGACAGGCTACGGCTTGAGCCTGTATGGGGTCCTGTCGTTTTCCCTCGGTGTCATCCCTCAGACATTGCGGTTTGCCTGGTTGCACTCTCCTTTCCTCTCCTCTGATGTGTTTCCACCACGTTCTCAGGAGGGCCGCACCGTGTTCCAGCCTGGTCTTCTTGCTGAGGCCCACCGCGGCATCCTGTACGTGGACGAGATCAACCTGCTGGACGACGGCATCGCCAATCTGCTGCTGTCCATTCTGTCGGATGGCGTCAATGTGGTGGAGCGGGAGGGCATCTCGATCAGCCACCCGTGAGTACACAGTCGAGGGTTTTTTTGGGGGGACATGCGATTAAGGGGATGGGTGTTGAATGAGCATATTCAGGTTGTGGCCCTGTCTGGGAGGGGAGAACGGGACTGGGGATGGAAGGAACGGCCCTCGTGCACCCAGCACCGAACCTGCTGACCGCATCCATTCACTCCGTCCCTACCCGACCCACCTCCCCCCACCTCCCGACCCAGTTGCCGTCCTCTCCTGATTGCCACGTACAACCCCGAGGAGGGCGCCCTCCGCGAGCACCTGTTGGACCGCATCGCCATCACCCTGTCAGCCGATGTGCCATCTGCCTTCGATGACCGAGTCAAGGCAATCGACGCAGCCATGCGCTTCCAGGACAAGCCGCAGGTATTAGGAACCAGCTTTTCGCTTGGCACTAAGAGGAGTGCGCTTCGCCGTGGGTGCTCTGTACTGAAGAGCTGCATACTTAAGCGCCGTAGTTACCGTGATGCCTGTTCTTGAGAAGAATCCTCGCGCCATGCAGTCCAGGTTTCATTGTTGCACTGCCTCTAACATTGAGGTAAAAGAGAAACACGAAACGAGCAATATGCCTGGTGGTTGTGGTGATGGTGGTGGTGGTGTGCACGGGATATGCACTGATTCGTGTGTCCCCTGGCGGGCGGTACGTGTACGACAGGACACCATTGACGAGACTTCGGAGCTGACGGACGCGCTGCGCACCTCGGTGGGTCAACCCCCTGGTGGTTTGGGGATGATACGGATGATCTACAGAATTCTATCTTTAGGACTCTTAATAGGATTTAATAGAACCGTTGAATTCCATCCATAGACTTCAATAGGACCATTGTCCTTTGGTTATGGAGGAAGAAGGTTATTGAAGGGGGCCAGGTGCCAAACGCGACACTTTGGGTCGATTTGCGTTCTTCATCACGGTTACTCGGTCTTCACACTTGACACAGGTCATCCTGGCGCGTGAATACCTGAAGGAGGTCAACATTGCTCCTGAGCAGGTGGGCGGCGGCGGTAGAGGGGGGCTGGGTGGAGTTTGGAGGGCACCCAATTGGAGGGCATGCACTTTGGGGATATCGGGCTGGGCGCGTCTGTGTGTGTGTGTGCGTGCGCGTGTTTGGCAGCATGACCAGCACACCTTGGCGATTGGGTCGCAACACGGATTGGTATTCGGCAGTGTGCACACACCAAGCTGGAGCAAAACCCGCAAAAGATTTGCTGCCATGTTGGGCGGCGCCTGCACGAGCGCACGGGGCGGGCACATCTTGTTCAGTCGTGAAAGAAACATTGTTAGCCCTCGAAAGCTCGTGATTGATTGATTGCCTTCCCCGCTCCTGGACACGAAAGAGAAGGAAGAAAGGGTTAGGGTATAGTGCATGTACAAGATTCGGCTGGTGCATGGCATGCTTGGGTAACCCTGTGGCGCTGTTTGCTGCACGATGGCTATTTTTGTGGATGCGGCACCACCGGACAAGGCGCAGGCATGGAGGAATCCTCTTATATCTGTTCGGTTTTTATTCCTTCCTGGTTCGCGGCCATGGCAACAGTCATGTGATCTCACAGGGAAAGGATCTTGCAATTAAGATATCTGCGTGATTACGAGGGTTGTTCTGGGGGAAACTGCATGACACATGATTCGTGTGTGTTCGCGCTGAACGAGCCATCGAATGAGGAGCAACATGTCTTCCCTGGTGCCGTACTTGCTGCAGGTGACGTACCTCGTGGAGGAGGCCCGCCGCGGCGGTGTGCAGGGTCACCGCGCCGAGCTTTACGCTGTCAAGGTGAGGAGTGAGAGTTGAGGGGATGCGGGAAGAGAAAACGGTAGTGGTATTCAGAGGAGAAGGCTTCTGACATGTGCCCGCTAGCCCGCCATAATCGTTTCGCCCTCCCTCCTCTATCCTTCCGCTCCATGCCCTCGCATCTCCCTGTTCGTCTGTCTGTCTGTCCACCCTGGTCCCCCCCTTCTTCCTCCCCCCTCCCTCCCCAAACCCCCAAACCCCTTCCCCTCCCGTCCCCAGGTGGCCAAGGCATGCGCCGCGCTAGAGGGCCGCGAGCGCGTCAACAAGGACGACCTGCGCCAGGCGGTGCAGCTGGTCATCCTGCCCCGGGCCACCATCTTGGACCAGCCGCCGCAGGAGGAGCAGCCACCGCCGCCGCCGCCCCCACCGCCGCCGCCGCCGCCGCAGGTAAGGAAAATGCGAGATGCGATGCGAACCTGATTGGGTTGGAACTCTTCGTTTCGGATGCAATGACGGAATAACGTGCCTTGGTTGTTCCTAACACAAACCGTTGCCGCGGAATGCGGTAAATGGGTCCTGCAACGGGTTTAGACGTAGTACGTGGAAGGCGAGGGCAAGAAAATCAACTTTTGCCAAGCCAGGCACGGAATGGCATGGACTGCGGCATACACAAAGGCTCTCATCGAGAATGGTTACTAATGGAATAAAAAACTGTAAAATCCTCGAAATTACCTCTCTCCTTCAGGACAACATGGAGGAGGAGGACCAAGACGAGAAGGAGGAAGAGAAGGAAGAGGAGGACAAAGAGAACGACAACCAAGACCAGCCTGAGGTGGGGTTTGTTGTGCTTGGAGGGGGGGATTGCGGCATCTGGCCGGAAACGCCTTTATCCCGCGATGTATGTTCCGCCTGAGACGTACTTTATATTGGAAGCTCTTGTCGCTCTCTTGTAGCACTCGCAACGGGGTTGATGCAAGAGAGAGATTTTGTCTCGTAGCAAATCGGTACCTGTTGCAGCTCTTGGCATGTCCAGTCGGCTATGAACAGCCCCGACATTAACCCATCCCGTCCATCCTTTGTTGCTCTCCCCGGGGCCATTTGCACGTGCATTTGTTTGTATTGCGCTTCCTGTCTTGACTCAAATCTCCGTTGTCGTCTCAGCGACTTCATATGCGCCTACGTTTCGCTTGCAGGGGTTTGTCTAAGTGAATTCCCCAGCCTCATCCCGGCCCCCCGATCTTGCCACCCATCTTGCCACCCTCCCTGGCGCGCCTCTCTCCTCCGTAGATCCCTCAGGAGTTCATGTTCGAGGCGGAGGGCGTCATCATCGACCCCTCCGTCCTCATGTTTGCACAGCAGCAACAGCGGGCGCAGGGCCGTAGCGGCCGCGCCAAGACGCTCATTTTCTCGGACGACCGCGGCCGGTACATCAAGCCCATGCTCCCCAAGGGCGATAAAGTCAAGCGCCTTGCGGTGGACGCCACTCTGCGCGCCGCGGCGCCGTACCAAAAGGTGCGGGTTTGAGCGAGTGGGGAGGAGTGTGAGGATGTCGGGATAGATGATAATTGCAGACTTGGAGAGTTGCCTCGTGTTGGGTTTTAAGGCGTAAGGAGAGACTCTGCTGCATACAGTGACAGGCACGTGGTGGAGCGGGTCCACTGAATCCAATTAAATCGGATCCAATCTGACCGGATCCAACTAAATCGGCAGCGCCGCTTGGGGGCTTTTGCCAGCGGCGTACCTCCGTGCCAGTGCTTGCTTGGTGCCGTTGTGTCGAAGCCGTGGACTCCGACGCAACCTGTGCTGACGTGTTTGATTCCTCTTATTCACTGTTTTGTTATAACTGCAAGTCCTGATGCTGCATCTTGATAGGTTTTGTTCATCTCCCCGCAGCACTTTTTACATCAATATGCCCTTTTGACTAACTGTTTGCTGATCTGTTCGTACGTCCTTAACGCCCGTCCGCGCCCCTGGATGACGTCAACAGATTCGGCGGCAGCAGGCCATCAGCGAGGGCAAGCAGCAGCGCAAGGTGTATGTGGACAAGCCGGATATGCGTTCCAAGAAGCTCGCACGCAAGGTGTGATATGTGTGTGTGTGTGCTGCAGGGGCCACAGGGCAAGCGGGGCTGGGGACTCGAGCTTGCGGATGGTTGTCTGGCGGTGTCACGAGTGGTGGAATGACCTACCGGGTGCCCGTCCGGGTCTCTTGTCGTAAATTGGTTCTGAGTTTTCGGTGATAAGCAGGCAGATACGCCCAGGCTGACACAGCGATAAAGGCAATTTGCAGTGTTGATGACCTGCTTGGGACCTCCTTAGATGTACTGCCTAGGTAGAAGCCTGCTGAAGGGCCTCTTAAGTGCCCCGTCAACTAGCCCTCGCGAAATGCAGCGCCCTTGCCCTGCCAGGCTTTCATCGGCTCCCCCTCCCCCCCCTTCCCCCCCCCGTCCTCCCCCCTCGGGCCCCTCCCTCCCCCTTCCAGGCCGGCGCCCTCGTTATCTTCGTGGTGGACGCCAGCGGCTCCATGGCGCTGAACCGCATGAGCGCAGCCAAGGGAGCGTGCATGAGACTGCTGGCAGAGTCGTACACGTCACGTGACCAGGTACGGACGATGGACGAGCGAGTTAAAGGGGCAGGCGGCGTGTCATTACGGCACGCTGTCTCGCTACGTTCACTGGGGCTCCGGAGGGGTCTTCATCCGAAATCCCGCCACGCATGCTCCCTTCACGCGGTGATCTATGTATATGTATTATCCACTACACACATTCCATCTCCCGTCAGACCTGGTCCTACTTTACCGCTCAATCCGTTCCTTACATGCAATTATTTGAGTTTGTTTGTGAGGTGAGACATGCACGCTTTCTTAATCACCAGGTTCGTCACGAGTTCCATTTCCGTCTGCCGCGCAGGTCTGCCTCATTCCCTTCTACGGGGACAGGGCCGAGGTGCTGCTTCCGCCTTCAAAGTCGATTGCCATGGCCCGCCGCCGCCTGGACTCGCTACCCTGCGGTGGCGGCTCCCCCCTAGCACATGGCCTGTCCACGGCCGTGCGTGTCGGTATGCAGGCTTCCCAGGCGGGTGAGGTGGGTCGCGTGATGATGGTCCTGATCACGGATGGCCGCGCCAACGTGAGCTTGGCCAAGTCGAACGAGGATCCGGAGGCGCTCAAACCCGACGCGCCCAAGCCCGCCGCTGACCAGCTCAAGGACGAGGTGCGCGACATGGCCAAGAAGGCCGCCGCGGCTGGGATCAACACGCTGGTCATTGACACGGAGAACAAGTTCGTGAGCACGGGGTTCGCGGAGGAGATCGCGAAGGCGGCGCAGGGCAAGTACTACTACCTGCCGAATGCATCCGACGCCGCCATCGCGGCAGCTGCCAGCACAGCTATGGCGGCAGCCAAGGCGCTGTGAGGGGCTGCGGGGTGTTTTCTGGGTTGTGGCTTTGCATGTGGCTTTGTCTGCATGCATGTATAGCATTAGTAGAGGAGCTACACAGTTCGCCATGGGTGGAGCTGCCAGGTGCCTTGGAATTTTTGATGTACTGACTTCTAGAGCAGTGTATGATTTGCCTGTTGTGATGGCGTGACGTTTGCATTCCGACCCGGGTCGGCCTCTGGCGGAAACAAACAGAGCTGTGTCTTGGACTTGTCCAAGTCCGTCTGGACAACTCATGGCTGGTGCGGCATGACTGCGGTGGCACGGCCCGAGAACCCTTTCAAACTTAGGAGCGGTCGTGGACCTACAGGTCGTGTTTTCGGCGCACTGGCCTCGCTGGTTTACTGATGTCGATCAGAGGTTGCGGTTTTAACCGTCCAGTAGGAGTTTTAACCGTCCAGCTGGGGAACAACGACCGCTCTCCCTAGGTGCAATTTTATTGCAGGGGAAAACGCTTGCGATTTTCTTGACGTGAGGCTGGGCCAAGGTCGGTGGACACGGGCTTCTTGAGGGATATGGGAGATGAGCTTTCGGGTTGTGCACGAACACGGTGGCGTGCGGTTTCTCGCGTGGTTGTCCTATTCAACTATGCTGTCTGATTCTGTCAGGTCGAGTGACTGGTCGCTTTTTGGGCCCGGAGAGAGTGTGGGTGCGAGGTTCGTCGGGAAGGACGGATGTAGGGGAACTGTTTTGGGGCCATGTCAGGCTATGATGGGCTGATTGGTGATCATCATCAGCTGATCGCGTCTCGCGGTTTGGCTGAAAAGTCGTCTCCGCTACAGGCTCAAGATTTGGGGGCATGGGAAGATTAGGTAAGATATGCTTCTCCTCCTACATGTGTGTGCGACAATCGAGACGGGCGTATTTAAATATCTGAGCGTGAGGATCGAGAAAATGAACCTGTTTTGCGCTTTCCGGACGCGCATGACATACCTTGTTCGTCGCACTGGAGATTCCCTTGACCGCTTGACTTACCACCTCCGTGTAACCATTCCGGTAAGGGAGGCTCTCTGCTCTTGTGGCAAGCAGCTTTTGTGTGTTGGTCGAGGTTCCAGCGACCGATAAAGGGCTGCACTTCTGCTGAGCCGGACACGGCGCAAACGATATAACCAGTAACGGCCAAACGCTGGCCATTCACAGCCTCATTGCTTTGCGGTTCTACGGACTTGCTTGTAGTGATGTAGTTTACCATGTACAACGTATATATTTGTGCGTGTTGCTGACCCAAGGGTCCAACGTCTGTACCGGTCATACCTACTCGCAAGAAAAACGACCCAACACCACACCATCAGACACAAACACCTGGACAAACATTGCTTTCCACACACACTCAACACACACATAGAAAATCCCTAGCCACGCGTACCCACCAGCTCCACTACTGCGTACTCACCAACAGCAGCGTTGCTCCGCTGCTCGTCTTTATTAGCTCAGCAGGTCACCTTCTCCACTGTAAGCTTTTTGGAGCCCTCCCGTTCCCAAGCTCCCAAAAGGTCGCGCAGACGCAAAACAAGCTTTTCCATGCTTTCCTTCCACCGGCTACAGCCACGCGACTGGGACAGTGGCTAGCCGCGCCACCTAGCTAGCTTCTAGAAGTTCGCTTCTTCCACAAAAGAAGGACTTAAACAATTTTAGCCCCATGCGTAGTCCGCTGCGGCGCAGACTTGCAGCCGAGGACCTCCCGCAGCAGCACTGCGCCGCCGGTCTCGGTGTCTTCCTTCGGCGTCCCTTTCCACCCCCGCGGCCGCCACCGCCAGCATGGAGGCTACTCGGCAGCCCCTCGGCACCAGTCCCAGCATCAACACAGCGCCAACTAGCGCAGAAACGGTTCCACGGCGCAGCCGCAGTAGCAGCAAAGGGGCATCAGGCAGCAGCGGTTCCGGAGTTGCGGCTCACACAGCCCTATCCATGGCGTCGTCAGTGGGCGGCACCGCAACCGCCGCCGCTGCCGTACCACCAGCAGCAGCAGCAGCAGCAGCAGCAGCAGCAGCGGTTGTGGTGGGGGCCCCGGCCGATGGTCGACTGCCAGGCAGCTGCAACAGATCTCATCACTGCCGAAGCCCAAGGTGGGTTTTTAACTGACCATCTGCCGGGTTGGGTATATACATATGAAGGTAGAGCTGGTGCTGCGTAACCCAATTTGGATTTGAATTTCTTAACTTTGAAAATAAACTCCCTGGCGGCCGCCTTCTTGGCCGGAATAACAGCCCCCGCCTGACTGTGCGGGATGGCTGCAGATGGCGCTTAGAGCAGCTGCGTTTGATAGTCTGGAAGTCTTGCCGTAAAATCTTGCAAACAGCTTCCTTTCAACTCGCCGATTCCTCCCCGCCGCACCCGAACCACGTACGTACGTACGTATGTATGCATGTATGCATGTATGCCTCGGCCACCGTTTTGCCATCCGAAACCAGCTCAACCTACCCTTTTTTCTCATCAGCGTCATTATTTGCTATATGGACTCTCCAGCAGCAGCAGCAGCAGTTCGCAGCTTTGGACATCTCAGGCCACAGTTGTTGTTGTTGTTGTTGTTGTTTTCTTAATCCTGCAATATGTAAAAGTCTCCACCCCCGTCCGGATACCCGTGAGCCTCCGTGAGCTTCCAGAACTCCACCTCCACCTGCCCGCGTGTCAAACACACGTGTGTGTTTTTCCCCGGGACTCACCCCTGTCCCCATCCCCAGCTCTGAAGATACGCGCAGCCGACGCAAGAGGCTTCGACCCCGATCCGGCATCCGCGCGCCTCTCCCGCGCCTACCCCCTGGCGGCCGTGGTGGGCCAGGACAATATCAAGCAGGCGCTGCTACTGGGTGCCGTGGACACTGGGCTGGGAGGTATTGCCATAGCAGGCCGCCGCGGTACGGCCAAGTCCATCATGGCTCGCGGCCTGCACGCGCTGCTGCCTCCCATTGAGGTGGTGGAAGGCAGCTTCTGCAACGCGGATCCGGAGGATCCCCGCTCATGGGAGGTGCGTCGGTGGTGGTGTTCCTTCGCAGTATATATTGCAGGGGGAGCGGATAGAGGGAGGGAAAGGGCCTTACATCCCAGTTGGCGTGATTGGGGCGGTTCCTGCCGGTTGGCGGAGATGGCGCAGGTAGAAAGTCGCGATAATTTGTGATTTGGATGTACGGGATTCGTGATCGGGGCGACGGAAGGGAGAAGGGTATGAGGGGGCGTGTGGGGGCCCGGGGAAAAGTGGGGAAGCTGTACGGACGGAGAGATGAGATGGAGAGTAGTGCAGATGGGTTGCATGTGGTGGTAAAGAGGCTGTAGGGATATGCGTGACGAAGGTGAGGGGAAGGAGGAAGAGGAGGAGGAGGACGAGGAGGACGACATATATTTGAGGACGGTTCAAAAAGGGGAGAAATTCAAATAGAAAAAGCTCTGATATCCCCGCTAACACTCCGCCCGCGGCTGCTGGGTGCGCTTCGTTCTGGCCGCGCTTCCCTCCCCAACCTCTGGTCGACGCCCGGTGTTCCATCCTGCCTCTGATCTGGCTGTAATTCCCATGATGTCCTCTTGACCTCTCAACCCATTCCTCTTGGCCCCCTTCCCTGCTACCCTCCCATGACGCGTGTATCCTCCGCGTGCTGTGCCCCCTACAGGCCGGCCTGGCTGGAAAGATCGGCGCGGGGCCCGTCAAGGCCAAGCTGCGATCCGCTCCGTTCGTACAGATCCCCCTGGGTGTCACGGAGGACCGCCTGGTGGGCACCGTGGACATCGAGGCGTCCATGAAGGTACGACAAAGCACGACAACCAGTACTGCAGTACGATAGTAAGGCAACGGTACGGAGGGCGGGGTGACCACTTCCCCCGCTGCAAAGCCTTCCGGAAACACACACACACACACACACCTCCCGGTACTTAGCCCCCTCAGCCATGACCACTACTCCCCCCCCTCCGTCTGCCCCCCCCCTTCCCCGGACTTTTTTAAGTCCCCTGGTTTTTCCCTTTCACATCAATAACTCCCCATTCACCCGTTCACCGTTTCTAGAGGCTCCTCAAACCCCAACAGCCGCCCTTCCAGTAAGCCCCAATGTCCTCCACAATTCCGCCGCCTCCTCGGTCCCCTCTCGCCCCGCCCCCCCCCCCTTCACGGACGCCTTTCGGTCAGTTCTAAGTCTGGTACACTCTTGCCCTGGCAGCAAATTCACTCGTTTGTGGTTCGTCTTTCCCCCCCCTTCTCCCACACTGCGGTTTGCCTGGTTGCACTCTCCTCTCCTCTCCTCTGATGTGTTTCCACCACGTTCTCAGGAGGGCCGCACCGTGTTCCAGCCTGGTCTTCTTGCTGAGGCCCACCGCGGCATCCTGTACGTGGACGAGATCAACCTGCTGGACGACGGCATCGCCAATCTGCTGCTGTCCATTCTGTCGGATGGCGTCAATGTGGTGGAGCGGGAGGGCATCTCGATCAGCCACCCGTGAGTACACAGTCGAGGGTTTTTTTGGGGGGACATGCGATTAAGGGGATGGGTGTTGAATGAGCATATTCAGGTTGTGGCCCTGTCTGGGAGGGGAGAACGGGACTGGGGATGGAAGGAACGGCCCTCGTGCACCCAGCACCGAACCTGCTGACCGCATCCATTCACTCCGTCCCTTCCCGACCCTCCTCCCCCCACCTCCCGACCCAGTTGCCGTCCTCTCCTGATTGCCACGTACAACCCCGAGGAGGGCGCCCTCCGCGAGCACCTGTTGGACCGCATCGCCATCACCCTGTCAGCCGATGTGCCATCTGCCTTCGATGACCGAGTCAAGGCAATCGACGCAGCCATGCGCTTCCAGGACAAGCCGCAGGTAAGCGAGCTTGAGCGAGCTGTGTGCTTTGGTGTGTGCTTTGATGTGTGCTTTGGTGTGTGCTTTGATGTGCGTGTGGATACATGCGTTGTTGAGGGCACCGGGGTTCTGAGGGCAGCTGTCCGGACACGTGGGGGAGGTGGAATGGGTGGACGAGTGGACGTAGTGTTATTATTGCCTCCACGGACATATTGCGCGGAGGGAGGACTACCAGTGGAGGACTCCAGCTGTCCCCTGTTTTCGCGCCCCTGCCGCCCCCCGGCCCCCCCGTCCCTGAGCAGCCGTCGTGGTGCTGTTCTTCATGTCTTTTCCAAAGGAATCTATATTTCCCTTTCTTTTGTTTCAAGCCTGCAGCAGGAGGGGCCTTCGGAATACCAACACCCACATATGCACATCCATACAGACAAACCGTGGAAGTGTGGTGATGGTAGCGGTGACCAGCAGCTGAAGGTAGCGAACATTATGTTGCAGTATCCGGAGCTAAGGAGGGTCTCGATTTGCAGACGCACTGCTACGGCTTAACAAATCGGATAGTTCGAATTAGTTCGACATAATTTTTCTTTTTGAGCGATGAGATATGGGTTCTCCTTATGCGTATAAACGTTATCTTATTTATTTTCCAGATAGATACTTTGGAGAGTAACGCACCGCCAGAAGGTGTAACGCACACGCACACACGATGTAAATATTACCAAAATAAATTTAAATATATTTTAAACTTACCCGTGTGCCATTTTTGCTGATTCCCGCCCGCGTGGCTCGGACCAGTAAGACACACGCGGTGAGAGAGAGCGCATGCGCACCCTCTTGCATCTCGGATTCCGCATTTCCCCTCCCCCTCCCCCCCGAACCCCCAGGAGGTTCTAGACGAGGTTTCGGAGCAGACAGATGCGCTGCGCAATACGGTGGGTGACGGACCCATGGGTCAGCGTGCCCTGCTTTCCCCCACAAGCCCGTATTCCCCACTTCTTGAATCCGCAAGTTTCCGTTTCCGTTTTTCCCCAATAAATACACACATCTCTACACTCATTTTACTAGTTCTAGAACTTACCGACCCGCGGGTTGACTATACTGGTTGAATGTGTGCTCGGTACCTGACTGAGACTGACCCGCGGGTCGTTAACTGGCTGGGAAGTGGGTCTCGATAGCGTTGAACGAGCCATCACGTGGCGACAGCTTATCGCCACATTGGTGCCACATACAGTTTATTGCTGTCCCGCTCATGGTCCGGGAGTCCCGGGCTGCTGCACTCCCTGCGGCTTGGTTCGGTAGACATACATATCTGACCTGTGGGACCCGGGATTGCTCGGTGGCTGGGATGGCAGGATGCGCATTCGAGGCCCGTATGAGCCAAGGCATGAGGCTGCCAGTGGAAAATGACGGACATGGAACATCTTGCTTGCTTGCCTGTCTGTCTGTCTGTCTGTCTGTCTGTCTGTCTGTCTGTCTGTATGAATGCCTCCTTACCCCTCGGGATCTTTGCCTACCTGCCTGGCGCCATCTGGCCCCCCGCCATCCGCGTATCCCGTATATGCGTCCCCTTCAGCCCGCAGCCCAGTGGGTTTCTCCTCCTCCCCCCCCCCCCTTAGCTGACTTTCCTTGCTGCCTTTCTACTCTGTGCCATCTGGTTGGGCACCCAGGTAACCATGGCCCGTGAGTGCGTCAAGAACGTCATCATCACACCCAAGCAGGTGCGTGTGTATCGCATACACGGGGAATATGCTGGGGGAACTGATATCGGGAGGGGTTTTGTGTCGGGGTAAGGGAAAGGGGGAATGTGTATGTCAGTATGTTGTTACAGGGTGGTATAGCTTCACCAGCGGCCCCCTTTCCCTTGGAGGCAGTTCCCTGCTCTCCCCTGCGAGAGGGGCACCCTAATCCATTCACCCCATCCGATGTCTGTATGTGTGTGTGTGTCGGCGGGGAGGGGGGGGAAATACGGGCACGGGGTACGAATCTGCTTGAGGTCCAGGAAGGGAAAGGGAGCCTGTGGACACGGTAAATGATGGTGGTGGGCCTCCTCTTGTGCAAAGCCTGAGCTTCTGAGTCGCCTTAAGTTAGCAAAGCAGCAACAATTCCGTGTGTTGCAAAACGATGCACGGATACTGAGGCCGTACAAATCTGTCGTACAAGTGGCAGGTGTCGTACCTTGTGGAGGAGGCGCGGCGTGGCGGCGTGCAGGGCCATCGGGCGGACATCTTTGCGGCACGGGTAGGGGCTTGTGTGGGGGGGGATTGTACATCTGTACGGCACATATGGAGTAGGAAAAGATACTTTATCATTGAAATGCAAGTGGTCGGCGGTACAGGACCTGCGCTTAAAATGCGCGCTCGCATGTTTGCCTTCCCCACGAACTCAGACCTTTCCCCTCAACCTTTTTTACCCTCTTCCCTCCCCTTTTTTGCCCCTCCATTTGCAAGCCACTCCCTTCCCCCAATCCGTACGAATACGAACGCGCGCTAGCCCTCCATAATCGTTTCGCCCTCCCTCCTCTATCCTTCCGCTTCATGCCCTCGCATCTCCCCGTTCGTCTGTCTGTCTGTCCACCCTGGTCCCCCCCCTTCTTCCTCCCCCCTCCCTCCCCAAACCCCCAAACCCCTCCCCCTCCCGTCCCCAGGTGGCCAAGGCCTGCGCCGCGCTAGAGGGCCGCGAGCGCGTCAACAAGGACGACCTGCGCCAGGCGGTGCAGCTGGTCATCCTGCCCCGGGCCACCATCTTGGACCAGCCGCCGCAGGAGGAGCAGCCACCGCCGCCGCCGCCCCCACCGCCGCCGCCGCCGCAGCAGCAGCAGCAGACGCAGCCCGCCCCGCAGGTCCGTACCCAGCTCGTACCTTTGTTCGTATACGGAAGTAGATGCGTGTGGGCATTTACGTCTGTTTTTATGTGTATATGTATGTGGGTATGTGTGCGCATGTTGCGTTTCTTGACACGTTGTGTTTTCCTTCGCATTCCTTCCCGCTCGTGGCGGCGGGAGGTCGTCGTACCGACCAAATTCTAAAACAGTTAGTGCACACGCATACCAGCGCGCAATACGAAAAGCGAGAAGATGGCGCCAGAAAAGAAGATGTGACGACAGGGCGTGATTAAAGGAGGAAGAGGACGAGGAAGGGGGGGGATGGCGAGCCCGCAAACGGGGTGGTGCGGAGCAGAGCCGCCGTCATAACGTCCACACGGCGAATCGAAAGGGGAAGTTGATTGTGTCGCACGTGTGTGGCAGCACGTAAACCTGCCCCAGCTCCCCCGACTGGGGCCCCGACTTTTCTGTTGATCTCAACGGCTTTTCTGAGTTTCTGGTTTCTCAAGCCCCAAAAGTCCCCTGAGTCATTACGCTGTTTCTCCTTTGGACTTGGCAGTTAGATACTCTTTCGCAACCTAGCTAGCGGGCCATGCGGCCGCGATTTGGCTGCTTCCCGAGTCGCTACTGGTTGTCATTGTTAATTTCTTACAATTTCCTGATGCAGTATGTATCTGTATGTATATTCCTGGAGAATATCGTTTTCTCTATCTCTGGTGTCAGAATCACTCGTCTGTGGTTCGTCTCCCCCCGCTTGAGACCCCCGGGGTTTGGCATGCTACATGCACACAGCGCATCACACGCTACACCCGCCGTACTGCTGTTCCCTTCAGGGCGAAACAGAGGAGCGGCGCAGCAGTGAAGAAGGGGAGGAGGAGGAGGAGGGGAGCGAACACGAAGAGAAGGAGAGCCAGGCGCAGGAGGAGCAGGAAGAGGTCAGTACGGCAGCGGTTAGTAGTAGTTCGTTGTGGTATTGGGAAGGGGTGTTAATCGGAAACGATGGAGATTTATGATGGCTTTTTTTGTGTGACAGTTGACTGTCACGAAGTTCGCTGCTCGACCCTCCGCTCTTCTCTCACACACAGAAGAACTTCAAAGTCCTCATTTAACTTACTTAACTTCTTACGATATCCAATAGCACATGATGCACACGCACACGCACACACCGAAACAGGTGCCACTGGAGTTTATGATTGAGGCGGAGGGCGTCGTACTGGATCCAGCCGTACTGGATTTTGCCCGCAAACAGCTACGGTCGCAAGGCCGCCGCAGCGGGCGGACCAAGGCCATAATCTATTCCGAGGACAGGGGCAGGTATCTAGGGTTATTAATAAAGCTTATAATCTGATTGATGCAAAAAAACTGCTGATTGCGGTTATGGGGACGCCTGGGAACGAGTCCTAGAAAGGGAAGGAAAGCAGGAAGAGGGCATGGATAGGAAGGAGGGAAATCATTTTGGCGGGAAATTCAAAAATCTGTAGCATTTTTTCTTCTTGGTTGGGGTATCCTTTGGAAGGACATCTTCGCGAGAATTTCTTTGCTGATGCCTGATGCCTGACAGAAAACCTCTGCTCTCCGTACGTCGTATTTGTACGGCAGGTACGTCAAGGCAATGTTCCCCAAGGGCAACAAAATTAAACGTCTTGCGGTGGATGCCACCCTGCGCGCCGCGGCACCGTACCAAAAGGTACAGGAAAACGCATATGTACGGAATGGTACCACCCGCCGACCGCCGACGCACCCGCCGAACCTGTGTTGCTCCTAACGTTTGCAGATCCGACGACAGCACTACTCTGCCTCCGGCCAGCCGCCTCGGAAAGTCTACATCGATAAATCTGACCTACGGGCCAAGAGATTGGCACGCAAGGTGCGGCGGTTGGTAGTTGGTAGTTAAGATTGGCGGTTGGTAGGGTTGGCCGTTTCTTCTCCTAAAAGCGTGGACACAGGGGGGGCCACTGTGGCCTTAGTCCCCGATATAACTCCTTTTAACGCTACTCCCTCCTCGTACAGCCTTCTCCCCTCCAGCGCGGCACCCCCGCACCCCCCACCCCGCACCCTAGCTTCTCCGCTGCGGTTCTTCGCCCCTTCCATTCCCTCGCCCTGGCAATGCTTTCATCCGCTCCCGCTCCCGCTCTCTCTCTCCTCCCCGTCCTCTTCCCCCCCTCTCTCCCTCCCTCCCTCCCTCCCTCCCTCCCTCCCCCTCACCCCCCCCCTCACCCCCCCCGTCCCCCCCCCTCGGGCCCCTCCCCCTCGGCCAGGCCGGCGCCCTCGTTATCTTCGTGGTGGACGCCAGCGGCTCCATGGCGCTGAACCGCATGAGCGCAGCCAAGGGAGCGTGCATGAGACTGCTGGCAGAGTCGTACACGTCACGTGACCAGGTACGGACGATGCACGAGCAGGTACTGTTTTTCCACGCAGTTTATAAACGCCTCCTTTAGGCATATCCGTCCTTTGTCATGCTCAAACCAATTCAACAGTTATAGTACCGTACGGAGAGCCGTACATGCGATACCTTGTGGTGTAGAACTTCTTCAACAATGCTCCCCCTGTGTTGTTCTCAAGCCAACGTTTCGTGGTGCCTTGTACGGCAACCGTGTACACGGGGTTTTCCTCTGTAGATCTGCCTCGTGGCCTTTTTTGGGGACAAGGCCCAAGTTCTGTTGCCACCCTCTCGATCTATCACCCTGGCGAAACACCGTTTGGAGACGCTGCCCTGCGGCGGTGGCACACCTCTGGCGCACGGGCTGTACACTGCCGTACATACTGGCTGTACGGCACTTAAATCTCGCCAAGTAGGCCATGTGATGATGGTCCTAATCACGGACGGCCGCGCGAACGTGAGCTTGGCCAAGTCTAACGAGGCCCCGGAGGCGCTCAAACCCGACGCACCCAAGCCCTCCGTTGACAGGCTCAAGGACGAGGTATGCGACATAGCCAAGAAGGCCGCCGTGGCTGGGATCAACACGCTGGTCATTGACACGGAGAACAAGTTCGTGAGCACGGGTTTCGCGGAGGAGATCGCGAAGGCGGCGCAGGGCAAGTACTACTACCTGCCGAATGCATCCGACGCCGCCATCGCGGCAGCAGCCAGCACAGCTATGGCGGCAGCCAAGGCGCTGTGAGGGGCGTGAGGAATGGAGAGGAGAAGCGAGCTGTACAGCGTCTACTATCTTGGGCTGTTGGCCAACACATAGGCTGGCCTAGGAGCTAGCTACCTGGATTCCGATCTCGCCGAGCTAGCCAACCTTGGTGGGTTTCGGAGCCGCTGGATTTCGTTGACTGCAGTGGGTTTCGCACATGTATCTTGATCCCACAAGCACGCTGCAATTCGGGCTCGACTGGACCTCGCTCTATTTAGATTTAGTGGTAGCTGTTGTTGTTATTGTTATTGTTTATTTTACTTTTGGATCTTTGCCCGAAGTCTGAATCTGGTAAATCCTTCGGGTCCAGCTGACGCGTACCATTAGGGGGGGGCCCGTGCGACCGCCCTTGGAAGTTCAAGGAGGGAATCCGACGGACCTGGCGGAGCGATGGCACAGGGGGATGGACACGGAAGGCGGCTATGATTTTCCTTGCACGTATGTCCCTGTACATAGAGGCCCTGGGAACGCCGTGCGTCAAGAAATGTGAGGCGGCAGCGTCATGAGGAGGTAGTCTCGCCTTTCCCCTTCGGCAGGTGTTGCTTTCCTTATTTTGCATAGCTGGCATTTGAGGATCAAAGGGGCCGCTGCCTCGAGCATTTTCCCTTGTTTGTATTTTGTAGGGTTTATTTTGTAGGGTTTTTGCCTGAGCAGTATAATATTGATGACGGCGTGGGTGTCCATTTGCTGTATCGAGGGCTTGCAGTATTTGCCAGCATGGGTTTTCCCGTACACAGCAATCCATGAGACCTTCCCGCAAGCAGAGCTACTAACTTGCAGATGTTGTCGTGCGTGCAGGCCTTTGCATTATACAGAGCACAGTTTTTATATCGTACTTTACGTATTATGCAACCGGGGCGGGTGAGTAGCAGAGCAAAGGCTGTGATGGAAAGGCTGAAGGTAACTACAGCGTTGTATGGTGACTTGGATTATATTGTCTTCTTGCTTCTTACATTAAGGTATTTGTTACGAACATTATGGTGTTGACCGATGTGGTTATGAGGATGCTGTGAGTGGTCTCCATGTACGGCGTGTACGAGGGCGGAAATACTGTCACCGCGTCGGGGCCCGCCGCTTTCCTTGAGGCCGTTGTCCTCGAGGACATAACGATATTTTACGTAGCGGCCCAGAAGCCCCCCACTCTGTACCATTACAAATTACATGCCTACGTACGGAGCATGTCGAGGCTGTCATGGGCCTTGTCTCCGATCAACATCTGTATAGATTGTAAGCAGCCAGCAATTCAAGCCGGCAAGTTGACAGGTACTCTTGGGGCTCCTTCGCCATCTAACGATCCTACAGACCAGTCTTTGGTTTTATGCGGTGACGGTTCCGTGATCGCCAACCATTGTAGGATTGCAGGGTACGGCACTGTTTAGCCTTGTCAACCTGTGTTTTCCCTCCTATCCGTGCTTCTGGTCATTGTATGCTCCAGGGGAACTGTGAAGACCAATGCACAGAAACCCAAGCATCAACAGTTTCTGCGTTTCTCCGTCCTGCTGCTGCTGTGAGGAATAAGCGAGATACATGTACCGTCGACTGCACATGGCTCTGAACATGGACGCTATGTCGACTTGCACGCGTAATACTTGCACGCGTAATACTTGCGCGTAGACAGTTGCCACCAAATCGTCGAGGATGGGGAAAACTGCGGATCCTTGTGGGTTGCATCATCGTGGGCAACGGCATGGCAACGGTTTCCCAAACGCGGAAAACACATGCTGGTTTCTCGGAAAGCACGCGTGCAGATGCAGAAAGGGGCTGCGATGCTGGCGAGCAAACAAGTGTGTATGTGTCCAATGACGTAATTACTTGCAAACGTAGCAACCACCCCGTTTCCCCATAGCCCCATCTCCCGATGTGAAAGGTCGGCAGCAGCGAACTCTACACACAACTACTGAGCCAGACACGCAATGCAATGTAGTGTGGACGACAATGACGGTTGTTGCACTCCATCGACAGGTATGAATCTGTTGCGGTGTTCATGCCCGAAAACAAACCGATGCCTAGATTGAGATGTCCATCGAGGACCTGAGAGCACAAAAGCGAGATGCACCAAGCGCATACCCCAAATAATGGTCCAACGTTCCCAGACACTCGTAAATGCTGCTTTCTTAACAATGTCCTTTGAAGCTCAGCTACTGTTGCCGAGGGAAGGGTAAAGCCCCTACTCCGCGAGGGTATCGGGTGAACGTTCCAATTCAGGGGAGGCTCAGGGATATTTCCGGCACCTACATCAGGCCCCGCATGGCGAATGGCGCATCTCCATGGCATATTAAGCAATGTAGTGTTCATGATATGCGCTTTTCCTGCATACAGCTAATTAGGAACAATCCAGTACCAGCGAGCTGAATATGTATGTTCGCTGGAGCGAAACCGCAATGGAAAAACCTGCAAAGCGGCGGCGGCGTCAAGACACGCCATACTACATACAGATACTACCACTATTTCCATGCCAATGACACACACAGGTCCGCGCCTGCCGACCCACAACCAGCGTGCTGGATGCAGGATCCCTACAGCCGTGCCACCGCCAACTCGACCACGGCCAAACCCACGGCCATACCCAGCATGCCATGCAGAGCACTGCCTGAACGGCTGTCAGAGCAAGCCATTCCAATGTCTGCCGTCGGACTCATAGTGCCCAAAGCCGGCTCCATTTTGGCAGCGGGCATTCCACACAGCCCTCAGCAGCAGAATCGCAAACAGGTTCAGCACAGACGCTCCTCGCAATGCGGTACTTTAGGCCAGGTCGACAGCGAATCCGTACTTGATCGGCTTGCTCAGGTCGGTGGCCTGCAGCTGCAGGGAGCCCGCAACCTTCTCCCCTGAGGCAAGCTTGGTCTCGTACAGCGCCGAAAGCAGGCCGGAGCCGTCGAGCTTCACCTTGGTCAACGCGCCGTTGGACAGCTTGCGCGCATACGCGACTGCGAACGACGTGTCGTTGGAAGCCAGCTTGCGCGAAATCTCGGCGCCAACGGTGCTAGTGGCTGTCAGGTTGTGTGCGAACGACAACTTGAGTGTCTTAGCCTGGTCGGCGAGCAGAGCCGCAACCTGGAAGTCCGGCGCGTGGTACCCTGGCGGGAGCCAACAGCGTGGGAGTACGGGGTTGAAGGAAAGAAAGTTGGTGACGGGAGGCTGAAGAATGAAGCGGGAGAACTGACACTCCAAGAAATGAAATGTAGGAGACGACATCGGTCTTTTAAGTGTTCAGTTAAAAGAGTCCAACGAGGCCAAACTTCATCCAACTTGTTAAAGAACAACTGCGGAACTACAGATTTGTCCCTTGCTCAAGGATTTGGTCGGCACACAACAACCGCACAAAGCGCAGACTCAGCTCCCCATGTCACATCCCACGTGCAGGACTTCGTGCGAGCTGACCTTGAAGACCGATGAGCCCAAATATACAGCAACACTCTCTTACCAAGTGCGACGTTATACTTCGTGAGGGTCGACTTGGCAGTGTCGTAGCTCGTCTCGGCTCCCCAAACGACTGATCGATACCCAGTCGAGGCCGCCAGGTCGACGACAGGAGTTGCGTTCAGGCCAAAGGTACCCTTGAGAGCCACGTAAGGCATGCTATAGTCGATTGTCAGCTTGGCCGTGGAAGGATCAGGCACGACGGCAGAAGTGGAGAGTTTCACTCCGGGAGCCACCTCATTGACTGACGCCGACACCGTAACTTTCCCAGAGGGTTCCGATGCAACATCGATGGAATACTTCTTTGTCGAGTAAGCCGCCTTCACTGCCGCGTCGACCTTATCCGCCTTTTGGATTGCTGAGACAGTGAAGACCACGCCAGAGCTTGTCGAGCTGCTGACTGAAAGCTTCGGGTCAAACTGGAACGTGCCGGTGGCCTTGTCGCCGCCCAGCAGGCCCTTAGCGGCCTTGCCTATATCAGCAAACGCTACCACTGGCATAGTTGATCTCCCGGCACTCGAGGAGTTTAGCAAGGGTAAGGAGTAGAGACGCGAGCTAATTATAATGTAAATGTTTAGGATTTTCTATATAAGCCCTGGTCCTCTTGCGTACAACATCATCGTGTGATTTCACGTTCCGGCCAAGTGCACCATGATTTCGGAGGTCAAGACCTTTGGGGGCATCCTTCTCTAGATTGCGGCTATCCTATCTCAAGGTGGGCTTTTCTATCCACAAGTTGTGCGGAACTTTTATATATTCCTTGTCTACGGTTACACCCCGAGCTCCTATCCTGAGTTTCGCCACCTTTTAAAGGCATGGAAATTCTAGGACAAGCACATGGTTGCAGGTGTTCTTATAGGATTTGGCATTTCCTTCTACGAGTTGCGTCTTCCGTGCCTTAAAGATGCGTGACTCCCGCCATTCAGGTGGCAAACGAGATAGACGTTGAGCTTTGTGCGATAGGATAAATTCCACACACGGTAAAAATTTATCCTTATCGGACCATGGGAGGCTGCCGGAACTCAAGCCGTCGATCGGCCGTGTAGACCCTGTGTATGACGCTTACCCGTCCAAAACCTCTGGGTTCGGACTCACCCTTCTACCCATAGTTACACGTGGCTGGCAGTCATATTAATCATGAACCGTCACCATGCGTGCACGACCGTATGTGTGTTTGCATGCCGTGAAGCGGTACCAACCGTGACGGACGCTGTGCAATTAATACCCATGGCGTAGAAATGGGTGTTAATTGGCTTCCGTTGATGTACAGCGCCGCAGGTTTCCTTGTCAACGTGAGCCATGCCCTGGGCTAGATTACCTATGCGGTCATGGACAACCCGCGTCCGCTTGTCCCGTGGGAACAGGGGATATAATCTGCAGGGTATTTATGCAATAAGGTGCCCAGGAAGGGTGCAATCGTGCACGACGGCGAAGGTGGAGAGGTATTTGGTTACGTCTACGTCATGAAATTTGAACCCTACCTAAGGAGAATTTGCTATGAAATAGCGAACATGTCATAAAAATGTAAGCTCGGCTCTTTTGGTAGTCAACTCGGCTGGCAGACAGCCGTGCTAGGTCATGCTCATTGGCCATCGCCGTACGGTATGCGGTAGAAAGTACTTGGGCATTCAGTCGTCAGTCGTCAGGCGATGCGTGCCTGTGCTAGATCACGCATAACTTTACGCTCTACGCGCCGTCGCTCATTAACCCTTTGAAGTCGTTGCGTTAAAGTTGAAGTTTGTATCGTGCCTTGCGTTGCTGGTCCAGTCATGGTACACGACTGGTCAACGGGCGGCTAAGGGGCTCAGTATGGGAGTCTATGCGGCCCTAGGGAACATACTTGAAGTGCCGTTCCGCAAGTTTCGGCGCGTGCAACGGCTATTTAATTTTGCACCACACAGCTTGTTGCGGGTCTTCCTGAATTACAGGCGTTTGTGGGTGAGCGTTCCTTACCCTCCTCAAGGTCACTGTTCACGTGGACGCTCATGTTGTAAGCTTTGACCTGAGGGCTGCAATTGTGTATACGCGCAGAGGACTGAGTTTGGTTTGTTCCCCATGCTGCTTGCAGGGAACGAGCCGAAACGGAAACCTGCGGAAATAGGTTTCGTCACGCTTTCCGCAGCGAAGCCCAGATTGGCGGAAATGCGGAAAGAGAATCCGCATTTCAGCGTTTGCTGTACGGCGGAAAGTCAAAAACAGATTCCAGGCATGCGTTTGCCATTTAAAGACTGCGTTTTACACTATGGAGTTATTAGATTAAGTCAAATGTCAGCAACCACTGGCCCCGACCTGGGGGCTGCCGAAGTCATAGAGATTGACTGTGTTTCTGCTCAGAAGAAGGGTGGAAGGCCCGTTGACGACGTTTGGAAACATTTTGATAGAGGTCCTTACGACAAGAGCAAGAACTGCTAAGCAACCTGCAAGGGCTGCCGTCGCCACTGGAAACGTGCTCGCCTTCCTGAAATCCGCTTGCACCTTGCCGCTTGCACCTTTGACATACCGAACGGGCCGGACGGTTCGTGTGGGTCACTGCTCCGCAACGGACAGGGAGACGATTATTATTCAGTGTTTCAGGGCTCCCCGGGCCCTTACCCCATGTAACATATGAGTGGCAATTTCTGAGCATCCCAGAGCAATCCGACAGCCAACAACACTATGGGGGTGGTATACGATAGGGCTGCTCAGGCCTGGGGTCTCAGGGTTCAAAGAGATGCGGGCTGCTTGAAGGGGGCAGGGTGAACACCGTCAAGGGTGTGGGCACACAATAGTTGATCGCTTGGCCCCCGCCACCCCCACGTTTAGATGGCTCTACCTTCGAGCACAATTGGAAACCACCAGATTCTAGAACCCACCGGACAGAACCGCACTGCCACAAGCCTTGTTTCCTGCAACTATACCGTACTTCGTACTTCGGCATGTTCAACGAACTGCACAATCAGTAAGACTGTATACTCTTCCGATTGTGCATGTTGTGTTTAATTCCCGTCGAGCTTATCTTCGCCTGCGTAGCTAGTTTCTCTTACTGTACGACATTGTTTCGCCAGCCTCAAGCTCATACCAGAGTCGATGATTATCCGACATACATATATGTTGTTTAGACAATTATGTTTTGGTAAAGGTGCAGCGGTATAACTCATAACTGAAGAACCAAGAAAATTTGGCAGCTTCGAGTCTCCGCCCACTTGTGTCTAGAGGATCCTTCTGCCTAAGGATGATAAGATTGTACCTAGGATAGACAGTAAATAAAGTTTAGCGCGAGTTCGGCATACCAGTCCTCTTGACACACCAAGGTCTTCCGGCTTAGGCCGGACCCAGGAGAGCAAGGCAGGGATGGGCTGCGGCGCTAGCAAAGGTAACACTGTACATAACATCTGTTGCACTGATTTATGAAGCGCCCTTTTTTACCCCGGCTTATGGTTTCTTTTCCTTGCTGAAATAGGAACAGAAGGCATTGCACCGTCAACAACACAACCTCCTGCGGCACCAAAGACCGAATTTACGCCGGAAACAAAGCCAAGGCAGGTCGCATGCTGCAGCCTGTCCGACCGTTAGTTTCCCTTTCTCATGTTCTACCGGCGCTTCCCCGCTGCAGGCCTGTAGCTGAGCCTGAGGGACTCGTCAAAGCGAAAGGTATGTTGTTGGTGGCGTATGGTGCCGCAGGAACGATTTTAAGTTACCTTCACCTGGCCACCTTGCGACTTTGGTCCCGCAGAGTCCCCAGAGTCTGCTGCCAAAAGAGTGGACGGGGCTGCGAAAAGCGATGTCATAGGTACCGATGGCAGTGAGGACACGACCCTAGTCAAGCCGTTAGCTGTAAGTCTTTTCAACGCCGGGGATGTCGCTGACAAGCCGTGGGGCCTCAAGTATTTAAGGACGGACTAAGCGTTATCCTTACGCTGCAGGGCAAAGAATCAACGCCAGAGCTGTCAGCGGCAGTGATTCCCCCTCCCCCGGTCACACCCCCAGCGGCTGCTAAGAAGCCCCTGTTCCAGACTGTCGACACGTAAGTTGCCGCCATCGGGGGTTAAGCACGGAGCCCTTATCCATTTATGTCTTTTAACCGTGCTACCGCTCAGTGACTCGAGCTCTGACCTCGAGATGTTGACTTAACGTGTCCTCCCCTTGAATATGCGCAGGGCCAATCTCGGGGACGCAGCTGCGGCTGACAGCACCGAAGCGTCCTATTTCCCTGCGCAGGTGACTGTCGCGCGTAGGGCAGGGTTACCAGAAAGGGGGATTGGGGGAATGGGAATTTCCCGGTGCATGTTTTGGGATCCGGGCCGGGCTGCTGTAGCTGAGAATGATGTAAAACATGGCAATTAACAGGCTGGAAAAGGACTTGGCGAAGGTACAATGGCGTTTTTTTAGTGCGATCCTTGGTTTGTACTGCGACCCACATCTCGCACTGTTTGACAATTCGCTTTTGCCATACCGGTATTTAGAAACGGGCCGCATGGCTAGGACGAGTTGCCGGCCGCGTGAGCCCCAGCCGTGCGCTGTGAGACCAGCCAGCAACCCCAACCCCCAACCCCGCCATGCCTTTTACAGGTCGCCCTGAATGTTGGCGGCAGCGGTGGAGGATATCGCCAGCAGTCTTGGCACCCGCAGCAGGACAGCGTGAAGGCCTTTGACCTTTCACAGTCCGCCTCGCTCGAGCAAGCCGCACCAGCACCCCCACCACCAGACGCAGCAACCCCTGCGGTCCTGCGTTCGTCAACCTCTTCCCGGCAGCTACAGCCGCTGCCGCAGCAACAGCAGCTGCAACTGCAGCAGCTGCAGCAGCAGCCCTCGTCACGTGTGCTGCCATCTCTCCAGGGCCAGCCGCTTACAGAGTCTGGGCCGGAACCAGCATCGACGTCCTCCCCTTTGGCGGCGCAGCCTGCAGCAGCAGCAGCGCCTTCCGCGGATGATCCCTGGTCAAGCCTTCAAAGCACTTACCGCATTCGGGATCCCCAGCAGGCGGCCAAGGTTGAGTCCACGCGCAGCCGGGAAGCAAGCAGCAGCCGCGATGCGGGGCGGGAAGTGCTCGTACTTGGTGAAGATGATGACGATGAGTTTGGCAAAGCTCGCGGCGGCACGCTGAACTCCACCGCCAACTCCGCCATGAACCGCACTTCTGGTTTCGGAGCCCGGCCGCCGGTGAACCTGCCGCCGCCGCAGTTTGGGTCGGGTCCCAAGAAGGGCGGCTGGGGCAGCGGAGCTATGGCGCAAGCGGGCGAGCTAATGATCGGAGAAGACGACTGGCTAGTCAATGACCGTCCACCGGGCTCGGCGACGGGGAGCGGAAAGTTGCCGGCGCCACAGCGGCAGCAGCAGCAACAACAACAGGCGGTACTGTCGTACAACAGCCGAGCTAAGATGGTGGTTGAGGAGGAGGAGCGGCATGCGCCGGTGACGCTCAAGGGGCCCGCACCGCCGCCCAAGAACAAAGCGGCGGTAAGAGGCGCGTTGACGCCGGGCTCAGTCTTAAGGATAGCTTAAGGATTAGTAATCCAATGAAGTCCAACCTATAGGCGATTGCTTTTGTAACGATAGGCGGATGTCGCCTGGGGTTGTACAAGTGCATGTCCCTAACATTGTAAGCCTGCAAAGTCCACACAAGTTTGCTTGTCAACCCAATTTGGACTGTCGTTGCAGGAGGATGTGATGTGTGAGGACGTGGAGGATGTGGACATGCTGCTTGAGTCCGAAATGGAGGTGAGTCTACAAGGGGTGGAGGAGGGAAGACGGCGGGAACATTAGGCGGCAGTTGTGTGCCCAGATCAGGTCAACTGACGGCGGCTTGCCCTGGTGTTGCGTGCAGCTTGAAAATAGTCCACACATGTAATGGGTAATGGAATCACACGCGGCGGACGGAAAAGCACACCCGACCCGCGCTGCAGAAACCCATCCAACCGGCAGCGGAGTCCAGCGCCATGAATACGCTGGTGCTGGTGTTGAAGTAGATGGAGCCAACGGGCGAAGACGAGCCCCTATTCCCCCACCACCATTCTTGACCCGCCCCGCAGCGGCAAGGGCTGAGCAACAAGTCCCTGGCCAGCAAGCTGGCAGCGTATGAGGCGCAGTTCAAGGACGAGGACGACTACTAGATGACCGCCTGGCAGCCGCGTCGTTGCTCTGCCTGTGTCGCGTCGTTGTTAATGGACGGCGGGTTGTTCCTGGAGAGCCTACTTACCTGGGGAGGCTGGGTCATCTTGAGCTACAACAGTGAATAACAGTGGTTATCATGCTGGTCAGTTGGTGGGCCTGGTGAGCCTGGTCAGCTGGTGAGCCTGGTCAGCTGGTGGGCCTGGTCAGCTGGTGGGCCTGGTCAGTTGGTGGGCCTGGTGAGCCTGGTCAGCTGGTGAGCCTGGTCAGCTGGTGGGCCTGGTCAGCTGGTGGGCCTGGTCAGCTGGTGGGCCTGGTCAGCTGGTGAGCCTGGTCAGCTGGTGGGCCTGGTCAGCTGGTGGGCCTGGTCAGCTGGTGGGCCTGGACTACTCAGATTTTGGAGTACCGGAGTTCGGTTGGGAAAAACGATCCCTTCACAACTTTACTGGACAACTTCATGGCCACAGGCCGCAGGTCTGCTAATTATACTAAGAACCGATGGTGATGGTGCCAAAGCTGAGCGATAGCTGAATTTGGTGTGTTTTGTGTGTGACTGTTCTCGCCTCTGCAACGAGGACAAGGGAGGAAATGGGAATCGCGTATGTTTGGGGGGCAGCCTGGCGGATAGATCTGGACAGAGGGGCATTGCATTGTTGCACCTGGGGAGGGAGAGGCATGCAACTCATAATGAAGCGGTGGGAAAGGTAAAGCAGAGGGCAGCAGAACGACGGGACAGCGGCGTGGCACTGGAAGACTGTGCCCAATGCGTGGGTGCTGGATGCTGAAATGGGGGCTATGAGCTGCTGGTAATAGCTGCAACGAGCATTGGCGCGCGGGGCGCCGGGCCGCCGGGGATGGTGATGAACCTTGAAGGCCCCATTGCGATGTTTCTGTCGGCAGTGGGTTTGTCTATATAAGGCCATATACGCGCGTGCAAACCATACATAGCAAGGTGAGTGCTGTTCTACATGTGCATTTTGTGGCTTTGCTGTGGCGTCGAAAATGTATAACCTTTCAGTATATATAATTGTATTGGAGATGCCCGCATGTGATTGGAGCATAAGGGAGTTCATGTGATGGGAGCAACGTAAGGGGGCCGGAATTGAACACCATAGGGGGGCATGCGGTTTGAGGACAGCGTAAGGGAGCCGGCATGTCACGGCTTCAGGCATGTGGCCTGGTAGGAGACCGCTCTTGCCGTGCGTGGCATATTCGTCCTGTGTGTTCTTGCCATGCTGTTTTATGTCTAAGCAAAATATGCCTGTATATGTTTCAATGTTGTAGACTTCGTCGGGCAAGCTTGTTCTGCCAGTCGGTGTAGGAAAATGTCCCCTGCTGGTTGCATGGCATGCGTGCGCCGGTCAAGAAGTGGGAACGGTTTTGCTAGGGGAAGGCTTTAACGTATGGGCGGACTCAACGAGTCATGCGAGCGACAACGGATCGATTACGCTGTGTGTTTGCTTTATGTGTATATAACCATGGGAGTCTTGCAAGTTTTTTCCCTCTGGCCTCCGTGTTATTAGTGAGTTTAAAATGACCAGGAATTCCCGGCTGGGCAATGCCGGATTTAGCTGGGTTGGGCCACGCCGATAGGAAATGTAACGAAGTCAAGATCGACCTCCAATCTATGCAGAAGATAAATGATTGCTTTTCAATTACTATGCTTGGTTACCTGGCATGTATCTTGGACCAACACCGTTGCAGAAGCAAATGTACGATCCCAGTCTGGCGTTGGATAGGACTACGACACAACAAGGCATGTAAACTCTGACATTCGGATTTGTCTATAATACAGAGTGGCGTTTACAGTAATGAAATTGGTTTGCGTCCGGGTAACGTGCAACAGTGCACCTTTTCGTTAAGCTTTCGTTAAGCCAGCCAAACGCCTACCCTTATGGCTCGCAAAAAGATTCGCGAGTATGACGCTAAGCGGCTATTGAAAGCTCATATTAAACGCTTGGCGGGCCTTGATCTCCCTATCCAGGTGCGCGCGGAATGCGATCCTTGCTTCTTGCCTAAGGCTTGCATCTGTGTCCCCGCAGCTGAAGGTCAACAAAATGCCATCCTCAACCTAAATGGTTTATTCCAGAGAAGCACCATGATTGGCAGTCTCACGTGTACCTGGTTCTAACCGTAACCGGTGTCGCATGAAACAGGTTGTGCAGTTTACAGCTGCCAGCAACCCGTCGGACCTGCTCAATGAGAATCCATGGCTGGGGAACACCCGGCTTGTAGTCAAGCCCGATATGCTTTTCGGCCAGCGTGGAAAGAACGACCTGGTTGGCCTTAACCTGGACTTCTCACAGGCAAGCACAATGTGCTTTCCTTCAGCGATTTGGGTCAGATGGAAATCACTGTATGGCGGAGGGGTCCTGGGGGGCCTCAAATCCCGGGCCGAGCACGTTCTCAGGCAGCTGCGGGAGACATCAGACTCGAGCTCAAGACGCCTTGCCGTCCTGCGCATACAATCCTATACTCCGTTCACCCTACCAGCCGTCCAAGGCGCAATTAACCGCGTACAGCGAAGAATCACGCAATTCCATAATTGCTTAATTGCAAAGAAAATGTGCGCGCTTCGCTTTCCCCTTTCCCGCACGTGAGCGCATCTGCTTTCCCCTTCCACACACGGAGACACACACAGCCATGAATTGAACACAACGTGTGAACATCGCGTAGCCCTCACGGACACAAACGTCGCGCACCATCTCTCAAAATTTCCACCATATATTCTCTACCTATCACGCCTGCCCCCCATCCTCCATCGCCGACTCCGCCGCGGACTCCTTCTCCTTCTCTCCTCCTCTCCTCCTCCCCGCCTGGGCCCTTGCCCCCACAGGCCATCGACTTTGCGACGCAGCGCCTGAACCGCACCGTGACCGTCAACGGCTGCACCGGCCCCATCACCACGTTCCTCATCGAGCCGTTCGTGGCCCACGAGGAGGAGTTCTACTTGTCCATCACCTCGACACGCAACGGATGGGAGGTCTCATTCTCCGAGGCGGGTGGCATCCACATTGAGGAGGTGAGGGCGAGGGCGAGGGGGGAATTGGGGGGGTTATCTTGGAGTTGTGGGGTTTTGAAAGGGACGCGCAGTTATGGGGCCCGGGACATGACGCCCCGCAGGGGTTGACGTTTTCGTTTCTGGGGAATAATAAAAAAGCACCATTGACTCGAGATTCGACACAGATGCAGAGGGGAGGAGGTAATGGAGGCGGCAGGGGTTTGGGGGTTGAGGGCAACGGCAGTTGTAGGAGACCGCTGCCGCTCTCTGCATCCTCATCCCGACAACGGTTCCCCTCTCCAACATCCACCTCCCGTCGTCCGCTTTCACGTTTCTAAACCCGTCCTTCAAGTTCTCCGCCTCCTGACGAAATCATCGTTGTCCCTTCCTGCGTACCCTCTTGTCGTACATATTCGTAAACAGAACTGGGATAAGTTGCGCACCGTCGTGTTGGACACAACGGACTGTCCCCTGGACTCGGCTCGTGTGGCCCCCCTCATCGCCGGACTGCCCCTGGAGCTAAAACCCGCCCTGGAGCGATTCATCCTGGCAGCGTTTGCCGTATTTAACGACCTGGACTGCACCCTGCTGGAAATGAACCCATGGTGCGCGTATGTGCGCGCGTGGCGGCGGCGTGGGGCAGAGCTGGGGGGAAAGACGAACCACGAACGAGTGAAGCTGCTGCCAGGGCAAGCGGGGGGGAAAGGGGGAGGTAAAAGAGAGGTCGGTGCTGTGTAGTGTAGGAGGGGGTTGTAGGTGCAGCAGTCGAGATGCAATTCACCACTCGGCTCTTCATCGAGGGCGCGTGTGAAGGCTCTGATCGATCGCTCCTACGTCCCGAAGACCGCACCCATCATGGACCGTCATTTCCACACGCATACACACGCATACACACGCATACACACGCATACACGCACGCTACCCCCTTGTTGATCCCTTGGACTTCGCACATCCCCGCATAACCCCGCATAACCCCGCATAACCCCACATAACCCCACATAACCCCACATGCCCGGGCACGTGTTGTCCGCGTGCTCAACACCATACCATCAGACCCCCTCCGGCTCATCACTCCCGCCATTCTCTTCTTGAAACGACTCCCGTCCCCGTCCCCGTCCCCGTCCCCGTCCCTTTCCCGCCAGGACCCTAGACGCCTCGGGCCAGCCCTTCCCCCTGGACATGAGAGTGGAGCTCGACGACACCTCCAAGTACCGCAACGGTCCCAAGTGGAATGTGGGCGACGTGGAGCTGGAGTTCCCGCTTCCCTTTGGCCGCTTGCTGACCCCCGCCGAGGAGGCGGTGTCGGCGCTGGACGAGGCCACGGGCGCCTCGCTCAAGTTCACTGTGCTCAATCCGGCGGGTCGCGTGTGGCTGATGGTGGCGGGCGGCGGCGCGTCGGTGATTTACACGGATACGATTGCAGATCTAGGGTTTGCACAGGAGCTTGGGTAAGAGGACATGACATAAAAGATGAGTGATGGCCGAGTTTGTAGGCGATGTAGGCGATGTGGTGTGGTCGGGTGTTGGCGTGAGGGTTCGAGTCGCTTTTTGTTGTTGGGAAAGGTGTTTTGAGGAAGTGGGGCGAGGGGTGGTGAGGGTCCTTATTTTGTTTATGTGGGAGGAGGGAGGGGAAGGTGTGGGGGGACTGGGGAGGGTAGGGGAAGGCTTGTTGCCAGTTATCTTCTCTTCCTTCCTTTCTTTTTCCACCCTTTCCATGCATCCCTACCCCTATCCCGCTTCCCCCTCCCCCCTCGAACCCCTTTGCCATGCCGCCCGTTCCATGCACATCCCTATCCCGCCTCCCCCTCCCCCGTCGAATCCCGCTGCTACACCGCCCGTGGCGACCGTCCATGGGGACCGGCCCCCTCCCACTTTTACCTCCCCCCCGCCCCCGGCCCTGCCCCCGGCCCCGCCCCTTGCATTTGTGACGGGAACTTGAACCATGTTTTGTAACTGTGACCACGGCGCAGCAACTACGGTGAGTACAGCGGCGCGCCCAACACCTCCGAGACGTACCAGTACGCTCGTACTGTACTGGACTGCGCCACCGCCCACGCCGACGGCCGCGGGCGGGTGCTGCTCATCGGCGGCGGCATCGCCAACTTCACTGACGTGGCAGCCACCTTCACCGGAATCATCCAGGCGCTCAAGGAGAAGAAGGCGGCGCTGCAGGTACGCTGTTTGAAAGCCCACCGTGCCTTTCCATTGGAAAAAACCAACGTGGTGGGGCGGGGCCAGGGCCGGGAATGGAGCCGAGGCCTGCTCTGCTAGAAAGCTGCAAGCTGGAGCGGGCTGGGAGCTGAGGTAAAATAGGCATTTTACTGCGGCAGGTAAGTAGGGAACCCAAATCGCGTCACGTCATTAGCAGGTAGTCCAGGGTAATCCCGAACCCGAAAAAAATTCTTAACTCGTCCTGCTGATGATGATCAAGTCGCGATTTCTTTATTTATTTAGGGTCTCTCTTTGCGCGGGTTTGCGGTGCCAGCGGTGTTGTGTCGTCAGGTAAAACATTATCTGTGCATATATGTATGTAGTCGCCGCCACTTGGTAATGATAACTCGGCACCCGTATCAACACACACACACTCACTCACTCTCTCTCTCTCTCTTGTCCGCCTATTCAGGCCGCCAAGGTGCGTATCTTTGTCCGTCGCGGCGGTCCCAACTACCAGAAGGGTCTGGCCCTGATGCGCAGCCTGGGAGATGAACTGGGAGTGCCCATTGGCGTGTACGGTCCAGAGAGCTCCATGACGGGTATTTGTGCCGAGGCCATCGACTACCTGAAGCAGCAGGATGGGGCCGAGGTGACGGCGACGGCGTAGGAGGATTGACGAGCATGCGTGGCCGTTCAGGACGTCTTGGTTTTTTAAAAACAAAAAAAACTCAGCAAAGGGGTTATGTTATTGGGGATTGATTCAGATTTTGGGTTAAAGGAAGGAAGGAGAGCGGGAACAAACGTGCGGAGTACGTCGCAAAAGGGGGCGTCGAGATGTGCGGAAAGGGGCACCCGTGGGCGGGATGTTCTAAAACCACTGCCTTTGGTAGGAGGGGAGTGTAGCTAGGATAAAACCAGCACGCTTTTGACTAAGCCGGCATAAAAGCAAGAGCCGGCATAAAAGGAATTGGGGAAAAGGTCGCCGGCTTGCCCATGAGGCATGCTGCGTACGACACGTACGGCACACGGGTCTGGACAAACCGATGGAGGGGGGGGGCGGGAGCAGCGTTGCTTATAGAGGAGGCGGGGGAGTGGCGGCACGGGGGTGGGGCGGCCGTCTGAGGCCAACAGCCTTGCGCAAGGTACGGCATTGTTCGCCCGTATGTTACAGCCACGCGGGAGGAACGGGCACGAAATATGGGGGAGTTAGTGCGCGGCGTCATTCCACGCACGCAAAGATCCATGCATGTGGCACGTCAGCACATCAGCACTACTGCACGCGGGATGCATATTGCACACGGCGAAGGTGAGACGTTTGTTTGTCAAGGTCAAGGAAAGAGCAGGGGGATAGAAGCAGCATGGCTCTTGTGTGGATTGTGTATTTTTACACTTTTTTGTGTCAGCCAGACACAGCAAGGCCAGACACAGCTGAATGTGCGGAATGTGTGTAATGCTAAATGCGGTGGTGGTGCTACGTTTGGTGCGATTTCTCGAGCTTTTTGACCGACCAAGCCTTTTCCTTCTAGTCGCCCGGAAGGGCGAGTCCGTGCGGCACTACTCCCCTGTGGGATTCTTAATCAGCAGCTCAGCTGAGTGTGCAGTCACCTAGCAGGTGTGTGGGTGGTTCGTGATGAGTGGCGGCCTATATATATACATATACAGGGTACGGAGATATAGCGGTACGGAGATCTGCCCCTCCTCTACACGTGCAGCACTGGTGTGCCTTGTTGGCGAGTTCCGTATGTTCCGGCCATTGGACAAATCCCAATTGACCTGAACACGCGACACGGATCTGTTATGGGCTCTCCCCGGTATGAGCTGACGTTTTTTTAATGTAAGGCTCTGCTATCTTGTAATTTGTAACTTGTAAGGCTGCTGTCGAAGAAGCCCCATCCCGCCTGACCAGTACCTGGCCCAATCCCCAATCTTTGCAACCCTCTGTTTTTTTCAACGGGTCACCGCTGGTGCGGGATATGACTCCTGGAAGGGAATCTGGCCTGGCCGATAGCTTCCGTTCCTGCCAGCCAGCCTGCGCCTTGGAACAACGATATTTTCATCACGAACTCGCGAAAACCGCCTGCTGTGGTGTTGGGTTCTGGTGGGCGAAAGCCTGGGTAAATAGGATTTCCGGGACAGGGACCTGCCAAAGAGTGCTGTATGGCAGACACCGGACGCGGGTTTTAACTTGTGCAGGAAGAGGGGGCAGGCTTGGGACATTTTCAGCATAATGCGTGCGACTTGATAATAATGCGTGCGACTTGATGCATGGGGCAAACATGTTTCCGCTGTATTTGCCGGGGTTTCATGCCGCTGCTGCCAGGCCTTGAATGCCATGTCGCTTGTGCCAGGGGTGCCACGGCCAGGACTGGCGGCCTAAATTATAATAACCAGGGAGGAAACAGCATAGGAACGCACAAACAGACCGAACGCGGAAGAGTGGTAACGTCACGTCTGGGCGCAAAAACCGCGCGGTTCTGGGATTGCGGTGCACGTAGTGCCTTCGCTCATGCGGCTCTAGCCGAGAGGCCCAATCTAGGTACCGTTCGAAACGACCACGAAGGTACAACGGGAGGAGAGTGGAAAGGCAAGGAATATATCATATGCACAAGTGTATCCCGCATACATTTCTGGTACTCCAGACCCCAGATACTTGATACGGGTAGGGGCACATGTATATGCACGTGCATGGCAGACACATCTGGCTGCCCTAAAATCCTAATGAGGATTTTACCTTAGTAGTGGCGTGCAAGGGGCTCGCGCCATGAAAGCAAACAGAGGGTCGCACATATTGGCGGTACAGGAGAACCGGATTGGAGAACGATTCGCGGCATGCACTTTTCCAAACAGAAGACAAGGCGAATACATCTAGAATTTCGCGTCTTGACTTACGGATCGTATTCTGGATTTTGTTCTATACACGCTGGCCAACGGTGCTCAATTTTTCCAACAACCTTACTGCGAGCTCAATTTCCATCAAGCGCATTTCGTGCTTCGTCATTTTGATTCCAGTTCTACTTCACGCTTGCACTTATTCCTTTCGAGGTAACAGAGAACACCGCTAACCTGCCTACGATGAGACCAAGACGTTTACTCTCGCGTCAACGAGCGCTTAGGTCATCAGCTTAGATTGCATTTCGTTGTGTTAGTAAAGGGCCGGAGCGCACTCTGTCGGCAATTGCCGACTCGGGGTGGCGGACGCTCCGGCAAACGCTCGTAAGAATGATGGGGCCTGCGGCAGCCCCCGCAATTCTCTCTGGCTTCGGGTTAGCAGTAAGAGGGTTTGCGCGGGCTGCCGCCGTTGCGTCGCGTCAAGCTGCTGTCAGCGTGCGTCTCATCGATTCGTTCAACAAGGAGCTGGTCGACGACATCTTTGCGCACGCGCTTAAGAAGCAAACCGGCGTTAGCCTCAAGTATATGTTGGACTTTGGGCAAAACCCTATCGAGCGGCAAATGCTCCTTTCGGCGCAATTCTTGCACAAGGAGCTACCCGTGCGCCTCGCACACCGTGTTGCAGAGCTGGAAAACTTGCCTTACGGGCTCTCTGCGAAGAAGCCCATCCTCCAGGTAAAGGGGGAAGTGGCTCGCGGTCGGCTTCCCCTTGTCTACGGCCTACGGTATTTTCGGAACGAACTACCTACCCTCCGGCCGGTGACATCAGGGCTAGGGAATTTGAATCGGATGAGGGCTTGGGCCTCCCATATACCTCACGCTCTTGGAAAATAGGGCCTTATTTTACCACCTCGGCTGGTGTGGGACGGGAAGAGCGTGGTGTGGAGGCTGGCGAGGGAAGGCAAGAGTGCATGCTAGAAGCTAGACGCCTATAGTAAAAGCTAGGCAAGGGAGCCGTAGCTCTAAGGGACAGTGGGATATATGGGAGTGGGAGACAGAAAGAGCTGAAGCGCGGGGGGGGGGGGGGGAAACAGCGCTCCTGCCTTACCCGTTGGGCCGCTGCGGACGCACATCTGGATGCAGACGCGCTGTCTTCACTGTCTATTGAGGGGGCTGTGTACCCTTACCAATACCTGAACCCCAACCCCTCTCCGCCATCGGGGCCATGGAACCAGGTCCGTGACTGGTACGTTGAGTCCTTCCGGGACCTCAGATCCTTCCCGCCGGTGAAGGACAATTCGGACGAGCTCAAGTTCACGGAGATGCTCCGACATGTGTACCGCCGGTACGACTGTACGACTGGGCGGTTCCGTTTTTTCTGGAGCTAGATGGGATGGTCCGGTGGGGTAGGGTAATTGGTCTTACGATCAGGAGGGGGGAGAGGGGGAAGGGGGTTTGCGGGACATCATCCCCTGGTCAGCCCCCGGTCAAATTAGATAACATTAATTCACAACTACCACAAGGAGTTCACCACCACACGGGATGGATTAGCAATGGGTGAGTGGGGGGCGGGTAGGAAGGAAAAGGCGCCTAGTAAGGAAATGTGTGAGGTGAGTACGAGGGCACTTAGCTTACGATGAATAAGGATATTAAGATATTGGACGGGAGGGGCAGCGCCGTCGTGGGGGTAAGTTAGTTACAAGTTACAAGTTCCGCACACAAGTGCGGGTGTGTCCGTAAAAGCGGGGGGGCCATGGACGTAAGGGGACTGGGCGGGGTGGTTGGGAGAGGAGGGTGGTAAAGGTCAGTTGGAAGATGCGGGTGTGGGCGTTAGATGAAGGAGATGAAAGAGTAACTGGGAAAATGACGGACATAGGCGTGTAAGGGAATATAACAGACGCGATAACAGACGTTATATACGAGGTCAAAATAAAAGACGCGGTCGATAACAAACCCTAGGTTGGCGGGTAGAAAAGGTATTTCTGGAGCAGTGGTGCTGGCTCAAAGCATTGGACGCATTGGAGTTATTTTTCTATTCTATGGCATGTGGTTCGGGTCAGCGGGTCCCTTAGCGCTTAAAGCGCTTATATTTAGCACTTTTCATTAGGACCAGGACCACGACCAGGAAACCGGGTATTACCGTATGTGTGTGTACGTGTGTGTACGTGTGTGTATGTGCGTGTGGGGGGGCCGGGGGGAAGGGGGAGAATTGCATGAGGCAAAAAGCAAAAAACAGACGTCAGCTGCCGACGCCTAAAGCAGTGCGGTGCGGTGCAGTGTGTGGGGGGGTTAGCCAGTCCAGTCAGAAGTGACGGATGTGCGCCTGTTGGGAGAGGGACTGGGCTCTGTATGGAGACTAGGACGGATCCCGGAGGGCCCCGGAGGGCGGAGGGCTCTGATCGCCGCACTGAGGGACGGGGGGGTGGGGTAAAAGGTAAAAGAGGCCGTCAGGGTCAGGTGCCACCCGGAGGATAGGATCTGCAGCCGCTGCATGCCCCTCCTGCAGCTCTTCCCTCTTCCTACCACCCGGGTGTTTACCCCTTTCCCCCCTCTCCCCCACCCCGTCCTGCTCCGCCTGTTCCCCCCCCCCTTCTCCCCAGTCACGCCAACGCGGTGCCGGTGATGGCAAAGGGTGTTGGCGAGCTGCGCGAGGAGCTGCGGGCCCGACAACAGCTCACAGAGCTCCCGGAAATCCACCAGTTCCTGGACGGATTCTACCTTAGCCGCATTGGCATCCGCATTCTTATCGGTAAGGGGGGGTGGGCCCATCTGGCAGGTGGTTTTGGGGGGGGGAAAGACGCACCACGAACGAGTGAAGCTGCTGGGGGAGGGCCCTGTCTGGGGGGGCGAGGGCGGATGGCTGAGGGGCCCGTGGTGCATGGGTTAGTGAAGCCCTGGGGGAGTTGAGCCGAGAGGAGGGGGGAAGAGGGGTGCGTGTGCGGGTTGGGTTTGGGGGTTAACGCATGGGGTCGAATTTAAACTCCCCACCCACATAGTTTCTTTAGGAGTTTTTCTCTTTCTCTTCTTTCTTAAACCTAGTTTTCCCTGTCCCTACTTGTCGCTCCGCCCTACTTGCGGCTTGAGTCGACATGATGCAGCCATCGTAGCATGCCGCGCCAAATTCCATATGCCCGGCATTATGATATGTTCGGTTATCCTTCCTTCCATCGCCCACTTGCATTTTCTCCTCGTTCTCCCGTTCCTGTCACATGCCACCCGCCACCCCTCCACCCCCCCTCCAGAGAACCACGGGTCGATGTGACTTTTCATCATCGCTTACCGGACTACCTAGGGGCAGTTTCAGACTTTTTGGACGCCTTCTGCCCTAGCAGCTCATTTTTGAAAAATTCTCTCGCATGTGATTCCTACCCCGACCCCACCCCGACCCCACCCCGACCCCACCCCGACCCCACCCCACCCCACCCCAACCACCCCGCCAGGTCAGCACATCGCCCTCCACGAGCCCTCCAAGCCCAACCACATCGGCCTCATCTGCACCAGGTGCTCGCCCGTACTGGTGGCGCAGGACGCGATCAACGACGCCAGGTCCATCTGCATGCGGGAGTACGGGGACGCCCCGGAGGTGAGCAAGTAGTGAGTGGGCTGAGTGAGGGGGTCGGGGAAGGGAATTCGGGAGAAGGGAATTGGGGAAAAGGGGATTCGGGGTCGGGTCGGTCGGAGGGAAGGGTCGGTCGGAGGGAAGGGTCGGTCGGAGGGAAGGGTCGGTCGGAGGGAAGGGTCGGTCGGAGGGAAGGGGGCGGTCGGAGGGAAGGGGGCGGTCGGAGGGAAAGTGTGGAAAAGGGGGCCGTTTATGAAGGGCCACCTACCCAGGCTGAAAATCTGTCAATACAACCCTTAGTGAATAAGCTGGAATGTTTTGCTTAGAGCGCTGCCAGCACGTCTGCGCCTCGTCGCAACCCAGTGCGTTGCGTATCCTGCTGTTGAAAATATATGTACGTGTGTGTATATACGTGCGTGTGTGTGTCTGTGTGCGTATCTCATTCCCCACTCATTCCCCGCGTTGGATGCGCGTCAGGTATCCGTGTACGGCAGTCCGGACTTCACGTTTCCGTACGTTCCATCGCACCTTCACCACATGTTGTTCGAGCTGGTGAAGAACAGCTTGAGGGCCGTACAGGATAGGTTCGCGGAGAGCGATGATCCAGCACCGCCCATCAGGTTGGTGGTGGCGGTTGCCGTTGCTCATTCTCGTTGTCGGTTAGGAATACCTTATGAGATGCTTTGGACATTATTAGCGGTTGATTTTCGGTTGGCGTATTTTCAAGTAATACCAACCTCCCGAATGCCTTCAATGAGCCCCGGAGGGCCTTAGACATCTGCAGTTGTCGCATTATCATCATCATCATCATCCCCCACGGTCCATTCCTACGCGCTGAGGAACTAACTGCTTTTCTCCTCCCTCCCCACCACCTTCCATCCGCCAGTGGTTCTCGTCTTAACCCCCACTACCGTCTTCCTCCTCCACCCCCCTCGCCTTTGGGGGGTGGCGCTTGGCACCACCACCGCTCGGGCATCTTGTCATATCCTTCTGTCCCCCTTAGCTCTTACTTTTACCTTCGTCCTTACGCTTACCTGCGTTCAGGCTGGTGGTAGCGGAAGGTGGAGAAGATGTGACACTCAAAGTGAGGCGCTGGAGGCGGGACTGGGGAGGGAAGGAGGGTGTGGGGCGGTGGGATGTCATCAGGACATTTCGTCCATGGCCCCCCTTCGGGCTTTGACAGCTGAGTGGGCTCAGAAGGACGGTGGAACGATGTGGGAGTGCCGTGTGTGTGTGTGCACATCTTAATAATACCGCGTGTCCTTTTCCTGGCTCTTCTTGTGGGCCCCCCCTCCGCGTGTTCACTACTTCCCACTCTCCCTCGTCACTTTCACGCCCTCCTCCCTACCTCCTCCCTCTCCCCTCATTTTCCTCCTTCACTCCTTCACACCTTCACACCTTCACACCTTCACACCTTCACACCTTCACACCTTCACACCTTCACACCTTCACACCTTCACACCTTCACACCTTCACACCTTCACTCCTTCACACCTTCACACCTTCACACCTTCACACCTTCACACCTTCACACCTTCACACCTTCACACCTTCACACCTTCACACCTTCACACCTTCACACCTTCACACCTTCACACCTTCACACCTTCACACCTTCACACCTTCACACCTTCACACCTTCACACCTTCACACCTTCACACCTTCACACCTTCACACCTTCACACCTTCACTCCTTCACACCTTCACACCTTCACACCTTCACTCCTTCACACCTTCACACCTTCACACCTTCACACCTTCACACCGCGCCTCTTGCAACCCAGGTGAGTGACGAGGGCGGCGGCATCCCCCGCAGCGGTTTGGCCAACATCTGGACCTATCTGTACTCCACCGCGAAGAGGTGAGGCACCGGCGGGCGGCGGGCGCTCCAACCCAAGGCCCGGAGACACGGAGGACCACACGGGGGGGTGGGGGTGGGGGGGAAAGACGAACCACACACGATTGAAGCTGCTGCCAGGGCAAGAGAGGGGGGGGAAGAAAGCAGCGATAGGGAGTTCGCGAGGAGGTGGTGGACTGCTGCAGCAGCAGCGACAGCGGCAGTAACAGCGGCAGTAGCCGCAATTACAACAGAACAGAAGAAAGCAACAGCAACAGAAATACCAGGAAACAGAAGCGGCCTCGGGTGCTCCAACCCCTGGGTGCTGAGGAAGGGATTGTTCAAATTTCCAGGGGCCCCTCCCGCACTGCACTGCACTGCACTGCACTGCAAGGGTACAGCTAGGGATGGAAAGGCGATGTGCGTTGTGCGATGTCTTCCCAAAGTTCCCTTCCTCTCCCCTCCCCCTCGCTCACTCGTCGGTGCCCTACTACAAGGAGTGCCGTACGCCCCCTGGCTGATTTCCCGTAGCTCCCTGATGAAGGCAGATCCCCCCCCCCACTTTCCCCTTTGCCCTGGCAGCAGCTTCAATCGTGTGTGGTTCGTCTTTCCCCCACTTTCCCCGTGGCGTTTCTGGGAAGGGTGGGGAAATGGAGGCAGGGGGCCTCCCAAAGGGGATTTCAAAATCTCGGAAAGGAAGTTGCGTTGTTGCTAATCGGGTTCCATCGCGGGGGGGGGGGCGTTATTAGGGCTTTGGAAGTTGGCACGTGCGTGCGTGCGTGTGACTCTGTGGCATGTGTTTTCTTCTCCTTCCCCCTTAAACACATACCAACATATGCACACGCACACTTACATTACACATTTACACACACACACACACACGCACACACACACACACACTTCAACACACGCTTGTCCTTTCTGATATGTCCATCTTCCTTGTTGCTTTGGATGCAACAACAACGGCGACGACGACGCGCGCTTCTGTTGTGTACGGCATGTACGGCACGCAGTCCTGTGGATCCCCGCGCTGTGGATGACGCGGACAGCGGGCCGGTGGTTTTGGCGGGTTACGGCTACGGACTACCCATCAGTCGCCTGTACGCCCGGTGGGTGGCGGTGGGGGGGGTGAGGGGGTGGTAGGTGGGGTATTGGTAGGTGGGTGGGAGTAGTAGTGGGCAGTAGTGAACATTGTTGCAGTTTGTACATTGTCTTTGGCTTAGTAACTTGAACAAATATATTAACTCCCGTTCTTTGGCGCAACCTTGTTTTGTTCTTCGCGACGGCGCCCCCCCCCCCCCATGGCGCCTCTCCCCTGACCGCCTGGCACGTGGTAACTTTACCTATCTAATCGCTGAAATTCTCATTTCGGAAATGTCGGGCAGATTTCTCAGTTGTCTTCTCCGCGAATTAATCAATACCATTCCATCTTGTTAATGCTCGGTCAGTAGGGAGAATTCAGCTACGCCCCGCCGCCGCCTACCTCCTCTTCCTCACCCACTTATCTCCCGCACCTCCCCCGCTCGGCCCTCAGGTACTTCGGAGGGGATCTGCAGATCATCTCCATGGAGGGGTACGGCACGGATGCCTACCTGCACCTGAACCGCCTGGGCACCAGCCAGGAGCCGCTGCCGTAACCCGGCGGTGGACTTGGTGGTGGTGGTGGTGGTGGGGACGCGGTGACAGCTGCAGTGCCACTGAGCGGGAGGAGGAGGAGGAGGAGGAGGAGGAGCAGAAGGGGGCTCCGGTCAAAGGCGTGCACATGCACCGGTAGCTGCTTGCTTCGCCAGCCTTGATCCACACGACCTTAACAACAGCTCAATACACTGTGTGTAGAGGGAACCTGCCAGCGGCGGCACGCGAGAGGTGGGCCGCAGCTCCGCGTGGTGGTGGGAACAGCAGCAGCACCTCGACAGACAGACAGACAGACAGGCAAACAGGCAGACAGACAGGCTTGTCAGGAAGGTGAAGGCGGTCGATTTGCATGAGGGGTATTCCTTTTCAGTTTGTTGAGTTCTGCTGCGCACGATGGATCACACCGGTGGTTTAGCTGGGGTAATGCAAACTGAGTGGGCGCTGAGAGGTATCATGGCAAAAATGCTCTAAGGTGTGGCATTGGCTAAGGTTGTGCCAGCAGCTTTCTGACCTCCTTGGCCCCGGGGACCCCGTGTTTCCTTTCCTTCTTCTTCTCCTCCCTCTCCCTGTCGCGACGACCGTTCTGGCTTGAAGCCTTGGAGCAGCACTTTATGAGGCGCGCGGAAGTACCGCGTCCGGCTTGAAGGAAGGCTGGTCGTGTGGGGCGTGTGTGTACGTGCACGTGTATTTTTATTTTGCTGGGTTTGACGTCTGCATTGTGCAGCAGGGGGAGAGGAAGGATGTGTGGAGCGGATGAGTGTGCGAAAAAAGAGAGGGGGGATGTGTGGAGGATATGTGCGAGAGAGGATGAGTGTGCGAAAAAGGGGGAGAGGGGCACAGTAGGAGTTGCGATTTGCTGCACGGGATGGGGAGGGGTTGCGGCTGCTGAAGGAGTAGGAGTAGGAAGAGGGGTGCGGGTGGTGGTTCGGCTGCGGACCGGTGGTGCGAGAGGTGGGGCTCTGGTGGGGGTGAGGGCCGGTTGTCTGAGGAGGGGAGAGGAGAGGGGGGGAGGGAGAGTGTCAGTGCGCAGTGCTCAGCGAGGCAGTGAAGATCGAGTCAAGATGGAGTGAAGATCGAAAAGACGAAAAGATGGGGGTAATGAACGCGTGGACTCGGTCTCGAGGGCGCCGAGGAGGAGGAGCATGGCGAGGTTACATGGGCAGGGGGCCGGGAAAGCATTTTGTGTGACGCACAGTTGACTGAGGCCGCAACTGACACACACACACACGCACGCACACACACACACATAACACAGGGGTAAGTGCGCAGTCGATGTGATGCGATACTGGTGCGGGTTGGTTTCATGCACGGGTGCGGGTTACAGCGGTTCGGTTCTGATTGGAGGGAGATGGGAGATTCCTAGGCGTTGGGCAGAGGCTGGAAGCGGGGTAGTAGGTGTGTGGATGTGCTGTGCTCTGCGGCAAGGGCCCGCTGGGGCAAGGCTTCGGAACACCGCCGTACACGGCAGAATGGGGGGGAGGGGTGGGTGGGCATTTGCCTGGGAAACCTGTGATGGAGCCCCTGGACCTGACCCGGCCAGAATGTGAGCGGCGTAATGTGGACACCGCGATGTGTGTGTGTATATGTGTGTGTATGTTGGCGTGTGGGGGGGGAGAGGCGGATGACGGTATGTGTGGCAATGGGATGGAGCCTGGAAGCCACGGGGCTGGTGCGTTTAAAATGAGGGTGGGGAGGACAGGAAAAAGCTTGGGGCGAGCCGTTTTGTCCGTTTTATGAGGGCGCACGAGGGGGCGCATTTTTCCACTCGTTTTCAAGCTGCTTGCTTCTCCTTCTATCTCCTGTGTACTATAACGACCTGAGTACATAATGGTTCATGATGACGCGCTCGTTTTCGTCTCGTCGTTTTGCCATTTACTACGCCACCATATCTTTTCGACACCTCGTGGAGGGTATAAGTCAGTTGTCCCGTACCAATGAAGATTACTGCAATGCTTTGCTGTGGCTCTGGTAATAGCAGGCACTGAACGTAAATTGGACGCCAAGACCTGTTAATTTCGTACGACGTCTGCACCGCCGCCGGTGGAGCGGAAGGAAAACCAGCTGACTTGCCATCCCTTTCCTTTCCCTGGGGGGTTGGTGGGGGCAGTGGTTGCCCTGAAGAAGAAATTAATCTGGGCCCATGGACCAGGCGGGGGTGGTAATGGCAAGGAGTTGGAAAACAAAACAGGAGTGGCCAAGTGGCCATTTTGCATGTGGGGAAAATGAACGCGCTAATGTGTGTGGTTGTTACAGCGGGCTAATGTGGTTCAATACGGGGTGTAGTTCCTGAGCCCGACGCCACACTCGCCTCGATGACCCAACCCGAGGTGTGCCTTCGGAGCGGCTCCTACTCTGCGGTGCAGGATCGGGGAAAGTCATTTCATCCATGTTTCAGGGCGGCATGAAAAAGGATGAATTCTCTTGGGTATGTGGCGAGGCAGTGGCAGAAGGGGAGCTCCTGTTTGCGGGGTTTGTGGGATGATAGGGGATGGGATGATGCCCGAAGAACGCATTGCGCCGGCGTGTGGCATGACGCGGCTTCTGTTGCGTGTGGGGTGTTTCTGGTTCGTGTGCTATGTGGAGGGGGAGGGAAGGAGGGGGATGGTGTGTTTGGGGGTATTTTGCTGAGATTGCAGTGTGTAGTGTTTTGCTTTGCCAGCTCTAGTCCAGCTCTAGTCCAGCTCTACGTTCACCGTGGCGCTGGCGGCGGTGCTGTGAATGTTCATGATGGATATGCCCAGGGGACCGTCCGGTGATCGACCAGGTGTGTGAGAGCGCAGGAACGGGGAGAGAAGACTTCGGTCAGACCTTCAGTATTGACAGTATTGAACGAGGCAAATGCAGCTGTCACATTGTACAAGTGGTTAGATTGTCTAGATTTGCTCTTCCTACAAACTTGTTTGGGTGTCAGGACTTTCATTTGCTTTAATAAGAATATTGGCCGGTAGCATTACGAGCGTTACAAACGTGTAATGGTTTTTTAGGTTGTGAGCTGATGCTTTAGGTGCGCCTACTGCTGTACTGCTGAGTGAGGCGTATGATGACTAGGAGTGAGTGGTTGGTCTTAGGGATGTGCTTGAAAAAACTGTGCGACGACGACCGGGAGCACGGCGGCCGGGAGTCCTTGTACAGTCGACACAAAGGGCCGAAAGGGCCAAGAAGCTTTGAACGAGTTTTGAAGGTTTCGACGGCGCATTACATCAACCCTATCATACAGGGTGTAACGCGCAGGGAATGAACCAGCGGCTGCTTCAGCTAGACCCGAATTAAACCTCTGTTATCGCTTGGGCGCTCACTATAAAGCAATTCTAAAAAAAAACATTACTTGCAACCGATCTCACACGAACCACAGGGCGAAAGAGGCGGGGAAAGGCAGCGTGACACACTGCAACATGTAGCCGCGTTATCAGCCCCAACACACTCAATTGCTGTTGAGCTTTTCGCTCTTCTGCAACTCTTCATTCCTCATCATCAAAATTTCGGAACCATGATCATCCTGCCCCATAGGTTTGTATGTACGCCGCATATAGATGTATATACATTTTTGTATGTATGTGTGTGTTAACACACGTGTCAAGAGGCGTTACGTGCTATGAAATGCCACCAGAAGTAATGCATTCATTCATCCATACATGCAACACTGTTAGGATATGTTTCATTCTTCAGTGTGACGGCTGCAACCGGAGTCATGCGTCCAACGGGAACCTGAAGCGACCAGGGGAGGGAACCCACCAGGGGAAAGCCAAACTGGACGATAAAATACAATAACACGTACGACCAAACACCAAACTACATTACCACTTTCACCCATTTAATTTTGGTCTGGTCTGGTGGCGCCTTCGTGTATATGAAGGTTCCGGGTTCGATTCCTGGTCAGACCCCCGACATTGTTCGGGAGGTCTAGGTTTACTAACGCTGCTGAGGTGTGGAGATGAGGTCTAGTTGATGGACTAAGTTTCGCATGCTGAGATGGTGGTGGTGGCTGATCTGTCTCTACGGATGTTGGGTGACTGGATGAGGAGGGGTCGAGTTGGCAGGACCCAGACCGCCGTCGGTCGTACGGTGTAATCAACTTTCAATACATATAGTCCATGGCCTCCCGGCTTTGACGGACACCCCCCGCACTCGTGCGGCACTTGTAACTTGTAACTTTAACCGACACGCAGATGCACCTGCAAGCTCGGTCAGGGCCCCCAGGACCTCTCCCCACCCTCGGACTAACCCGCACCCTCCAGCAGTGCTCAAAAGAGGCCCCCGCAGGAGCTCACAGCGACGGCTCGCCTCTCCTCTCCCTCCCCCCCCAGCTGCCACACAGCACAGCTGCCATCCTTCGCTATTAAAACGTTAACAGCACCCCCACCCACCACCTCGGGGTCGGTGGTTCTAACTGTCCAAGTACAAGGAAGGATCCACAAAAGAGCTCTGTGCGCGAGGACAGCATTTGCACACTTAGCAGCAGCAGCACTAGCACTTAGCACTAGCACACTTAGCAGCAGCAGCAGCAGCAGCAGCAGCAGCAGCAGCAGCAGTGGACATGAAGCGGCCACAACTCACAGCCTACACTAACTAGCCTAAGCCGTCTTCAGCAGGCAGAAAACCTTCACGCCTCAACGAACGGCCCAACCCATTATCTCTATGTTCGATCACAACTCAATGTGCCACGGCAGGCAGCCGCGACTGCTGCCCCCGCCGCCGCCACCGCTCCCGCTACCGATTACGCCGCCGCGGCCACAACCATGCCCGCCACCGCTGTCCGTGGTCATGGCCTGCAGCCGGCGCGCCGCGGCCCTACACCTCACTACTTGCGACGATCAAATGCAGAGTCGCGGCACGGTACCGTTGTTCAAACTCGGCCCGCAACGTGGCGATGACCTCCTGCACCTCCGGAGAAAAAATATCGTGGCGTGGCGTTGGCATTGGCAACGGCTCTTGCGGCGGCGGGCCAGCCGGTGGTACAGCCTGCTTCAAGACATCCGCTGGTACACAGGTGGCCTGGCAGCTGACGTCAGTGCTACCGTCGGCTTCACCTCCGTTGCCAACCCCGTCGCAGCCGTCGCCCCGGCCGTCACCTCCGCCACCGTTCTCGCCCCGGCCGCCGTCAAGGCCACGATGTGCGCGGGCTACAGCGCCATTTTGTGCTGCCGCTGCAATTTCAACACGTGCCGGGCTGTCCGTCGTGCCGCTACCGCCCAACGCCGCCGCCGGCGCTGCCAGACGCGCCACTGCTGGCCCAGCGGCAGCGGTAGCTACGATGGCCGCGGTGTCGCTTTCATCGCCGCCTTCAGCTGCAGACGCGTTTGGATCCGGGATCGTAACCACCCGGGCTGGCTTGCCGTGCGATGGTGCTTCAGGCGTGCTAGGCGGCATTACGGCATTGCTGCCACTGGCGCCGCCGCCACCACAGCTGCGGCTGCCACCCGCTTGACGAGGACTTGACTCAGGTTCTGTCCGTGAGCGAGTCAATCCCATCTCCGGTGCCAATCGAACGGATTTAAACGAATTCAACGGATCGCAATCCGTTCCGGGAGCAGCTCCCCCCGGGTGTTCTAAACCCGCGGCCGCGGCTTCCACGACTTTGGCCAACGTAATCGTACTCTTTACCCCCCTTCGGGCATTATCCCCCAAGCCTCCTGGGCGACCTGGCATATGCGCCGTGTTGCTGCTGTTACTGCTGCTACGGCCACCAACAACGTCACTGCTGCTGCCGCCACCGGCGCTGACGCTGCTGTTGTTGCTGTTTCTGCTGATGCTGCCGTTACGTATGCAGCTACTAAGGCTGCAATCGCCGCTCCGTACCGGCATCTGGCCGGTCAACCAGACCAAGCGGCTATGGTCGAGGCGGCCGTTGCTGTTCGAGCCGGGCCTTCCAACACTGGGAAAAGCACTCTGACGGCCGCTGCGCGCGGCGCCGGTGGTAGCGTCGGCGTCGGCGCCGGTGGTGGCGTCGACGGCCCTGCCGATGTCAAAGCCGTTGCCTGAGTTGGCCTTTCGGTGCCGCACAGCCGTTGTATTGACATTTCCTGCCGCCAACGGCTGTACGGCAACTGCAACAGCCTCCGCCGTCGCTGCTTGGGGAGTTTGAGACCCTGTCCCTGTCCCTGTCCCAGACCCGTCGGGCCATCTCGCTGCTGCTCTGGCTTCTCCGTGTGCGACGGAGGCGGTGGAGGAGAATCGGGAGGCGGGGGGTGCTGTGGGCTCTGCTGCTACCCGCGCCCCCGGTAGTGGTCGTGGCTGTGGAGGCTGTGGTGGTGGTGGTGGTTGCAGCGGTGGTGGTGGGGAGACGTGGGCTGTCGCCGCAGGGCGCCGACTGGGAACCCCCTCCTGTGCCGGCTGGAGTGCCGCAACACGGCCATCTTCCACCGCCACCGCAGCCACCGCCGCTGGAGCTGACGTCATCATCGCTGGCGTCATCGTCGCTGACGTCATCGTCGCGGCAGCCTCCTCCGCTGGCGCCGCTGGCACCGCTGCCTCCGCGCACGCAGCCGTTTCGGCTGAACCGATATCCAGCAGCAACGTCAACGGCGATGGCGATGTCCATGTCACGGGCGAGGGGCGGGTGGCTGTGGTCTCCGAGTCATCCGCTGTCCCGTGTTGCTTCGCCTGAACCTCTTTCCGCTCCCCGGCCTCCTCTCCCTCCCTTGCTACGGAGAGCTGTTGGGGGGCCTGTTGATCGTTCAGTTGCTGTTGCTGCTGTCCCCCCCCTTCCTGTGGCTGTTCCCGGTCCTGCGGCTGATCTTGTTGATCCTGCTTGGCGTCCTCCAGTTCCGTCGCGGCGGCGACCGGGTCCGGGGGGTTTCCGAGCCTGACCGTGTTTCCCGTCGAGAGAGCGGCGGACGGTGCCGCCAGCGGTGGCGCCGAAGCGGGCCGTAGTAGCGGCAGCAGCGGCAGCAACAGCGACAGCGGTGGTGGCAACAGCGGCGGCAACGGCGGCGGTGGAGGCGGTGCCAGGTCCGCTGCTATATCTGCTGCTATTGCTGCCTTCAAGTTTTCAGGACATGATGATGGGGCCGCAGCCGGAGCACTACAGGGGAAGAGGCGAGAGGGCCCCAGTTTTGGCCCAGAGCGCAGAACCCGATCCGCGTCAGGATTCGGATCTGGATTCGGATTTTCAGCGGTCGTCACCTGCAGTGGCGCGGACTGTGATAATGACATGATCCCCAAGGCAGTCTCCAGGCCGCTGGCGCCGGGATCCGGATCCGCGTCGGATCCAACGCTCGAGTCGCGATCCAATTCTAGGCCTGGATCCGGATCCGGAATGGGGTCCGCTGCGTCTACATCTGGGTCGGCGTGCACAGGAGCTTGGTCGACGCACGGGTACGACGGTACGTGTGCCGTACGTGCGCTGTGCTGACCTGGCTTTGCCTCCAATGCAGATGGAGGTGATGGTGAATGTGATGATGAATGCGATGATGATGAATGTGATGATGAATGTGATGATGATGGCAAATGGTGCGACAACCTGGATCGAGCCTGTAGAGGTGGATATGACGGCCCGGCGAAGGTCTGCAGCGGCGGCGGTGGCCTCGTGAGCGATGTGTAATGGTGGTGCATCTCTGCCGCTGCCGCCGCCGCCGCCGTCGGGCCATGCGGCAGCTGCGTCGGTCCATACGGCTGCGGCAGCGCCGTATTACACGGCGCCTTCTCTCCCCTCGAAGATGCGGAAGGCACATCTGCGAAACCGACGGCCTCTAGGCCTCCGTACATCGATGGCGCCGGGGCGTATGATGGAAGCAGCTGTCCCGAGCCGTACAGTTGTGGGCAAGACGGCGACATCAGCGGCAGCAATGGCAACAGCAGAGGCAGCAGCGTCGCAGCTGGCGGCAGCGGCGGCGGCGGCGACAGGGCTCCCACATTACTCGGTACCGAGCCGCCAGTAATGGTAATGTACGAGGACGGGGTGGCACACAAGGAACCTGACAGACCAGCAGGGAGACGTGTGGTGGGCGGCCCCGACACACTCCCATGTACGAAGCTGCCGCCGCTGCTGGAAACGTCACCGTCGCCGTTGCCGCCGGCGGCGCCAACAAGATTGTATCGGCGCGTACTGCCGTCACTGCAATACACCCCATCACCGCTGCTGCTGCTGCTGCTGCAGCCGTCGCTGCCGCCGCTGCTGGACGGCAGCCTTACAGCACTCAGCGTCGACGGGAGGTTAAGTGCCGCAGCAGCGGCGGAAGCGGCGGCGCCTGCCGGTGCCGCCGCAGGGACGTGGCGGCCGGCACTGGGCTTGCCGTACGTAAAGCAGCGCGCGCGTTCTGCCGCCGACAGGGGGTGAGCAAACAACAATGCTAAGGGATGGTCGATGTCGATGGGCCGGCCGCCGCTGCCACCACCACCACCACCACCACCCCTGACTTGTTGGCTTGCAATGCCTTCGGTAATCACCGTACTAGCCGAACCCCTGTACGACGATATCCCCGATGCCAACGGCGGTGATTGCGGTGGAGACGACAGACTTGTCGTAACGACGGCGGCGGATTCCCACTGCAGGGCTTCCGTACCAGTCGTTGTCGTCATCGCCGCCGCCGCGGAGCAGGGTGCGGTGGCGGCGGCGGCAGCGGCGGTGGGGCTCCCTAGTTCAAAGTTTAGACCAGTGTCCCAGACGCTGTACGACGACGTCGGCGAAGCAGGAGCGGCATCGGCGGCGCCGCTGATTTCCGCTGGCCCCACTACAGGATCTGCCGGAGAGTACGGCGACGTAAAGCTGGGCGTATCCTCCGGTGACGTCGCCGCTGGCAAAGGTAATCCAGATTCCCCTGGTACCGCCACTGCCCCAAACGATGACGGCGTCGCCGTCTCTGGCGGCGCCGCCGTCACCTCCGCCGTTGCTGTACGGATCGATGGTGTTGACGCAGGCGGCTGCACTGCCGCTGTCGGCACTGTCGTCGTCGTCGTCGTCGTCACCGCCTGCAGTGGCAGCACCGCCACCGCCTCTGACGCAGGCGACGTTAGCACCCCCATTCCATTCAACCACTCACCCGCTGCCGCCGCCTGCACCGGTGCCGCTGCCATGGCGAGCGGCCCCGGCGGCGGCAGGTACCTGACCGCGGACAGAGCCCGGCGGCGGCCCGCCTCCGCCTCCGCCGCCTCCGCCTCCGCCGCCTCCGCTTCCGCCGCCTCCGCATGTACAACGCCCGCCGGCTCCTCGTCTGCTGGGTCGTCAAGCCGCCTCGACTGCGCCGCCGCCGCCAGCCGTACCGCCAGCGGCACGGCGAATGCAGCAGCGTTGCCGATGGCTGTTGGCCGCTCCATCGCCTGGCTGGCAGCGACTGGCTCAGAAGCGCGGTCAACGGTTTCGGAGCCGGTGCCAAAGGCGCTAATTTGGGGCCTTCCACTGGTTCCGGAACTAGCTCTCTCCACCGGGCACCAGACGGAATTGTGTGATCTGGAGGACAGACCTCGAGCAGCTGGCACTGGCGCTCCGAAGGTTGAGACGATGGTTCCGGAGCCAAAAAGAGGCGTGGTGTTGGCCAGCTCTCCTGCGAGACAAGGGCCAGCCGGAGCGGTTTCGGAGCTGGACGCTTGATTTTCGCTGCCAGCGGCGGCGGCGGCGGTGACGTCGGTGGGACCGTGAGCTTCTTGCTTCACGCGGCCAACCGCTGGACGTGCCTCACCCGGGACTGAAGCCGCGATGATACCCCCCGGGGGTACGGCACGGGCCGCCCTGTCAACACGAACAGCACCGGCAGCAGCACTACTAGCAGTACCAACACACGGTGCCGCAGCCCCCGCCGAGGCCGCCGGGGGCGGGGTTCCAGACTCCAGCTCCGGAGAAGCCCTCCCCCTCCCCCTCCCCCTCCCCCTCCCGTCCGGGGGTGCAGCCCGCGGCGACAAGAGTCCTGCCGCTGCTGGCACAGGGCCCAGAGCCCACGTCAGCTCCTCTGCAGACGACTTTGCAAGCCCCGCAGCTGCAGCCACAGCCGGGGCTGGGGCCGGTGCCGGGGTTGGGGGTAGTGTGACTGCGGTGCTGGTAGCCAGTACCCGGCCATCAAGAGCCGCATCAAGAGCCGCATCACCACCACCCGGTTCTCCGACGCTGGTAGTCGCAGCTGCAGCCGCAGCCTGGGGCGGTGCCGGAGATGACACCATAGCCGGGGCAGCCATCGACAGTCTCTGTGCCGCTGGTGGTGCTCCTGCTACTGCTGGTGGTGCTCCTGCTACTGCTGGTGGTGCTCCTGCTACTGCTGGTGGTGCTCCTGCTACTGCTGGTGGTGCTCCTGCTACTGCCGCTAGCACCGGAACTGAAGGAGCTGGGTACCCAGTGGGTGCAGCATCGATCTGGGCCACAGACGAGTCGGGAGCTGCCGCCGCCAGGTCCGTTTCGGCTACTGCCGGTGCTTCAACAGCCTGAGGAGTTGGAGCGGCAGCCAGCGCCGGCGCCGGCGCCGCAGCTGCTGCTGCTGCTACGTCTCCGGCCGCCACCTCCGACACCGACCGGCTCCCCGACACCGCTTCAGATTGCGGCGACGGAAGCAACGGTGATGCCGCCGCCGCCGCCGCCGAGTCTACTCTCACCACGGCGCCGGCTTCCGTCATCGCCCGGGTCACCGCCGCCGCCGCCGCCGCCGCTTCCATATCCACAGCTACAGCCTCTGCCGCCGCTGCACCGCAAGTAGGGGTTGCTGCACGCACCGCCCCAGCGGCAACACCAGCGAGGAGCGGTGCCGCTGCAGTCGCCGCCGCCGCCGCCGCCGCCGCCGCCGCCGCCGGTATCGCTGCTGAGGGCGCCGTGTAGGCGGCACCGTGAGTTGATACCGTGGTTGCGGTGGCGCCAAGTCCAGCTGGTGGCTGTTCGTCGATCAATGGGTCGTCCTTTACAACCGCATCAGTCTGTTGGTGCTGCTGGTTCTGGTGGTGCTCAGTCACTGCTGTTATCGGCACCCAGAGAGCAGCCCCCTCTCCCGCCTCCGGGACGAATCCTGATAATCCTGGTATGGATCTTGATTCGGATCTTGATTCGGATCGCGAGGCAGACGGCTGCATCAATAAGGTTGACTCCGCCAGGTGCGCAGGGGAACTACCTACGCCGTACGATCGTCCTTCAACGGCACAGGTACGGCTACTGCTACTGCCGCTACCGCTAGCTGCAGCAGCAGCACCTGACGATTGAGCCCCACTACAGCCGCCGCCGCCACCGCGGCCACCCCCACCAACGCCACGGTCCTCCTGTCCGTTCATCCGTACATTCATCCACTTTCGAATCTCACTGGGATCCTGATTTCGGACTACGTTCCAGGGGTCCTGAGATCTGGATCCAATCGTCTGCAATGTCACACCGCGAGCCAGCTCAGTGAGGAGCTCCGAAAGCGATTTGGTGCCGACGGCGTTCGCAGCGACCTGCTGCGCCTCCTCACCCTCCTCCTCCCCCTCCTCCTCCTCATCATCATCCTCATCGTTATCCTCATCGTTATCGTCGTTCTTTGTTTTGAACTGTGGGGTGCGGGGGAGGCGCAGGTGAGGGGGGAAACAACCAAGAAAAAGAGATGTATGGGGCGTGAGAGAGGCGTGTGTGTGTGTGTGTGTGTGTGTGTGTGTGTGTCTGGAGAAATCTAGCTTGTAACGGAAACCCAGTACTCGACATCAAGGCTGCGGACATCAGATCCAAACTTTGCGCACTGCGCAAGATCGCAACCTAGCGGGGGTGGTGGTGGAAATGTCCCTGGGAGATAGATGAATCGTGTACGTACGTACGTATGTATGTATGTATGCGGTATTGGGATTTAGTTCTTGGTACTCGGTAATCGTGTGTGTAATAGACGCTCCGGATATGCCGTACCTCGATGACGCGGCGGAAGTGCTCGACGGCGTCACATCCCGCCACTTCTTTCTCGTCGGAGAGGAATCTGGCCAGGAGCAGGAGGTCCCTGCAGCGGGTCAGTGGGTCGTTAGAGCAGCGGAAAAAATTGTAACCACTTCTCAACCATTTCTCAACCATTTTTCAACCACTTCTCATCTACTTCTCAACCACTTCTCATCTACTTCTCAACCACTTCTCATCTACTTCTCAACCACTTCTCAACTACTTCTCAACTACTTCCCAACTACTTCTCAACCACTTCTCAACTACTTCCCAACCACTTCCCAACCACTTCTCAACTACTTCTCACCGCATGGCCCTGTCCGCCCTAAGTCTCCAGCAGTGCAGCTCCCCGCGGTCGAAGAGGGAGCCCGAGGGAACAGCGAGTTGGTGGCACACACGGCCATCCAGCGACCGCGCGTCAGGCTCAACCAAGAACAAACTCAGTGTCTGTACGACATGGACAGCATGACGAACAGCAAAAGAAGAGCGGGAGGGCGGGTGCATCCGGGAGGGGCGCGAGCCGGGAGGGGCGGGGGGGTTATGTTAAATTATATTTTATTTTACATATTATATTATATTTTTATTTTATAGAACATGTCGCAATATCAAGAAGGGAGAACAACTGCATTCGCGCAAAGGGTATCGGTTCTAGATTCACTTGTTTCATTTGTTTTTGGAGTTTTGTAATTGTTTTTAAATTTAAACTTTTCCCGCCCAGTTGCGTACCCCACTCAGCTTCCGCCCGCCGCCCCCTTGCCCCTCCCCCCTTTTTACACACTCACCATGTAAAAGGCCTGTGCCGCCGACATTGCTGGCGACGGCGAAGGTTTCGGAGCGATTTCGTGGCCGCCTGAAACGTTCCCACAGCAGTCACTTACGACATGTCGTACCAGCGCCTCGATAACGTATCCCTTGAGCGGCGGCAAGCTGCCAGCCTAGGGTTTCAGGGTTTCGGAGCCACGTGGGAGGGAAATTCAAATTCGCCTACAAGAGTCCGAAGTCAAAAAGAGGAGGAAGAAGAAGAAGATAAGAGAGCAGATATGGGTTTGGGGTTTGAGCTATGGCAGAAATATAGCACCAGCAGCACCCAACATGCTAATCCTGGTGAAGTAACGCAACCAGCACTATAGCAGTAGCAGCAATACCTCTGTAGCAGGACTGTAGCTGTAGCATCTTTCCTAAAACTTTTTTTGAGGGCCTGAAATTTCGAACCAATAATATTTCGAACCATGTAAGGAAAAAAACACATCACGCCTCACACACCGTCCCCCCCCACCGCCCGAACCATCTCCCCACCTCCCGACATCCCCCGCCTTTCCCCCCCGAGCCCCCCCCCACTGGGGCCCCGCCCCTCCACCTTTCGCTGAAAGATCTTCATCATCATCACTGCCGTACGCCCCGGGGGTGACCGCTCCAGGGGACATGAACCGGAGTCGGAAACCGACACGGGTCGGCCCAGGGTGGCGCTCTCGAACAACAAGTCGGCGGAGAGCTCCTCCCACTCCCCCTGCTCCCGCCGTTCGGGGCCAGAGGGCGCCCCAGCTGGGCCCCCAGCTGCCGCCGCCCCCACCTCACGCTGCTGCAGAGCCTCCGCCTCCTGGGAGCTAGCGGCGGCGGCAGTAGCGGTAGCGGTGCGAAGCACCCGTACGACAAACTCGGCCGATTTCCTCTTCTCTTTAAGCTTCACATTTCTGTTGCCGTATTGTTCGGCGAGGAAAGCCTGTGGGACGATGTGAATAAGGGAGGGAGGTGGGTGGCGAGAACGGCGGAGAGGCAGAGAGGCAGTGCCGTACTACGTGGGCAGTGATGTGTGTAAGGACAGGAAACAGAAGAGACTCAAAAAACTCAGTCGTTTTGATAAAATGCCAAATGCTTGCGATGACGAGGAGAAAGTGAAGAGGGGGGAAACAGGGCCTGAGGAAAAAGAAGGTCAAAACTTTCTACCTTTAATTCATTTGTTAGGGCCGCTGGCGGTACGAGCGATACAAAATCTCCGTACACTGCATCAGTCACCCCGTAGTAGTTGCAGCAGCATCCCATCACCATCACCACCATCAACATTTCCCCCCTCCTCCCCTCCCTTTCCCCCTCCCCCCTTCCCTCTCTCTCCACCCTCCTCCTTACACACACATACATACATACATACACACACGCCTTCTTACCTCGATCACCCTGTGAAGCTTCCGAATAGTGGATCGTGGAAGGACGCACTGGGTTCGTACGACAAGGTCCACGTCACTGTCCTTCAGCGCCGTACCCTTCAATGTAGATCCTGCGGGACGAAGACAAAAACAAATTCCGGGGCGGTGTGTGTGTGTGTGTGTGTGCGTGTGTGTGGAAATGGTGTGTTTTGTGTGAAAAGGGAGGAGGAAAAGCTCCCATAAGCCCCTAAACACAGCTCCAGTAACAAATTCCCTAAAGGGGCACAAAAACGAACGAACAAAAACGAACGAACAAACACGGAAGGGTAAAGGGAGGAAGGGGGGACGCCGCCTCTCCTCTCCCTCCCCCCCCCCCCACAAAACGAGACCAAAACCCCAGGCGGTCGTTACGATGCCCTCCCTCCCTCCCTCCTAGTCCCCCACCCTCCCGGACTTAGCCGGGTAACGCACGACGAAGGTGATGTTTCTTGGGGGGGGGAGGGGAAACAGCTGACTCGGTAAGATCGTGGTCAAGATGATGATGCGACAGAGACGCACGCAGAGACATCGGTAACGTTTCTCAATTGCATGTACCCCCTCTAATCGCATGTTCCCTTCTTTTCCCTTTCCCTTTCTTCTACGGCCTGTCGACTAAAATTTCCAACCTAAAACACACAGCCACGCGGTCATGGGCCAATGCACTCCCTGTCTCGCGTGTGCGACACCCCCACCTCCACACACCTTCCAACGCTCATCTCCCCCTCTTCCTCGCGCCTCTCTTCTTCCCCCCCACACCTCCCACACCCCTCTCCCCCCCCTCACATACATACATACATACACACATACATACATACATACACACATACATACATACATACATACATACATACATACATACATACATACATACACACATACATACACACACCTCTCATCACTCACCGTCCAAAAGTACCTTGGGCTGTTCCCCCGGACACACCTGGACACCACAGGAGGGGACAGGACATGACTTGACCGGGGGGAGGGAGGGAGAGGAGCGAGTGAAGGTGATACCAAGGAAAGACTGATGCGCTTAAGTAGTACAGAAGTAAAGAAGACGTAACTAACCAGTCGGCGGTTACCGTAGCGGAACTAAAGATTTTACAAAATAAATAATTATTTGCATGCCGGTAAAATGTTTTGGCAAAATTCAGAGTCTTTCTGTAAAATCTTTAGTTCCCGGGAGGGAATTCGGAGCGATGCCGTAAAATATACATGGCCCTTCACGCACAACAGGCTTTTGGCACTACCTCTTATACTATTTTATACAGAATATTGTAACATATCACTATATCAACCTATTTCTGGCAGCAGCATGGGCAAGCGCAAGCTCACCAAACACCGCTTCATTGACAAGCTGCCGGCCATACCATACCATATACGGCAATGCTCTCGCGTCCTTCATCAATCATAAGAATTCTGCGGCTGCTACAGAATGGTGAATGTTTGGAGGCCGTGTCTCGGTGGCTTGGCTTCCAGATGGGGGTTTACAATTCGGAGATTCTTAGTTTGAGACGTGTCGTGATGATTCTCATAGCCCCTTATGCGTGAGAGGGAGGCGGGCAGTGGTGTTGCATGGTTGGGTAGCTTTGCGGGCCGGTAAAATCCCAGGAAATCATCCACAGTACCGTAAAATCTTGGCAAAATCCGCCAGCATGCGGTAAAATACTTCGTTCCGTAAAATATATTAAAATCCATAATTTTGCGGTAAAATCTTTATTTTGTAAAATCTTTAGTTCCGCTACGGTATGAAGAAGTCGTCCTCGCGATGATGTTAGCAGTGGTGGTGACGATGGCGGAAAACTACCTACCTAGCCGCCAAGACTAATTTAGTGCGGAAAGATAGCAGGAAAACCATCCGTATCATTGTATAGGTAGGTGTAAAGGCGGCGAAGAGCAATGAAAACTGGCATGAGAAGAGGACGAGGTGACGTGAGCTGGAATAAACTTGCTCGCCGGCCTGACGGCGGAATTGAGGAGCCTGGACAGAACTGGCTGATAAGCTGCTGGTAATAAGCTGTGCTGGTGACATGCAAGTCCTCCTCCCAAACCCCCCAAAAAAACGCGCAACCGACCCGACCGACCCGACTACCCTAGTCCCGGCTAGCCGACCGACGCCAAACGCGATAAACCAACAAAGCTCTCGAACCTCCTTCGGACTCACCTGGCGGCCAGGCAGCAGAAGCAGCGGGCAAGGAGGGCACATGCGAGGCAGAGAGGTAAACAGGTTGTGAGCAGCGGGTGGCGATTTGAAGAAAACAACACATGCGAACAGCGCCCACCGGGGTCACCGCGGTAGGGGCCACAACACGATACTACCCCCCACCACCACCATCCCCCCACCACCACACCACCACCTCCACCACCACCATTTGGGCGCTGCCACTGCTCACCTCTGTCGGGCCACATCATCATGTTGGGCCCTCACGAGGGGTTGATTCCGCTGCTGCAGTGCGCACAGATGGCTACACCGGGGGCGGTGGGGCACCTCACTCCGCAACCCCAGTCACCCCACCCTCACAAACACGCACACACTCCACACACGCACACACCACCACACACGCACACACTCCACACACGCACACACACACACACACACACACACACACACACACACACACACACACAGACACACACACACGCGTGCACAGCCGGGGCCCTTACAAGCGACACCTACCTTTTTGAAAGCCAGGTCCAGGCTGGCTTGAACATGCTCTGTCAGCCTGCGCGCGGGTAGGTCGGTGCGGTTGGTCTGTATGTCTGTATGTCATGAGGGGGGAAAGCTCGCAATTGTGTGGCTTACACTACTATGCTTCGCTGCGGGTTTTAATATGCGGTTAAAATATGCGGTTAATGTGTGGTTAGTTCGCAGTTGTTTCGGTTGGAGTGGTTGGTCTGTTCGGGGCATGTGCATTCCAGCGAGTTGGTTTGGAGTAGGTTGTACGGGTGCCGTCCACCAAAATGTACGGTGCCGTACAGCACCCCCATGGGCCTTCCTCCCTTCGCTCTCCTGCTATATGCGGCACCGCTATTATAAATGCTGACGTGGTAATCATCGCCAAGTTAAGCGCAAGTTCTGGCGCATTGCCGCGGTTCTTCGGTTCTTCTGTAGTAGCTGGTACACAGTACGGCTATACAAATACGCGCGGAGCGCGACCACCAGCATCTCGAGAGGCCTTTTCAGCGGCCAGCTACTACATCTTCGGATCCGAGTCTGCTAACCTTTTGGTTGTTTATTGTCTGCTTGTTCGTTTGTCTGTTTGTTTGTATCTTCCTTTAAGCACTAAGTGGAATTTCCGCAAGAAACAACGAACACATAACATCATTCGCTGTCGCGTTCACACATCGTTGTAGCTCGCTGTCAGTCATCAATACCTTCGGTACATCTCCAGTTTCCACTTCGGCATGGCATGCTCCTGAACGCACTGCGTCAAGGGCACCTCCAGAACCCCCGCTAAATGCTGTGGAAGGCTGTACAGCGGTTTGAAGGAGCCCTTGCGCGCTCCGCAGCTGCACGGGCACGTGCACGACCGGCCGGCCGTCTTCGTCGTGATGACATCGCGAGGAATGTACTAGGGGTCGCAGAGGGGAAGTGGTATGAAAGCAGAAGGGGGAGGGGGAAACGTTGGGACTGGAGGGTTGCGCGGTGATGTGAAAGTACCGGCAGGGGGCGAATGACTAGGGGAGAAGGGATAAGAGGGCGTGGAAGACGGACGAAGCCTTGGGTGCGACAGCGGAAGCATGACATGGGCAGGGGAAGGATTTGTCTGTGTGCGATGGCAGCTATGTTGCTCTGACCTTCCGATGCATACGAGAGTTGACTTTACCCCTTTCCCAATTGCTGGTACCAACCTTTTCTTGATGCGGATGCATGAGCTTGTTTCTTTAACTTAATTATTATCTCTGCAATCTCCTTCGTCGAAATCGAAAGGCAGGTTGGCCATGCTAGAAGTAAGCTGGGAGTTTTATCGTAACTGCATGTCACTTTTGACTATTGCATATAAGATTTATAACATGAACAAGTTTATTTGTCGGGTCAGCACGATGACGGGCATCAGCATTAAGTCCAGCTGATAGTCTGCGCGTGCGAGCGGTGTTAAAGGTCAAGCCACGATTTTCAGCTTATGCCAGCTCTAAAGACCAAAATGATGAATACTCCTTACGCCCAATCGCTGTAGGCGGTTACGCTCCAATACGACAGCGGTCGGGTTGCACCCGTGATAGTTGAACGCAAACGCTTTAGCCATGATGGCCTTCAATAAATGATGAATGTAAGACCAAGAATCTGCATTACACATTTCGTATGCTGCCCGGCGGTCTGGTGCTTGCTCGGAACCTGTGATGCAGTACAACTAACCCGTGACTCTGCGTGGGGTCTCGGAGGAGAGCTGCCCTATGCATCAGAAGCTTTAAGGCCTACCTTGGCCTAATTTGCTTTTTGCATGATGCCCGTTTTACCTTCCTTGGCATACAGCGCAATCAGGCTTGTTGGGGCAGCCCCCGCGAGTTGTAAGTTGCAAGATTGGCTCGGCGTTCCCATCTTGGCTTCTTCAAGCAACTTTACCCTGGGTTCCGCAAGCTACTCCACCCAGCTATTTTGCGTTAACGCTGCTTGTGCCGCTGGTCTCTGCAACACGGATTTCTGTAGAGAGCCGTACATCAAGCCAAACACAAGCTCTTGTCGTTACAAGCAGCACCCATATCGGCAGCGAACATATAGCCATCACAACGAAATTGTCACGACAGGTCAAGGCCGCACACAGCGATCCATGCAGCGGTGCAATAACCAACGTTAGCCACTCTTGTGTACATGTCTGGTTCTGTCAAGGACTGGTATTAAGCGAGGTTATAACACCACTTGTTCCCTGGCATGAAAATAAGCAAGCACAAGGTTGTGTGGCAATGACTCTCCTATTAAGACTAGAAAGACTTCCCAGCCATCTTTCCAACCCCCATTAGTAAGGTTGCGATCCGTCCACCTTCCTTCCATGTGAAATGCCCCCAATGGGGACATTTACTTATAACTCGACTATATAGCTGTAGTATGCGGATGCGACAGAGGTGGGGCGCTGGATGGCCTATGCTGGGGTGTCGTGGATGCTACCGAAGTAAGGCTGGGTGATCTATGCTGCCGGGTCGTGAAGGAGATCAAAATACGGCTGGAGGGCTTAGGCTGAGAGGTCGATGCGTGATGCATGCGACCGAAATAAGGCAGAGGATGCCCTGCATTGGGATCGCAGACAAACTGCTGCCGACCCCTGTTGACATGATGGGAACATGGTCCCCTGATGGTTGACTTGGATCCCCAGGTGAGACCAGCCGGAAGGAGGAGATACCGCCTTCACAGCAGAGACCGGCTGGATGAGGAACCGGAAGTGCAGGATGAGGGTACCCGGACAGCCGGGGGCACATCCTCGGGTGTCTGCCCAGGAAAGGTCGCCTGCAAGCCAGGCCCAGGAGGCACACCGGATGGGAGATGTGGCAGGGGAGGCGGCTGCAGATAGTGGAGAGGTGGCAGTTCGAGGGAGGGAGGTAGTCCTCAATCAAGTGGAAAAAAGCCCGGAGGTGCAGCCTTGGGGGTCATTAACTGAGAGGGAGCCAGGAAAACCATCAGTGGCAACACCTGCCACAAAAGTGACGGTGCCAGTGGAATTGTAGGCAAGAGCCCCACACTACACTGGAGGGTGAGGGGGGGGTGGAGAGGGAGCTGAGACGGTGGGTCCAGGTGTCCCTTGCTGCCACCTCAGGCACCAGGGTGCCTTTGGGGCCTGCAGGGGAACAGGGGATGGCAGTGCGGAATATGCTGAGAATGTCAATGGGTGGTTGCATGGCTGGCAAGCGTGGGGGCCGTTTGTGCTAGCTGAAGTCTTGGACAGGCTCAGGAGGCGGAGTGATGCGAGTAACCTTGCTGAGGGGCCCTTCGAGGCTTGTCTGAAGGACGGAGCGGTACAGCTTCAGGTATCTTTCATGTGACAAATTGTGGGAGCTGTCAGACCAACGCATCGCCTCCTGATCACTGAATTGTCGCGGCCGCCCCTACACCACCATGTTTCCAAACAGATTGTGGGGTTTTGGAACCGTGTCCGTTTACAGCGTGGGTCTGTGGCACACCAAGTTTTGCAACAAGAGGTCGCAGAGTCCCTCTCGAACCCCCAAGGGACCGGATGGGGACACTGCTCCTCCGTTTCCTAAGTTTTCTGGGGCACGACGTATGGAAAGAGGCCCCGCAAGGGCTACAACGAGTGGAATGGCTGAACAGGCCATTGCCAAAAGGTGTGGTAAGGACCGATTGGTGAGTGGTTGGAAGCATACGCGTCTAGATGTCCAGCCAGACGTGTGCCCGTCCAGACGGCAAGCAACCAGGAATTCACATTGCGAAGTATGAGAATTGGATGGGTCTGGCGGCCGAACAAGCGGGCAGGAAGGAGGTGCCCCGCATATCACAACGTTTATCCCGTGTCCAGGGAATCGCAAGCTTATGCAGTTTAGGCTTTGCTGTTGGGCATTGACGGCTAGCAGAGCGTGCAAGAGACGGCGTTGTATGCCACTGCTGCGGCACTGATAGCCATATTGAAGATAAGAAGCACATTTTGCCGGACTGAACGGTCTACGACAAAATCAGGTCTAATATGGATTTCCATGCTTCGAGCATATGAAGGTCGCTATGAAGTGCTATGAAGGTCGCTATGAAGTGGCGTCTGGCAAGGATGCTGGAACGTATATGGTCCCACCGCAACTCTATCGTTCCCCTTGGTCGTTATTATCACTTGCTTTGCCTGAAGTGCGAGGTAGGATGGTGCTTATAGGTGATCTGGCAGCCCTTGAGCCTCGGCTCGTATTGGGCGGTTTGCAGGTAAGGGGATGCACCCCACGACCATGTAACACACACACATAACTGTAGTATTCTAAGAATCCGAAGCAGCGTGTTGAGGACTACAGTGCTTTCATATATAGCATCATGCTTCAGCTGGCTGCTGAAAAGGCCTCTCAAGATGCTTTGTAGACGATATGTGTGCCGTACTTGTACAGCTACTACATTTCCGGATTAGGTTGATCGGTCACAGGTAAGTACCAGACACGAAAGTCCCGTGTTTTTTAAGGCTGCAGCTGACACTACTTCCTGTAAGCATAATTACCATTTTACGAGCACATCCCACCTCAAGAGCAAGGGCTGCATGTAGAGGAGGCCTGAGGCAAGACGGAATTTTCCCCCACAGCGGGCTTTTGCAAGGTTACGCAGGTGGCACCAACACGTGGGAGGACGTCAGCATCCAGGACATGGTTGCATTGATAGGCAACGATTCGGAACAGGAGGCGCCCTGTCCCTCACATGCTCCATCAGGTGCTACGCGAAACACTGCTGCGAGTCCGCCAGCGGCCTGACTGCGTGAGCGTTCACAGACCATGTCCCACGTGATATAACTGCGGCAGGTGGGTGCATAACGTGACGCTGCCGTTGCTGGCGCAGGTTTTGGGTCTTTCCTGTCTTTCTGACCTACCCACCTGACGCCAAGTACTGATCCTTATTAAGGCAATTCACATGATTGTCTGTCCTGAGAGACCCTGGTCTTTAAGTTAGGGGTCGGCTTTGGTGCTTTGGCAGCGCCTGAGGCTGTGACGACATAGTTACGCTGGCATCTATAACAAAGCTAGTTTGTACATAAATATTCTTATGCTAAATTGGCCACCCGTAAGCCCTTGGTATGGATTGTCCTGGATGCGACTCGCGCGCAATCCGAAACCAAAACTGGAGCGAGTCAAAGTTGCGACTTCCACCAAGCCTATTCCCCTCCTCTACCTAACCGGACCCTGGCTGCGATTACCAGGTCTTATAGCAATTTGTAAAGTACAATAAATCCAATCTCGAGTATTTCTTCTGTGGATGCACGAGCTAGACTAGCTCACCAAATTTTACTTCACGGAACAGCTGAAAGTCGAATTTAATTTATCTGAGGATGGGCTCGCATGGTCCTTCCGCGGAGCTCGGGCCCCTGGCGCAAGCTTTACAGCGGAGACGCTCAGCTGCGGGCTACCAGGACCAACAAACGTTTCCCACGATGAAGTACATGGCACCTCCACTTCCACCGACCAGTCCGAAGCGGAAGCCGTTGGGAGACTGCAATGGCGTCCCCAACCGGGCGGTTGGGCCGATGGCCATCGCACAACGTCCCTGCGGGCCCAACATTCCCCGTCCCAATACCTCTGGCTTGGGATTGCGAAAGATCACCGAGGGTGTCGAGCAGCATCACAGCGCGTCTGGTTGCGAACAGAAGCCCGGGAGCGAGCAGCGCCTCGAAAGCACAAGAGGCCTCGAACGTCCCCCCGAACATCGTCCCGGCGAAGCTACGGGTCTTGAACTACGGCGAAGCTTTGAGCATCGGAAAAGCCTGGAGCTGAGACCAACAAATGAGACCAACATCAGACCGACAGAATCGCGTGGGAACGGGGCTAGCCGCGAGCAGCATAAAGCCGCAGACGCAGATTTTAAATTCCACGGCAGCACGATGGGCTTCGACCCGCGCTCCGGGACCCAAAGCTACGAGCCGCGTCCCGGCGCTCCTGGCCTTGAGCATTGTCCAAACATGGTGGGATTTGAACCACGGCCACGATCTGCAGCGGCCTTTGAGGCGCGGCCGAACGGGACTGGCAACGAGCAACAGCAACATCGCCCCGGTTCGGCGGCAACGGGCTTGGAGACGCAGTCCGGCGGCGCACCAAATTCCGACAAGTATCACAACACAGCGGGTGCGCACGTCTACTCCCCACGTCCCAGCCATCCCCCAACTGTAGGTTCGGACCAGCCAGGGTCCCGCCCCTCCAAAGCGCAGCCGCAGCACTTGCGCCCTCATCCAGACGCGCACCCGCAGCAGCCGCACCAGCAGAAGCAGCATCAGCTCGAACCCAACTCAGTTGCGCGCCTGGGTGATCATCATCATCAGCAACAACAACAGCAACAACAACACAACCAGCAACGACAGCAGGAACCGAACTCAATTGCGCGTCCGGGTTCGCAGCAGCAGCAACACCATCACAACCAGCAGCAACAGCAGCAACAGCAGCAGCAACACCATCACAACCAGCAGCAACAACAACAACAGCAGCAACAACAGCAGCGAGGCGGTTCCCACTCAGTCATTATGCGCCAGCCCAGCATGCCGAACCTGGAGCGCCCGAGCTTGGGACCGCTGGCAGCAGCAGCTGCTGCTGCCAACTTCTCTGCCTCGCAGCCGCGCCGCGCCGGGGGTGCAGCACCGCCGCTGCCGCAACCGTCGGCGGCAGCAGCCACGGCCACCACCGTGCTACGCGCCAGCACGGGCACACTTGTACGGCCTTCTGTGCCTCATTTGACCAATACAGCCAAACCCGCCACTGTGACCACCACAACTAAAACCGCAGCCACGCGTGTCAAGGGCGCTGGAGCAGCGGCGGCAGCGGTTGGCAGGGGTAGTGCCGACAGCATTAGCTGGATGGCCATCTGCGCGGAAGGCCGCGCTGAGGCGGACCGCAAGCGCGGCCTGACGCTGCCGGTGGAAGACAGATCGGAGTTGAAGCTATGGCTATATCATGACATTATGCAGCGCCAGGGGAGTACGCTGAGCGCGCAGAAGGCCATTGTCTTCCCACCGGCACTGTCAGGAATTTGAACGGCACCGCCATCGCCGCTGCTGCTGCTGCTGCTGCTGCTGCTGCTGGCCTCGTGCAGCGCCGGAGGCTGAGGATGGAGGCGGATCCTTTGGGTAGCGGTGCGCATCAGCGCCTGTGGATTGTCAATGACGACCAAAAACGAGGAGGCGGGAGGACTGCGGCATATCTTTCTTGGGGCTTCGAAAACGTGATGTAAACAAACGTGTCGGATCTCGTCAGTGGGTTCTGCGCGCGTACCTGGGGTCATTGAGTGGGGGATGGGTTGAACGCTTCTGTATTCGGTTGAGCATTGGGGGAGCCAAGCACACGGCGGCAGCTTAGCAAGTTACAAGTTACAAGTTCCGCACACAAGTGCGGATGTGTCCGTAAAAGCCGGGGGGACCATGTGGCAGTGTTGTTTTAAGAGGAGGCGGATGACACTGGCTGGGTACAATGTTGGCCCGGCAGCAATTTGCGATGAATGGTTCACGGGCATCTGGGTTCACGGGCAGGTGGAGTGGGAAAGAGAGGGCTCCAGGTCACACAAGAGGGCCGCAAAAGGGAGCCGCACATATTTAACGAAGGGGGTTAGGTGGGAGGGAGGGAAGGGGGAGTCCATCGCTTGCGGCGAGCGCGTGTGCGCGCGTGTGGGCACTGTCGAGTGCCAGGTGCACAAAGGGGTTTTGGGTTGAGGGCTGAGGGTGCAGATGTAATGATGCAGAGCGAGCCGATACGCGTCGTATCTGACGGCGTTGCTGTTGATGTTGGTGCGGTGCGCTCTATTTGGGAAGAAGACAATGACGGGTTGGACAAGGGCGGCTTCAAGGAATCGACTGACTGGACGCGACAAGACAAGACATCGGACACCCGCACTTCAATGGGCTCCCAAGATTCTGGTGCGCTCTCGCCAAACTAAACTGCCACCAAAGTCGCTGAGCTGATTATTTTTTGCTGCAGTAAATTTGTCCTGTGTTTCTGTCCTTTTGGCGGTGTTAGAACTCGATTGCGGTTGTTCGTTCGTAGTCGGCATATTGAGTTTTCACTTGGTTAGGATGTTGGTTGAAGTCGGATCGCGTCGAAGCCGTGGACGCAACGCGCGCAGTGGCAGTGCAGGTCGGTAGGTTGGTTGGCGTGTAGGGACGCGCGCAGCGATGCTGCCGACCACCAGGGGAAGGGAGGACGGCCCTCCCTGCGCATCCAAACTGCGTCTTCACCTCCCAAGGTTGAAGTTGCCTTCCCGTCTTTTTGGCGTGAGATCATCTGTTGCATGTCCGTTCTTGTAGAGCTGTAGGCCTTCATTGTGGGTCATTGTGATTCCGACAGGGGACTTGGGTGCGTGGTCTGCTTATTTTTCGGTAAGTGTGCTGTTGGTATGGCACAGCGGCACAGCCGCCACCGGTGCAGCACTAGCAGGAGCAGCAGCACGTGAGACTTTTCCTTTCTGTTGGTATGCGGGCTTTCGGACACCTGGGGCCTCTGGGGCACATTCAGGTAGCACTCCGTAGATACGGACAGAAGTACAGGGGGGGGGGGAGAGAGAGAAGACACTTCTGACGTTGACGTTTTTGACTGGGTAGAAGTCGTAGTAGGTGTAGGGAACGCAAACCAGGGGATGATGCTGTATTCATGTGATTGCTGCTGTAGCAGCAAAAGTCGCCAAGCTGCGTTTCATCAGGAAGGTTCCTAGGCAAAAGACACGGACGTTGCTCTCGCGAGTGTGACGTGGGTGGGGGAGGAGAGGAGAGCCCTGCACGAGTGCCGATGATGACCCGGTGGTCAGTGACGGGTGAATTAGCCGCTGTGTGGGGCGTGAAGGGAAAAAAGAAAGAACACGATGGACCCAGAAAAATGACAGTTCGATGGCGCAGGCTGCAATTCGATTAACGCGGTTCCAGCCACCTGCGTGCCGTGTCGGAAGTTGCGCCGCAATCCTGATAGAGGCTTCGTACGGGCAACACAACGACGTAGGCACCAGCGAACGTCTGCAAGATACAGCGTTGAACCTTTAGGGATGCTGCCCATGAAAGCATTATCCAGGATGCATTTCATATAGTACATCGTTTCCAATGGTACATAGTATCTCTCTTCTTATGGAGCTGTCAGAACACTATTTCTGCGTCGTTGCCTGTTGTCTGTTGGAGTCAAGGGCCCGTTTGATCTGTCCTGGTCTGGGCCTTGTAGGAGAAGAGCGCTCGTGTATGTGAAGGAAGGAATAAAATAAAGCCAGCAAACATATCTGTCGGCAAAGATCCGACATCTTCACCGAGAGTTCCAGGCAGCAGTCGGGTATTGCCATGAAATGCGGTACAGCGGCAACCCAAACTTCCTTTGAACCCAAGGCACGCTGATAATGAAGCTGATATACTTATCGACAGTAGCGTGGCTGTTGACTAGTCTTGAGTACGGCAATATTGGCAGCTACGGACACGGTCCGCTGCCCCCCCATCTCCCGGCAAACTTTCCACACAACATGACAACCACATTCCAACAAATCCGGTCATCAGTGGACAGCCCACCAAAAACAAAGCAGATAGACGGTCCGCAACATCTTTTCCTTCTTTCCTTTTCACGCAGGAACCTCCCCCTCATAAGGAATAACAACGCCAGCTATTCATCCTCCATCCCCCATATACCAACAGGCCCCTCTCGACCTTCTCTCGTCCGTCTCCTCTCCACTGTAGATCGGAAACACTGTAAGTTGTTGAGTACGAATATATCGCGTGTTCCATGTGAGCACTTCTCCTGAACAGGCAAAAGCCGCAGGGGACGGCACTTTTGCAATTATCCTCCATAAACCTCCTCATCCTCGCCGTCAACCCTTGCACTAACGCATCCACGCCTCCGCTAACACTACCACTACCTCTGCCTACATGCCTAGATAGGGTGCTTACGGGCAAAACCCGGTCTCCGTTTCCTATGTTCTTAATACTAATTCCCAATATAACCATACCAATCAACGCACGCCAGGCTCCGACCGCTCACACTCCAGGAGGTAATCACCGATGTGCGACACCCCCACGATCACGGCGTGTGCAGCAGTCACTCCAGGGAAAGCCGACCTCACCCCATAGCTCATACATACATGCCTAGGCCCCTTCAGTTGCCGAGCCACCGACGGTTCTCCAAAATTTCGGCATGTAAATTACGATGGCTCGCTCAAAGTGACATCTATACACATACAGTGCAAGCTGCTCAAAGCGTCACCCCAGCCAGCAGTACAAGCTGCGTGTGGAAAATTCACCTTCTTGAGGCTCCTGAACCCCAAGTTATAGATTCTAGCCTAGCTCCTGCCAGGCGCAGTCTCCACTACTGACCTGCCATCTTATCTCCATTACTGGAGTTAACCCACCGCCTAGGTCGCATGAAGCCCCCCCCCTCACCGCCCGGCCTCCTTCCCTTTCCCGCCCCTAGCTCAACTCTTTTTCATTGTAATGTCTTGCAGCTCGGGTCCCCTTACCTCCCCTTTTGCTTTCCCTTGTTCCGGACTTGGACACATATTACCAAGCGGGTGCTGTCCCCTGTCAGTTCCTCCGTCCTTCTTCCCTCCCACCTGCGCCTCATGGCCCCTCTTCCCCCCCCACACACGTCCACGCGCTGCCCTGCCCTCCCCTGGCCCCTGCCCACCGTTTCGACCCACATCGCATTCTTTCTCTTTCCTCCCTCCCTCCCTTCTTCCTTAATTCCCTCCTTCCGTAACTCCAACATCGCCGCTAAAGTTCGTTCGTTCCGTCCCACCTCGCTCCTTATCGCTCATATACCTAAGCCTATCTGTAACCCTAGATCCTTTCCCACACTCGTCCATCGAAAACCTCCCATGCCCTCCATACACCGATCGCCTTCATACCCCGATGATGCCACTGGTCCACATGCCCGCACCCAAAGCATCATCATTGCTGCCGCTAGCTTTCCCGGCCCCCAGGGCCCCAGCCCTCACTGCTTTCTCCGCCGCCTCCGCCAGCTCCGCAGCCCTAGCCTTCGCTCTTTCGCAATGCGCCGCCACCGCGACCGCCTCATCCTGGTTAGCCTTCGTCGCGTTGGCCGCCTTGGCCCTTGACGTAGCCGCCTCAGCAGCTACCTCGGCTAGAGACGCCACTATCCCCGCCTCCTTTGCCCTGCCCCACGCGGCCGCTGCGTCCAACGCCGCAGTGGAGTTCCGATAGAACTCGCGTTTGAACCACCGACCGCCCGCGACAACCAAGCTGCCAACTTCCTGTAATGCGAACTGGAACTCTGCGCCAAGGAGATTGTACGGCTCGAGCAGCGGCGCCACTGGCGGCAGCGTCATACGATCTGTGGTGACGACGTCCGGCGGTCGCCGTACACCAACATACCCACAGCCTCGCGGAAGGCGCCGCATCCCTGCTCCCATCGCGGCCGTCGCGGCGGCGGCGGCGGCAACGTTGACGTTTACAGCCCAGTCCGCTGCCCTGGTCGTGTTCCCTCCCGCGGGAATCACGACGGCCCCACCGTCGTCGTCGCCGCCGCTGCCGTCCCCGTCGCCGCTGTCGGCTGATAGGATTCCATCCATGCCCGCCACGTCATGCGCGATGCCAAACGTAATCGCATCCAGCAATTGTAGTACGAGTGCAAATTCGTACAGCTGCTCGTCCAACCGTCCCGCGGCACGTACTGCCTCCATAACCTCCGCCGAAAATTCGTCGACGGGGCGCCTTATCGTCGGCCGTACATGCATGTGCCGTAAGTCGTACTGCCAGCCAAGTCCCAGCCCAAAGATGTCCCTGGTGAATTCGGAGGTTTCGGGGGCCAAACTGAGCAACACTTCGAACTGCAGCGTCACAATCTTCGCGGCCAGCAGGTGCGTGTGGTTCGTACCGCCGTACGGCATGTTGTAAGCCTGACCGCCTAGCAACGACCGTACGACGTAATTGTCGAACACAGGTACGGCAAGTGTACGCCACTGGTCGACGGAGTTTGGGTTGAAGGCCTGCCACAGTGACTGATTGTAATAGATGACGTACTCCTTGAGGATGTTCTGGTTGGGGGGGAAAGGTTATGTGGGGCGCCAGGGAGGGCAGGCGGGGATCGGGGACGCTGTTTTTGGAAACTGATTGAGACAGAACATACACACGCGCACGCACTTGCGAGCGACAACGCAGCATGTGGTGTAGAAGGGCTGCACCATTACTTTGGCAGTGGTGCCACCGGCGGCGACATCCTTGCCTCATATTTCTTACCCCCTCCCTTCTCGCATATTCGACATTTACCCCTCTATCCCTCTGCATTGCCGTACAACGCCGTACTACCTGCATGTGACTGACGACTCGCGATTGCGGCTCCCTAAAGATGACGACGTTGAGAAACTCGCGACAGGGGTGCACACCCACCCAGGAGCGGTTGTGGTCGTGCATCACGAGCTCGTTGGCGTAGAAGTTGAACCTGTGTGTACGGGAGCGTGTACGACAGTGTGGACGCAGTTCGTATCGTGCGCAGTTCATTGTGTCTAAATCTGCGGTATGGTGCAAAGGCAAAGCGTATGATGGTGCGTATGTTGGTGGTGGTATGGAACGCCACAGGAGCACGTAAAGTGTATGCAGCGTGCCCTTTTCATGCCAGGGCCAAAGTCCCCCTTGGGCCTTAACATCGTACGTATGAACAAACGAATGATGCATGCATGCAACTACGCAAGGCACGATGATTGTCATGGATAGTGGTGTCTGTTACGGGTGGTGAAGCGCTCTTGCACCGTATCTATCTCCAATATTCCGTGTATCCTCGTCCCCTTCTAGTTGCTCTTGCCTCATTCGCGTCATCAGGGCCCGCCGCGCACGGCAATGCCATCTCGTGCCGTATTGCTTGCCATATCGAGCACACCACGGGTCGCCGTGCTTGGCACTGAGCTCCCCCAACACACCCGCTTTCGTCCAACGGGGAGAGTCCCTGTGGCCGAGGAAACCAACAAATCACAAATCAGGATCTGAGGAAGGACAGGAAGCCAATTGAACAATGGCAGAAGGTTCTAAGAAGGAAAGCAGGTTCTAAGGGGGAGGTATTAGCATTGGGCCAAGTGCGCGGGGGCCTCATAGGCGCTGGGGCTGAGGGCAAAGCCCTTGACAGGGAACCGCTGTGCGTCAGCTGGATATCCCTACGGAAAAAGGGGACACCGTACGGGGGCGAAAACCTAAAGGGTTGGTCTCTTTGGGCTCCTTTTTGGAAACCCAGAGGGAATGACAACCCTTTGGCTACCCCCTTGGGGATGATTTCCCCTTCGATTAACCCCAACGGGTTGTCATCCCCTGTCAATTTACAAAAAGGAGCGTGATTAAATCTAAGATGTGAACAGTTTATGCCTATTCCGTGACAGCCCAGGAGCCTTCGACACATAATTTCAAATACATGACCAGGCATTTTCAAGTGCCCACCTGAAATACGTGATCAGGCAATTTCTGTGCGTCTCGAAACTCTGCGTCCTGCAGCCATTCATCCTGCCAAGTTGGCAAAAGCTGGTGCCCCCTGACTTGGAAACATGAAAAAATTCAATAATCCTCTTTGTCTGTGCTGCTCGGTGATGTAGTTTGAAAAGGTGTTGGCTGATGTTAGCAACAAGCTGCGATTCCACATCGTTAAACGGACCGGCGGTCAGGTACTGCTCCAGTATAATTGCCATGGCGGCCCGACGGCAGACCGGATACGCAGTGAGGATGGATGTCAGATGCGCAGGATCAAATGACCTTAACGTTGTCAGTAGAAACTGTAAAACCTCCTCAAATGTAAACTCCTTGCTGTGCTTCTTGACGTATGAAATGTTTCCAAAGAGCATCTCCGCCTCCCCTTCAAAAAGGTGGCCAAACTCTGGCACAGTAAAGCCGTGCTCCATGGCGGCACGCCAAACGCCAGCGTGTAGGAAGTCCAATATGGGACCCAGATGCTGTGCAATTGCTCCTGCTGTTGCATGTTGTCGCAACTCTTCTGGTAATGATCCCCGATATAGTTCAAGCTTATCGGCAAACAATGTATTGACGCTAATATTCGATTGTCTATTGGTTTGGCTGTCAACAGGATTAGCAAGAGCGAAAAATGCGTTTGAGTTGAGACAGATGACCAAAAGCCACACCAAACCAAAGTGTATACTCATATCGCGCTACAACATTCGAATTATTCCTCCCTTAATCATTTACATCTTCACGGGCTAATGGCATGGGAAGGGACGGATCCAAAGGTGCGGCAAGCATAGCCTTGTGTCTGCATATTACACAAATTTGCTGCACAAGTTTCACTTATCGCTAATCAAGTAAGCAAGCTATCGCTGCCGTACATGACGCGACATGATGGGTCCCCTCCCGTCAATGTGGTCCATGAGCCTCCTGCCTCGTCTGGGCCTTACAAGCTCTCGCGAGCTTGTAACATAACACAACACGACATAATATGAATGTCGCCATTTTATGCTTAGCCTGCGCACCTCAGCTGTATTATATCTTTAACACAAAATGTACGACTGTGTAACCAGTTCCCTCGCGTAAACCGCGCAATTCTGCGATGGCTGCTCATAAATTGCAGTAACTTTGACTGTTTGCGCCTTCAGTCTAGCTCACTTGCTTCCCCATGCAGCTTACAAGTCCCCCCGGACTTGGGGAAAGACACCGCCAGGCTTGCCGACAGCCTGGCGGGTGAAAGGCGGTGTGTATAATACATACCCTCTTCATCACCCTTGCTTGCCTCCCCCCGCACCTCCAAGCCAGCATTTCCACGTTCGACGCGGTCACCGCCTAGCATTAGCGTTTGTGCATTTACTCCCCCAAGCTAACATGCAGCTGTTCTGTTGTTCTGCACACGGCTTTCGCATCCGCCCATTGCCAGATTGGCCGTCAGTCACCCTTCACCTGGCCCTCTATGACTAAAACATAGACCCCTCGTCGACGCCCCTGTGTTCCATTCTCACACAGCTCTCTGCACACACCCCACCGGCAACCAGCAAGCAGCCCTACAGCACCACTACCACCGCAAAAGCAAGCAAAAAAAAACAGTTCACGACCTTAGCAGCAATCCGTTTTCCTACTACTGCCCAACACATCTCAAGTCCGTGGTCGCAGGTGTTTTTAACAAAAACGGTGGCCCCCTTTTAAGAACAAAATAAAACGTATATTGAATTGCAAATGTCAAAATGAGTAAGCTTATTTTGGATGCTTCTTCGGATTGTACACCTAAAACGGCAAGGGGCCGCAAAAACAAGAAGAAGGAGCAATACATCTTTTCTTTAAAACTTTCGGTTTTACGGCAGTTACGTAGCCCAACCACAAAGGGCCGCTAACTGTTCAGTAACGGTTGGTAGTTGCTAAGCTATTACGGTTAGAGAAGCCATGGGGACTGCCTGGGTGGATTGCCGTCGTAAAATTTCCAACGATTCCGCAGGCCCCCATAAGGCGCCGCTGACCCGCTTCCGGCGTCGCTGCCGCTGCCGCTGGGTCACCGCCGTTACCATTCACGGCCCAGTCCACGTCTGTATCGGACGTGCTAAGCTCCATCGCAGCCTCCAATCCACCCATCACATCATCGATGTCCCCGCCGCCGCTGCCGTCCCCGTCGCCGCTGTCGGCTGATAGGATTCCATCCATGCCCGCCACGTCATGCGCGATGCCAAACGTTATCGCATCCAGCAATTGCAGTACGAGTGCAAATTCGTACAGCTGCTCGTCCAACCGTCCCGCGGCACGTACTGCCTCCATAACCTCCGCCGAAAATTCGTCGACGGGGCGCCATATCGTCGGCCGTACATGCATGTGCCGTAAGTCGTACTGCCAGCCAAGTCCCAGCCCAAAGATGTCCCTGGTGAGTTCGGAGGTTTCGGGGGCCAAACTGAGCAACACTTCAAACTGCAGCGTCACAATCTTGGCGCCCAGCAGGTGCGTGTGGTTGACATCACCCCAAGGCATGTTATACACCTGACCGCCTAGCAACGACCGTACGACGTAATTGTCGAACACAGGTACGGCAAGTGTACGCCACTGGTCGACGGAGTTTGGGTTGAAGGCCTGCCACAGTGACTGATTGTAATAGATGACGTACTCCTTGAGGATGTTCTGGTTGGGGGGGAGGGTATGTGGGGGGCAGTGATTTTTTTTCATTTAGGGCGGGTCTCAATTTATTCCGACCTAAGTAACAAAGTTGCTAGAATCGCCGTAATTTATTCCGTAAGTGTGGGGCGCTGGAGGGGGCTACGCCCCCCCCAGACCCTCCCCCCGATAAGTTACAACTCACCTCATAGACCAAGAGGCACGCACTGAGTTGGCGCGTTTTCGTTCATGTGCACACTCTTCATGTACATGCATAGATAGGTCTGGCACTGTTTGTGAGCAATAAGTAAATCCGACCAAGCAAAGGCCCAAAGCATCGGTCGCCGCTGGCAGCAACACCATTGCCGATGCATTACCGACAGCAGCACCGCCGTCCCAAACGCCTTTATCAGGAAAATTTTCAGGCTTATCTTGTTGTTTTGGTGTTTGTTCGACGTTCGAGTCGTTGGCTTTTGCGTATTTGGCTATGTGAGGACCGGTCATACATTCTGCTATGCCGCGTTGACTCACATGCTTGACCTTCTTACGGCCCCTCATATCTATTCTATGATCGATAATACTAAGTTCTGCACACTACGGAGCAATCTGGCAGCAATGGACGTTTTTGGCTGGAGGAATGAAAATGTACGGATCGGCCTCAATCCATTCCGTTTTTCCAAAGGCCAAAATGGCCTCTTTATTCCTTTTAAGGAATACATTACTTAAAAAGAACACTGGTGGGGGCCGAGGGAGGGCAGGCGGGGATCGGGGACGCTGTTTTTGGAAATTGGTTGAGACAGAACATACACACATACATACACACGCGCACGCACTTGCGAGCGACATTGCCGTACAACGCCGTACTACCTGCATGTGACTGACGACTCGCGATTGCGGCTCCCTGAAGATTACGACGTTGAGAAACTCGCGACAGGGGTGCACACCCACCCAGGAGCGGTTGTGGTCGTGCATCACGAGCTCGTTGGCGTAGAAGTTGAACCTGTGTGTACGGGAGTGTGTACGACAGTATGGACGCAGCCAGGCGGGGTGACTGGGTGGTGTTTTACGAACTGCAGTTCGTGTCGTATGACTGCGTGGCGTGTTCAGAAGGAAGGGTTCAGGTGACAGCCCAAGCTCCTTAGGATTAACCAGGTCTGTATTTCCCCAGGCCCAGGGGACCTTTTTGACGTTTATTAAATTATTACGATCCTCCACAACAACAGCTGCCTGGGCCCTTTGCGGCAGACCCTGCTCTCTCTTAACTAATTACCGCTACGACTTCGCCGCTGGGTGACCCGCGGGTCGTTCCCACCACTCACCGCATCCGCGTCAGCAGTGCGTGCCGCGCGCTGCATTGTAACCGCGTGCTGTCTTGCTTGCCAAATCGAGCACACCACGGGTCGCCGTGCCTTGCGCTGAGTTCCCCCAACACACCCGCTTTTGTCCAACGGGGGAAGTCTCTGCCGTACAACATAATTTAAAAAAAGTTACGGAGGATAAAGGAAAGCAATAGGAAAACAGTGGTAAAAGAGAACGTAAATGGGGATTCCGGCAAAAAGTTCGCAGAGTAGAGGTCTATAGACGTTTCTAGTGCGAGGGCACCTTGTTGCATTTGGAGAATATCAAATCTCTACGTTGCACATCGTTGTGCGCCGGATGCTGATGTGGCTTTCCTAAGCGTGCACTAAACTGCATGTGTCATGACTTTCATGCGGTATCATAGTCTAGGATTAGCAGCAGAAAAGGCATGGGCAGTAATGGGTTCTGTAGGTTCAGGAAACTTGGGCCAGTTAGAAAAGTTAGAAACTTGTTGACGTGCAGAGATGGGTAGGCACAGCAAAGAGACACGCGCGGTGGCATACCTGAAGTACTTGATCATGCAGTTCCTCTGCGAATTAAAGCTCTGGGTCCTGCAACCATTCATCTTGGCGAGTTGACAAAAGCTGGTGCCTCCCGACTTGGACACATGGAAAAACTCAATGATTCGCTTAGTCTGTGCGGCGCGATGGTGTAGCTTAAAAAGGAGTTGGCTGATGCTGGCAACAAGCTGTGCTTCCATATCGTTGAACGGACCGGTGGTCAGGTACTGTTCCAGTATAATTGCCATGGCGGCCCGACGGCAGACCGGATACGCAGTGAGGATGGATGTCAGATGTGCAGAATCAAATGACCTCAACGTTGTCAATATGATATGTAAGGTTTCTCCAAACGTAAGCTCCTTGCAGCGCCTCTTGGCGTATGCTATGCTTTCGAAGAGCATCCCCGCGTCGCCCCCAAAAGGTTGCTCGAACTCTGGCACAATGAAGCCATGCTCCTTGACCGTATTCCAGACTTCAGTGTGCAGGAATCCCAGTATGGTACCGAGATTCTGAGCATTCGCGCTCAAACTGACATCCTGCTGTCGGAACTCTTCTGGCAACGACTTCCCATGTAGCTTAAGCTTATCTGAAATCAAAGAATTTACTCTTAAAACTAAAGGTAGATAGGCTTTGCTGTCAACGGGTCCAGTAAGAACTGTCCAAGAGAGACAGACAGCCAAGCCACCCCAAAGCGTGCGCTCATAGCTTAGCATTACTGGAGACTTAGATCTAGTAAGAATGCATTGGATAGGCAAGAGGCAATAGCGGCAATCATCAATAGTTTTGACGCCAACGGTCATGCACGCAGTCGCACGCAGTCGCGCACAGTTGCCCGCACACCATAGCCGCTGCGCGGTACGCACACTATTTATCAAGGGATAAGCAGGTTTATTGTCATTATTACTTTGTAACACATATTTTATAGATGAGGTTGAGTATATGCAGCGAGGACCGCTCACGCTGTCTGCCCGGGCATTCGTACGACCGACAAAGCAAACTTTATTACATCCAGTCGCACATGAGAAAATTTGATAACGCTCAATGAAAATGATCTGAAGACGATTTTTCAATTACATCACATAATAATATACGTTTGGGCAAGTTAGAGATACGGAATACGGAGTGTGGGGATACGGAATGATGCACCTATGTCAAGCACCATTGGAAAGAAAAATGCAACCCAAACCCATAAATGTTAGGATCGATTTCTTCGAAAATATTCAGCGTAACAGGGAGGAAATGTTGCGGCATGTTGTCACACCAACCTCCGTCGTCCGACAGCGGTCGCAATCATTGTAATAAAAATACCCCACCAGCTTAGCCTTTAAGACCACACAACAAATATGGGCACAAGTATTTAAACAACGGCATCATTACCTATCATGATTGCTACGGTTGCTCAATGGCCACCATGCAAACAGCTTGCATGCACGTTACAATCCAGCAGCAAATCGATTTTCTGTTTCATCTGCTATCGATTCATCTCTAAGTGGCACCAAAACTAAGCCGCAAGTAGGCGGTGATTGGTCACCCTAGCCGCCGTTGCTTCCTCCGTGTCCATCGCCAGAGGAACTAATTACACGCACTTGACGCTGCAGCAGAAAAGGTTTTACATGTGCATGGATGGCCCTTCATATCCGCATTACGTGATATTCTTGGAAAGACAAAAAGTTTTACTGACATGCTGGAGTTCACGCAATTGGAACACCTTCTTTTGCTCCCTGCCCCCCGTCCCCCAAGTATGTGGTCGTAAGGGCATCGCGGACACCATAACGATGGATCAGAAGCCGGCGGTCGTCGTGGCGATTTGCAGGACGCGTCTTTTGAGCCGCGCTTCGTCGCAAGAGTGCGTCCTTGCAGTGATTACAACGCCAGGGATTACAACGCCTGGTCTTGTCGCATGCCTTTGCACCATGACCATTAGGCTATCATGACGCGTTGAAGTAGCGATTGCGGCTGCAATACACATATAACCTAGGCCAGGAGGATTCAAACACGTGGAATACTTAATTTGGCTGGATGAAAGGAGGGGAGCTGGCTCTCTTCTGGTGCGGATGGGATAATGCATCTTATTTACCTATGTAAACCACACACATACACGCAGGCGGGAGCTGGGCGATCAGCGGCACCCGATCCCGGGTGAATTCTAGACAGCTGGAACAAGCGCGACATGAAAATTGCTGAATGTTTACCCGGAGCACCAGTCCGTGCGATTCATGCCTTGACTACTGTGACCATTTAAATATTATTATCCATCGTCTCAAGGAAAACTAAATCATTGCCATGGCTGATTAGCATTGAAAGGTAACGCTGAGTGCGACGAGTGTTGTAGTGCGGTGCAATGCTAGAGACACGTGAAGTCTGTCTCAGGCCGGCACTGCCCCGACCACGGTATAAAACCGCGCTCCGAAAGTGTGTAGAATATGAATTCTAAACAATCACATGTCGTTCTGTGAGCAAAGACGATTTCAGTAAGTTTATGGATTTCGGTAAGGCTGTCGTACAGATCCTTGATGTTCAGTTCCGGTGAATTCTTACAAACGATTCCTTGACAGCCATATCAGTTTCAGAAGATTTCAGGATCAAAATTAGATTCGCATATTCTTAATAAGCTCATCATTACTCTGTAGCTATCGCGCTACAACAACGAGCGTGCATCCTGCGCCACCAGCCAGCCACCACACAATCCCGATCACCAAGAGCAAGAGAAGATAGCTCTCCGACGGACACCGCATGGGAAACATGGGTAAGGAACGAATGCTACTGATTCGCAGCATACCGTTGGCCGTTAGACCCGAAAGAGCGAGATTAAGAACATGGTACAGGTAGATAAATATATACAGATCCATGCGGCTGCCGATCTAAATAGTTCTGTCCCGCTCTTCCGTCCAATGGAAGTTACCAGAAGGTCAAAGTCTCGCCAGCAGAATGAACTCAATATCTCCAGAGCTACATGACGTGGCCACTTGTATTATAAGATACAACGTTGCGTTTGCCGTACATATGGCCGTACCCCAGCCTTTCCCGCTATCCGAGCGGCCTTCCGCCTCAAAACCGAGCGATCCCCCAACCCATCCAGCCGAACCCTGCTGCCCGGGGCCAGGCCCAGTCAACGTGCGTCCAGTCAATCTGCAACATCCGGTGCTACACCGCTAAGCACTGTTGAGTGAACCGTATGTTGCCGCTTGCTGCAGCCAACCTTTCACCCAACTAAGTGATATATGCCATGCGAAGTTTCGCCTGCCTGCTCGCCTGCCTGCCCTCCTGCCTGCCTGCCCGCCTGCCTGCCTGAACTCGACTCGATCAAGGCAAGAACACGTGTACACTTTCCTGCAATCATATTGCGACTTTTCATGCTGCATTTTACCAGTTATACGCGGTAGGATAATTCGCCCCTTGGTCGCCGTTTCGGCAGTACCAGTAGCACATCTGACACTCTAATGTACAGCAGACTCGTGCCATTATAAAGCTATGCATGCCCTCCCCCACCGCTCACACACACATACACATACACATATACACACACACACACACACACACACACACACACACGCACGCACAAGTATGCATCTGCACCTTCTCGTGCCTACCATCACTTACCGTCACTGCGTGCGCTCGCACCATCACTGCACTTAGTCACCTGCTGCACCTCCTGCTAAGACTCTATTCTCCAGTTCAACTCGACTTCTTTCTTTAGGGAATATCGCTTCAGCATGTTGGCTTCACCCGGTATATCGCCTGCGTGTGAAGCTTTGTCCCTGCCTGTGCGTGGTGTATGTATGTATGTATGTATATATGCACACGCATATATGCACACGCATATATGTACATATGCATGTATGTGTGTACACGTGTTGCACACATGCATCACATACTGCGTTGCCCTCGATGGGCATGACACGACACTCCCCTCCTTCTAGACACCACCGCCGCAAAGAAGATCTTATCTACTGGCCCGATGGATGAAATGATTTCCCATGCATGAAGGCCCCTACACGACCCAACATTCCAGAAGATGTGCGCTCTCTCTCTCTCTCTCTCTCTCTCTTTTTTTTTTCTTCCCTCCCTCTCTCTCTCTCTCCTAAAACAGTAGCGAACTGAACCAGTCCTCTGTGGGGTCCAAATCCCCCGCACAGCCACCGCCGCCACCGCTGCCACCATCACCACCACCGCCGCCACCTTCAGCATTACAGTCAGCAGCATCAGCAGTAACAGCAGTAGCATCAGGAGTAACAACAGTAGCATCAGCAGTAGCATCAGCAGTAGCAATAGCAGTATTACGGACATCGTAACCGGTTCCGACACCAGCCCCCAAAAATCCACCTTGGGGCTCATCACCCCTCCCCTGCTGCGAGTTGATCCGCCTCCTCGTCAGCCATTCAGCGGCGGGGGAACGTAGCGGAATTAGCTGAGGTTCTTGCGGCGGCAGTAGCTGCTGCTGCTGCTGCTGCTGCTGCTGCCGATATGGAGGCGGCCGCCAGCCTATGCTTGTGCCCGGTCTGCTCGCAGATGTGGCATTAGTGGCGCCGGGCGCTGCTGTCGTGACGCACTCGTCGTCACGCGCACATGCCTTAGCTTGATCAGCAGAGCCTCCGCCGCCGACGGCCTGCGGCGATTGTTGCTGCCTGTTGGCCGGGCAGCGAGACCATTGCCGCGACGGAGGCGGCTGTAGCTGCGGCTTCTGCTGCTGCTGCTGCTGCCGGTATGCGTCCTCCTCTTCCAGATAATGCTGCGACTGCGGTTGCGGTTGCAATTGCGGTTGCGGTTGCAATTGCGGTTTCCAGTGCTCCGCGCCAGTTGATTCACCTGAGGTTGTTCCTGAAGGGGGTAATGTTGGAGTCCGGAGGGGTCCGGATCTGGCGGCGTCGGACAGCGGCTGCGCTTTGCGCTTCCGCAACCCCTGGCTTAGCCTGGCTAGTGCAAAATACCGGTTGGCAGCTGAGACGGAGGCTTGGGGGCCGCCGCCGCCGCCGCCGCCGTCTCCACCGCCGCCAGTGGTTCCGTACACAGGAGCAGCGGCGGCAACACTATTATTGTCCTCGCCGCCGGCTGCTGGTGCTGCTGTGTCATCATAGGTAGACGGTATTCCGGCTGCGTTCTGTCCGTCGATGGCGGCGGCAGCAGCAGCAGCAACAGCAGCAGCACTGTCAAGGGCCTTCCTGCCAACAGGCGACATGTCCCATGGGTCACTCGATTGCCAACCGGCAGCCTCAGCTGTCGCTGCGGCGACGCGGTGCGACGACGGTGCCGCAATGACACCCGGGTTGTTGGTGGTCAGCTGGCGACGCTGAGGAGCCTCGGTATTATCAAGGGCCTGTGGCCCTGGCGGCTGTACGACTCTATCAGGGTTGGAGTCACGCCCATAAGACGTCCCAGCCTGGCCTATTACGGCTACCAGACCAGGGCCGGAGGAGAGGTTGCTGCCACCGCCGTCGCCGCCGCCGTTGCCCTCCATGTATGAACACGTTGCGGGGGCACTGGTGCCGTACGTTGCCCTGAGGGCCTTAGCAGCCCGCCATGTGCCCCCGCCGCCCTGGTGCGCTGCCGGCTGCCGATGTTGCGACACGTTTGCGTCGGACTCGTCCACAAACTCCGACCAGCCACCGGCGGGACCCCCGGTGGGGGCCCCGGCGGCACTGCAGCTCCGATGCGAGGTGGTCTCACCACAACGCGCGCCTAGACCTTGGCGTTGGCTAGCGGCCATTCCTCCCGGCCGTCCGTACCGGTCATGCCCCAAAAACGCTGCACCTCCATCGCCGCCATCCCTCGTCCAGCCGTCACCGACGCCGCCATTCAGACGCATGGCACCAGGCCCATCTTCGGCGCTCGTCCAGATGGCGCCAGCGGCGCTGGCGACGACAGCGGCTGGGTCGTACTCACCTTCGTCGTCCTCTGGTCCCACTGCCGCCGCCGCCACCGCTGCCGCTGCCGTTGCCATTGGTGCACTCGCCAGGTTGTTGGGTGCAGCCGCACTGCCGCCCACCCGCATCACTGAAGTCGACGACGACGTCGGGGAGCTTATTCCCACGGCCGCTGCCGCTGCCGTACCTTGCCCGACAGCAAGCCTTCCGCCGTCGTCGCCGCCGCTACGTTGGCCATTAACCACGAAGCCCGATGTACTGCCGCCGTTGAAGCCGTTGGCGTTCCTGGCTCGACGCTGCTGCATCAGCTGTAGTCCCTCCGTTATATCCCGGTCTCGACTGCCCAGCAACATCCGCCGCTTGTGCTCCGTTAGGACAGCAGCGTGAGAGCCGCCGCCGCCGCCGCCGCTGCCGCTGCCGCCGGCGCCTGCCGTTGCTGGTCCTTGCTGGCGTGGCTGCCGTTGTGGGGCCCCAGCGCTGGCGGAGGGGGAGAGGGTTGACGCTGCGGGCTCCTGTGGCGCGCCCGCGATGGACAGCTGGCGGGAGGACATCCCTGGTCTGTGCAGTCGCAGTACTTGAGACGCCAGCGGCGGTGTTGCTGCCGCTGCCGCTGCTGCGCTCGGTGCCGCGGCTTGAATGGGGGTTGCCGCTGGCGGACGAGCCGCTGGCGGCGGCGGCGCCAGTACCGCATCTCCGAATCCGCCGCAAGCTGCCAGTTGGCGTCTTGTCGGTACAGCGGTACCGTCTTCCTCGGGCTGTTCGTGCTCTGCGGCACCGGCCTGGGCTGAAGCAGTAGCGACAGCAACCCTGGCTACTGTTGTGCGACCGGAGCGACCAACTCCGCCTTGGCCGCCCAGAAAGCCAAATACGTCATCCAGCGGGCCGCCCGCCTCACCCTGCCGTACAGTATTCCCAGCAGAGTCCCTAACTGGCCCCATATCCCCGCAACCACCACCGCCGAGAGCACCCTTGTTGCCGCATCCTCCGCTCGGAAAGTCGTACGTACCGTACGGCACGCCAACTCCGCCAGCTGCCCTGAACGACTCATCATCGGCGTCCTCCATGGCGAAGTCGGCGAGGAGCCAGTCCGCAGTTCCGTCTGATTCTGCCGCCGCCACCATCGCCGGCCCCGCGGATGCCTCCGCTGCCGCCGTTGCCGACATCGGCGTCGGCGTCGCCGTCGGTGTCGGCGTGGGCTTGCTGGCCAGCGCCAGCAGGCGTGCAAACGCTGGAACCTGTTTGGCTCCGGACAGCGACGTGCCAGACATCGTCAGGCCCTGCGCCTGCCTACCGCCGCCACCACCACGGCCACCTCCGGACGCCCTCTTCGGCGCGGCCTTAGCAGTAGCAGCAGCAGTAGCTGCAGCGGAGCACCCGCGCCTGGGGAATGTGTCGGAGGTTGTTCCAGATAAAGGCTGCGAGAGCGCTGCGGAGGATGACGGGCGGCATTGCTGCTGCTGGTGCTGGTGCTGGTGCAACGGCGGTTGATGATACAGGTGGGTAGGTGTTGTTTTGCTCGGACCGTTGGCGGGACCATCAGCAGCCGCCAGCGCAAAGACCGGAGCAGCCAACGCCGGAGCCTCCATCATCACCTGAGGCATCCGTGTCACAAAGCGTCCCTCACCGCCACCACCGCCGCTGCCACTTTGCCCAGCGCCACCCAAGCTACTGCCCTCGCCGCAGCCCAGCTCCCGATACCTCCTCTGACTCCTCTGACTGGACAGCTCCTTAAGGCTCCCGCCGGTCCGCGCCGCGCCGCGTCCACTTCCCACCTCCGCCGCCAACCTCGCCGACGCCGCCAGCTCCCCCACCTTCTCCAACGCCGCCCTATCCTCTTCGAAGTTTCCACCGCCCTCGCCGTGATAAGGCCCCCCAGTGCGCAAGGGAAACGGTGACGGCTGCAGTGCGCCTTCGTCTAGGTGCGCATACCGAGACGCTAAGGGTCCTGCCTGCGCTGCCGCCGCCGCCGCCACCGCCGTTTCCGTTGCCCCTGCCGCCGCCGCCGCCGCCGTTGCGACCGCAGCGGCAGCAACCCCAGATGCGCTGTCAGCGCTTTCCGCCACCACCACCGAACCGTGGGTCGTTATTGCGAGGCGGAGGCTGGCGTGTACGTCGAGGCCGCATGTGCGCTCCATGATGAGGCAGGCTAGCACGTGCAGGGGCTCGTTGCGGGGTGTCTGTGGTGGGGGGCTCACAGCCACCTGGAACTGCGTATGACCGGCAGCGGTGGGGGATCATATGCAAGAAAGTCAGAAATGAACGCCGCGATGAGGGGTGGGTAGGGAGGAGGGTTTACAGACAGGGCACACAGGAGGTCAGAGGTGGGAAGAGCGAGATTTTTCGTTTCCCTAGGTTGGCAGGTTTTGGCGGCTAGGTAGGTAGGGAGTGCTGCCTGGCAGGTTCGGCGGCTAGGTAGGCGGAGGAATGGGGTCACAGGTCGAGGAAGGATTGGCGGTGTAGGATTGCGCGGTCGCACTCTGGTTGGCTACCTTTGTAGGCAATCCTTTGCTTCAATGCTATATTGACATTGCCTTCGAGGAGCTCCTCTCCCCATACCACCTCTTAACCACCACCAGGGGGCCCCCACTCGACATATACACCCTGATCACCCCCCTGGCTATGATCACCCCCCTGGCTATGATCACCCCCCTGGCTATGATCACCCCCCTGGCTATGATAACCCCCCTGGCTATGATCACCCTGGCTATGATCACCCCCCCTGGCTATGATCACCCTGGCTATGATCACCCCCCTGGCTATGATCACCCCCCTGGCTATGATCACCCCCCTGGCTATGATCACCCGCATTCATGTGGAGCATGCATACCGTTGAAACACACATGCACATGCACATGCACATGCATACTTGCACACATACTAAGCACAAGGATATTAAGGATATTAAGGTGGTAGTACTGCCGCTGGTCGGCGGTCCATCGCACCTTGTACGGTGACGGGAAAGCCTCGACTATGAGGCGCTCGTGACGGAGCAGGCGGTCGCTGTTGCTGAGCCCCACCAGCAGGTGTGCGGGGTTGCGGCTGCTGCAGCTACCAGAGCCAGAGCCACCACCATCACCACAGCCACCAATGCCGCCACCAGCGGCCGCCAGCCTGCAAGACGGATTTGGAGTTAACAATCAAGCGCGTCTTACAGTTCCAAGCAGCCGTGATGCGCATATACATACACATATACATATACATATGCGTATGCATATGCATACATATATATGTCTATACATACAGACATACATATATTATATACAGCGGATCAGTAACACAGCCCTGCTTTGCAGTACTTCCGCCCTCAGCAATGCAAAGCAACAGCGAAGGGAAGTTCCCCTCCCTCCCCCCACTCCGTCCGTCCCCCCACTTCTCACCCCCGCACCCCCCTCGCAGCAATCTTCTTTACTCCCGACGTGCGACACCGTTTGCACCTTTGTCCCATTACACCCCAAACACCCACCACGCAACCCCTCTCCTTCACGCCAGGACACACCCACGTACCCATGCATTCACACGCCCACACACCATCCACACCCACACACCCACAAAATGCATCACACACATCCATTATACACATCCATCCCCACATCCACATTCACACAATCCGGCTCCCCACCCCCACCCCCACCCCCACCTAGTCAGCTCCACTTCCACAGTGGCGTGGGAACCTGAGTGCGAAGGGTGATGCAGTTGTAGGTCGTTCGCATTATGATGTCGCGGGTGTGGGCCGGTCAGGAGCGTCAGTCTCAGCTGCACCTCCGGGGGCAGCAGCTTGGCCAGGTGGCCGCGGAGGGTATTACCTGCACCGGGATGGGGTGGGGGTGGGTGGTTGGGGTGGGGGTGGGGGTTGGGATGGGGTTGGGTGGGTCGGGTGTGTGTGCGGAGGAGGAGGAGGAGGAGGGGAACGGGTGAATCCAATGGAATTTTCAGGTGCAAGAAGCAGAGATCAATCGCACACACGTCCCAAAGCCGCAGCTTCTGGTGTTTCAAGCACTGAAGTGGTTGCCTAATTAGGGACGGACATCAGGCAGCAGCCGCGGCGGCATCATGAATCAGCACGCAACAAATCAGGATTGGTAACCCACTTCATGTGGAGGAGGCGGCAGGGGACCTCCAGCGCACAAGCACATGAGCGAGCATCACAGAGCAGGTGTGGTTGACTTGTCATGCATGCGGGCCCCCCTGGCCGCACCCCATCCTCTTTCCCTATGTGCCCTACCCCTACCCCACCTATCTACCTTCCCCCGTCTTCCCCATATCGGTCATTCAGCCCATCGTTGCGTACCGAAGGGATATGCCTTCTGCGTCACTGCCTCTATCCTGCGCGGGTCGGCCTCCGCGAGCTGTCGGAGTCCGCCCAGGCCGGCAGACGCCAGACGCTGCGCTAGCAGCCGACCAATGTCAGGCAGCTGCCGTACAGTCTTGGCGACACGAGCGGAACCCCAGCACGGACGTACGGGATGACGTGGATAGACAGACAGACAGACAGGCATAACGGGGGTATGAAGAGGGGACGGGAGGCATTAGTCAGGGGGGAAGGGAAAAGAGTAAAAAAAAATAAAGAAAATAAAAATAAATAAATCAATAGAGAAGCAGTAAAAAGGGGCCGGTACATGGTGCAAGATTTACACGGGAGGGCAACGGAGCGGTTTTCCTTAGGCTGGATGCGCCAACAACAGAGCAGAGCAGAGCAGAGCAGAGCAGAGCAGAGCAGAGCAGAGCAGAGCAGAGCAGAATGATAAAGCACGAGGGGAAGTGCAGAGCACAGAGCTGAGCCGCCACATGTGCCCGTGTACGCATGGACCCGATCACCGCCACGACCCCGGTGATGTTTTGAGGGGTTGGGGCGTGGGAGAAAAGAGGGGAGAGGGAGCCGTAGCGCCGTGTGCCGTACCTGCTGTGAGTCGTCCCACATGCGCTGCCTCAGGCTCTTGGACAGACACAGGGAGTTGGCGGTTGCAGCCAGAGACTGCCGGAAATCAAAGAACCTGCAGCACGCCGCGTAGGAGGATCTAAATCAGGGGTTAGGGGTGTACTGAAGTGGAAAGACCACACACGTGAGCTAATTTTAAAAGCGCGGGTGCGGGTGTTAAAAACATGATATTGTCCGCAGCCGTTAGATCTGAGATGCTCCCCTGTTTAGCTTTCGGTACTTGTCCGGCCATCGCCTCGGGTGTGTCGGCAGATTTCAAAAACTGATGACTAAGGGTTCTTAGGACTCTGTTTCGAGATCCTGGGAGGTCCCACCCACCCACCCACCTTGCCATGGCTCCCGCTATCCGCTGCCCCACCCTCAGCACGCCCTCCAGCTCCTGGCGCATGGAATAGTCCAGGGTTTCGGAGCCGGAGTCGCACAGGGCCTCATTGACCTGGAAACAAAGGGGACGAGCGCGTGCGGAGAGGGGGGGGGGGGAAAGAGTTGGTTACTGGAGAGGCCTCTGAACAGACACGCACGTACAGTTACAATGGTATTATATTATTATATCAATTATTGAATTGTCGTTGTTAGGTGCTCAAGGTTGTCACGAAGGAGAGGGGGCCAGAGGAGGGAATTACGTTTCCATGCTTCCATCCGTGAAGACACCACTTTAATAACAATCTTACCTGCCATGGTGAACACCGGGGGTTCGTATCATCGCAATCGAAAAAAAAGCAAAAATTATGTCGCGTATAATGGTATAAAAACACATTTTGTAATAAAGTCATGCAAGGATGCCATAAATTGAAAACTGCCGAGTGACTTTAAAGGCAAAGGGGCCGTACAAGTGACGAATCAAAAAGCGGACAGAGACCCGTGTGTGATCGTGTATATGGCGGGGGAGGGGGGAAGGATGAGGTCACTAGATGTGTAAGGTGTGGCCGCGGACGGCGGATGTGGACGACGAAGGCCGTGAAGGTACGAGAAAGACGGACGACGAACACCGCCGCCTTATTAGCCGAGGGGCGGAATGATGGTGATGATGAAGATGATGAAGATGATGATCTCACCAGGATGAAGATCTTCTCCGTGGGCTTGGTGATGCGGTCCTTTGGTTTCGGAGCCGCGGAACCCGCTGCTGGCGGGCCATCCGCCGGCACGGGGTATTTGATGGCGCCCTCCCCCCCCACCCGCTTGTTGATCTCGTTAAGGATACGCTTCTCGCCCCTGTGTACGACACACGCACGTCATAGATCAGTTATCTAAAATATTGATGTGTGATTTATAAAGTTACTTTATAGGTGCTGTTTTGGTAAAAGCAAACTGTCGTCTAGTTCGGAGTTAACAAAGCACCGTACGAGTGGTAGGGGGGTCATCCGTAAACACCGGGGGGGCCCATGGATAAACTGTCCTTAAAAGCATTTATATTCATTTTCTCAATTTCAAACATTTTTGACAACTAATTGGTACTCGCCTGGGCTCGACGCGCCTGAGCGCGATGTGCCTCCTGTTCTCCCCGACCTCCGATAGAAGGCTAGCCGCACAGCTATTGGGGCTCCTTCCGCCATAACAATACTTCAACCGCTAAAAAACACTACCTTCGTGCCATTCAGGCTTCCCCCACACGCACCTCCCCGCCTCCCACCGCCCGCTTGCCTTTGGCCTTTTCCTGAAACCCCCATGTTTCCCATCATCCATCTCCCCAGCTCCCGTT